AGAGAAGGCTGCCGACCACGACGGCCACTTCACCCTGTGAGTGGCTGTTTGGGACGTGGTGCTGAGCAGAGTGGCTCTTCTGCTGGAGCTGGGATCGTCCTCTATAAACTGCAGCCGGACGGCGCCGGGTGGCATGGAGCTAACGGCCCTTAGATGCTCGCTCCTAACTAGGCAGCCAGAGGGGAAGCCGGGGGAAGATGGGGCTTGTGCTCTTGTGGGGGTATCACCCTGTTGGGGAGCTTGCAGACCTGTTTGATTCCAACTGGGAGGGGCGATAAAGCACTTGGGCCTATCCTGGCTCTTCTGCACGGAAGCCACACCCTGCCCACAGCACATGGCGGCTTCAGGGCCTCGGTGGAGTGCGTGAGCTAGTTTTATTCACCCCATTTATTCGGTGAGTCAGGCTCTGACAGGGGTTGATTTGTTGTCTAATGCTTGGGGGTATTATTTTGGTATATCCACGGCGTGTTTGCTTAAATACTGTGTGTTAAAGAGACGTTTTCGCTTGTTTTGATAGATACTCACAAGGCAGCGCTCGCGCTCACACTTCTGCAGCTCTCCCCACCCTCAGTGCGGGGCGGGGATCCAGCAGTGCCTGCCTGGGAGGTGCTGGCCACCCTGCCCTGAGAAAAGCGGGACGGCCCCGCCCCAAGCCCTAGCCCAGCCCAGCTTCCGGGGTCTCCCCCAGGCGTGGCTTGGGACACCGCACCAGGACCCTAGACTGTGGGTGCAGCAAAGCGCCTGGGGGAGGAAATTGACTCTTCCTGCTTGTTTTGTGGTTCTTGGGGTGTGAGTCTAACAGCAGGATTCTCCCCTGACTCAGCAGAACGTATGGGAAACCTATACTTAGCTGATGTGCTCAAGTCCATCGGCCCCACACCCAGTCCCCCCACCCCAGCAGTCCTCAATACCGAACCAATTCTGCAGGTTAAAAAATTGTTAAACTGGGGGACATGTCCCTTTCCCCTGACCGGGGGGCAGTGGTGCGGGCCCTGGGCGCAGACTGGAGGTGCAACTCACCACTCACCCGCCAAGTGGAGGCTGTTCCCACAACGGCTGGTCAGGGGACACACGCGGCCACCACGTCTGAGACCAGAGGGCACAACATGCACAAAACAAGAAGGCACGAGGCAATCTCTGAATTAGTCATGAACGTCAAAGCAGACCCGACGAGAACATGCTTCTCTGCCTGAAATAGCACAGAGGAGCTGGTTTTATCTGGAAACCTTCCCTCTGCTCTTTGCAGGGCCTCGGGATCCGAGTATAAATCAGACACTTGTTGTGTGCATGCCTATGCCGCTCACAGTGGGTCCCTGAGATTGTTCTAGAAAGGCAGCACCCCTGGAAACATCATTACTACCATCAGCTGTTCTTTTAGTGTCTCAGTCATTTCTAGGATGGCACCCGGCCAAATCTAATTCATTAAAACAGGAGAAATCTATGAACACCTGCAAAGAATTGATTAGTACGTTGGGGCTTCTTTAACTGGATGTTTATTCTTTGCTTCAAACACACTAAAACAAAGAACTGGTGATGCCAGGTCATCGACACCGAGCCACGTTATGGAAGACTAGTGTCTTGGTAAAGTGGGGGTTGGACGTGGGCGTCACCCTGGGGCCTCCGGGGCCAGCGCCTCCATTTTCTTCTATGAGGTCATTGGACAGTGTTGCTTTTCAAGTAGAAAGTGATTACGTGAAGAAAGACTGCTTTGCGGCCGGTGACCTGATGTGTGTTTCTATGGGTGGTCAGCATACCCCCCAATCTTTAACCCCAAGAGGAGAGGCTGATCCTCCCCCAGCCCCACATCCCTCGTTCACCTAACTCCTCAGCGCTATGAACCTCTTTGGCAATTTTTAAAATTTCAACTCTAGTGAACTGAATTGGGGGTCACTTTTGTTGTAGACTGTTGGTGTTAGGGGGAGAAAGGCAGCAGAAGGGGTTTGCCAGGGCACCCTGGGAGGGGCGAGCAAGCGGCAGGAGGCGCCTGGTGAGGGAGACAGGCCAGCCTTCCTGCAGGGCGCTCTGAGGGGCAGGCAGAGCCAGCCACGAGGCCTGAGGAGATGGGGCTGGAAACTTAAGCACAGTGGGGTTCCACAAAGATTTTCAAGGGTTTAATTCCTTCGAGTGTCTCGACCCATGGAACAGCCTTAGCAGCAGCGCGGGGTCCTGCGGGCTGCGGGGGAGCATGCTGTGCAAACCAGCTGGAGTGTGCAGAGCCGCCTGCAGAAGGGGCGGCAGGCAGCGCCCAGTTTCCCTCCACAAAGGACGCAGAACAGGAGCCGCCGTGTAGACGACTTAAGGTGTGTGGGGTGTCACGATAATGTCTTCATTCTAGTGTGTCATTGTTTCCAATTTATTTAAGTGAATTTGAAAGCAACGTGTAAAGGTGTGAGGAGGTTTACTATGACTCCACAGCCCTTTCTTATTTTTCTCCTAAGAACTGAAGGTTCTCAACGCTGGCTTCTGAGGGAACTGAAGGGTGAGCCCGCACCCCGACACTGGGACAGGCTGTGACTTTAAAACCAACACAAAGGGGCTGGGCTATTTGGGTGCTGGCCATGCTGTGGTCCCCAAGGTAGGAAACCATTATTCACACAATTACTCGGACATGAAAGCAAATACTACAGAATCAAAGCCAACTTTTAAGGGTTTGAAAATACACCCCACAAATTGGGGAGGACAAGGGCTGAGCCTACCCTCCACTGAATCCCTGTCAGGACCCTCAGGTCCCTAGGTGGGAGCAGGGAACCCATCTGGGGGAGACGTGACCGGCAGGTGCAGAGACCTGGTTTCCCTGCTTGAGAGTCTGTATCTCCTGAAATGTGGGAGACACTTGGGGTGGCTGGCAGAGGTGGCTCTAATAGTGGTGACTTACATGCTGAGTTGTTTCTTCTTCTACTCTATCTTCTGTGTCCCTTGAGGAGGAAGCTGTGGCCTTGGGGTTACGACTGCCCTTCTAACCCTCCCCTGTCTTTGCAACCCCAGAGCAGGCCTCCAGAGCCGTCTCTAGGAGGCAGCTGTGTCTGCTGGAATTTAATAGGGTTGCTCCCCCATCTGTTTGCTTCTGGGTTACTTTCTCTGTCTGACATGTGGGCCTGAGTTTTTAGGAGCTGGCCGCCAGGCTGCAAACATGGTGGCTGCTGCGGGGTGCCAGCGGATTTGGCCATGGATTTGGGAAGAAGCAGGCCCTGGCGCTCAGTGGGGTTATATATAACCCCCTGCCAGCATTGGTCCTCCTCGCATTGTCTGTGCCAAGCGGGGAACTGGACCATTGTAACAGGCGGGTCAGGCAGACGGCAGCGTGGCCCGATGGGGATCCCTTCCCAGAAGCCAGCCGGGGGCCCCATCCAGGGCGCCTGCCTCTCACTGGCCTCATGTGGACAGTGTGAGGACACACGCTCTGCTCACGGGTGAGCTAACAAGTGAGAGCTGGAAGTGGAAACCTGATTTAAAAAAATAGGTGCTTCCTGAGGGCTTCAGTGCTGAGCCCAGGACACAGTGCAGGAGGCGCTTGGTGTGTGCCCAGACAGGGGGGTCGTCCCCCTGCTCCCACGCACCAGTCAATTCCCACCAGCCAAGAAAGAGTCAGTATGAAGTCGGTGAAAAGTGAGAGTTGCGGTGATGGGGTCACGTTCAGTCTTGGGCCGGCGCGGCAGCTGGGTGTCTTCCCAGAGGGGAAGGCGTCCGGTGGGTGGATGTCTGGACGTGCCCCGGCCTGAATTTCAGTGCCTCCGACGCCAAGTTGGTCACCCAGACGTCCATGTGCTTTCATTCCTTGTCACAAGGATCCTTAAAGCCCAACATGAGCCTGAAACCGAGAATCAGCAAATGTTTGCACTATGCTGGGAAGACAGACAGACTTAGCAGTGCCTGAGAAAACACAGAGAATGGAGAAAAATAACAGGATGTTGAAATCAGTAAAATTATTATCAGACAGAATTAAACATTGCATAAATGAGAGCCCAATAGACACGTAGGAAATTTAAATGTTTGGTTACAGGAAGGCCAGGTATATTGATTTAGTAGCAGAATGGATCATAGAAAAGCCAGTTTGTGAACTGGAAGCTTAAGGTTTCTCCCAGTTACCAGTGCAAACAGGAAAGCAGGAAGAGAATATAAAGGATTAGTTGCAAATATTTCAGTATCCACCTACAAAGCATTCTAGAAGAAAAGGAGAACATGGAAAAGATAAAATAATCAACGACATAATTGCAGAAAATTTTTCTGTAGTGAAAAATCCCTGCTAGACCATAAAATGAAGAGCAAAAGAGAAAGATCTTCAAAGTGAAATAACCCACCCCATTCCCAAGTGTGCATATCTTGTAATATCAGGCTTGCCTAACCAATCTGAGATGGTCTATGTATGATGTTATAGCCAGTAAGGGACTCCAAACATAGATACACACACACACACACACGCACGCACGCACGCACGCACGCACGCACGCAGGCATGTAAAACAGGCAGCATCTGATAAAGTCAGTGAGTTGTACTGATGTCAGTGTCCTGACTGGGATGTTGGTGGTGGGCAGAATTCTAAGGCGACCCCATGGTGTTCACTCTTATAAATGGGCAGAATCTGTGAACATAACGCAACACCACTGCCATGACTATCACGGCCAGGTGGCTTCCAGATGTAATTCAACTTCCAAATCAATTGCTTAAGATGTGGATTGTGCCCTCCCGTCAGGCCCTTGGCCTCCTGAGCCCCCAGAACTGTAAGCAATAAATGTTTTTTGTTAATTTGGCAAAAGAAAGCTATGGAGAGTGTCCTGGGTGCATCAGATCCAATTCTGTGATCACTTAAACAGGTTCGGTCGCTGGGAGGTGGCAGAGAACACGAAGTGTGACAGGGATTCAGACTGAGCATCTCAGGTTGTGTTCAAAGTGTTTGTGTTTATGCTCGTCCACACAATTGCGAATCCACAGAATGAAAACACCTGGTTAGCTCCTTTCTGAGGCTCAGGACAAGGATCAGAGAGGTGGTAAAATCAAGGCCTGCTTGCTCAGTATTGCTTGACATTCCAAAATGAAAATGGACCCTAGAGATAATGCATCTTTATTTGATAAGAATGTGAATGTTTTCAAACTTACTGAAAATCATGAAACTGTTTTAAAGGTAGAGAATGGTAATGCAGTCTATTTCTCATTTCTCAATATACAGGCTTTTTTTTTTAGCATCTATATTATCACTACAAGAAAACTTAACCCCATGTTAAGGTTTGTAAAGTCTCTTGTTCTGAACAAATCTTATGTCAAAGGATAATGCTGGATGAGAAAGTACACGGTTTTAGAAAGTCCGATGAAACAGCAACATCACAAAACTCATGAAGAATCTTCTGGAAGGACTAGGGCTCACTTGGAAAAACGACATTTTTGTCAACAGCAAACCTGACTTTTGGACCATTTTTCAAAATCTCTTTGTGGCTTCTCTCAGGGATACATTTAAAAGTGCTCCAGATCTCATTATGGTGTCTTGGAAAGCGTCTGAAGAGTGGGACCTCCGCAGCTTTCTGACTGACATACGATATTTGGTTATTTGATAAGCCGTCCAGATGAGATGGAACATAGTCACACGCCCAAAGATTGAAATTTCTTGAGACATGTTGCCTTTTTTCTGGGGGGATCTTCTTACGCCCCAAGCCCTGGGGAAGAATTGCAGGAAGATTAAAAGGAAAATATTCAGGGTCACAGAGCTCAAGCTCTTTATTAAAACCAGTTACTTGACTGTTTGTTCTTAAACACACGAGACAGCCATGCCCAGAAACTCCCTTCAACAGCCCTTCGGATCCAACGTGTCATCCTGCTGGGGTCTGGTCTTTGTCCTCGAGGCCACCTCTCCACCGAGGGGACTGGACCAGAACCAGAAAGACCACAGGCGATTATCAACCTGGACTCCCAGGCACCCCAGGATGCTCTGTGCATCCAAGTGGCTCCTGGGCTGCCCCACTGGCCACGTCCCCAGCACGGGATGGATGTTCCTTACTGTGAAGAAGTTCATCCCTTCCCAGAGGGTTCCCATGGAGGAGGCAGCCCCTTGGGTCTCTGCCCCCAGGCTTCCTCCCTGACTCTCAGCCCTTCCATGTGAGCCTGGGGATTGCTGTGTGTTCTGTTTTATGCTTCCGATTCTGGCCTGACTAGGTAAGAAGTGAAAAAAGAAAACCATCCGTTCAAGCAAAAGACAGGAAGGGAATAGACACTCGTTGCACAGACATTAATAAAGTGAGCTTGTCTTTTCATAGGCATCGTTCAGAGCAGCAGCAGGAGTCACGCTCAGATCAGGCCTTCGAGGGGCGCTTAATAAGGGGACAGGGCCGGGCTCCGGGTGACCCAGCTCGTCACACAGATTACCCTGGAGCCCGAGCAGGAGGAAAGAGACAGAATGACTCAGAGGGGTCCCTGGCCCAAGCTCCTTCCCCCAAAAGACTCAAGGAAACCTGGGGAAACAATGAAAAGCAAACAAAAGGAAGAGACAAGGGACAGGGAAAAAGAACTACTACGAGGGAAGTAACAAGTAAAGCAACAAGTAGGGTTTGTATTTCAGCCTAAATACTTGCTGATAATGTGACTATGAAATATATTGATATTTTATGAATTCACAAAAAGGAAGGAAAGTAGGGGAGGAGGGAGGGAGGAGCAAGAGAGGGTGGGAGGGGAGAAGAGCAGGTAGGAGGGAGGAAGCCAGGCTGGAGCAGAAATTCCAGACTTTCTTTTTTTTTTTTTTTTTTAAACATTTATTTATTTTTTTTTTTTTAAGATTTATTAATTTATTTATACAAGCACTGGGTACAGTCAGAAGCGCGGGAGGGTGAGAGAATTCACCAGAGCCAGAGCCGGGAGCAGAGCAGGCAGAAGGATCGAAGTACACTGCTGAGGGGAGCAGCGGGCGGCAGGAGAGGTCTGCGCGCCATGTGGGACCCTCACCCAGCGGCTGGGGATTGAACCGGCGCTGCAGAGGCTGCGGGCAGCTTCGCAGCCCGCTGCTCAACCGCTGCGCCACCGGGGAGGCCCAATTCCAGACTTTCAACTTGACTGGAGCAGTCAGTGCCCCTGGTGTGACCTTTGGGAGGTGGCACTTAACTGTGTCCCGAGAGAATGGCCCCCCATGTGTCAGGAGAGCACAGCCTGGCCCCCCACAGGAGAACCCCTGGAAAGGGAGTGAGAGAGATAAGACACCCAGGAGGACTTGCCTTATTCTTGGGGAGAAGCTCTTAATTTTTATACTCACAGATTAATAGTGCTCATGTGATTCGTGAACGTTTATACTGAAGGTAACCACTAGTAGAACAGCATAAAAGAATGAGCAAATCCAATCTAGCAAAATCAGGGAGGCATCAAACAACATGCAAATATGATAAACAGAAAATGAAATGTCAGAAATAAAGCCAAAAAACATAAATTCTAACTGTGTGAATGGGCTAGACGCTCGTAAAAAGAAACTGGATTAAAAAAAATGTTAGTTCTATTTATGATAAAAGCAAACCCAAAAGAAAGACTGAAAAGTATAAAGACAAAGGAAAGGACCATAGTATAAAGAACAAACACTGGCAAAAAGAAATAGGGGTCATGCTGACGTCAGAGAATTCACCACTGGACGTACTGACACACATTAAAGAGGGTTTCTTCACTTAATAAATAACAAAAGCCACTAAAAGAATAAAATAATCATGAATTTTTATGCATAAGGACATGGTATGAAACTAATGTAAAAAGGAGAGAAATTCAAAAATAATCTTAGAAAGAGAAATTGATGGATTAAGACAAAAATTAAGAAAAGGAGAAAGGTTTTGAATAATATAATTACAGCCCAGAATTAATAAATACAAAGAACTTTATCACCAACAGAGAGGGAATATATTTTCTTTCTAAACACCTTGGAGCATTTGTTAAAATTAATCATGTATAAGCTAACAAAGATAATCTTTATAACTAAAAATGTAGAAGTGGATCATTTCCTATAAAGCTTATTAGAGGCCCTATAACTAGATATTTGCAAGAAAGGGATGATCTTTTAAAAATCCCAAACTTAAAGACAATTCAAGTCATTCTTCTAAATTTTTTTTTACTTTAAAGAAGCTAAAAATTAAGTCATGGACTATTTGGAAGCAAATAATAATGAAAACTTGCTAGAAAAATCTTTGGGATATAGCCAAAGCAGTAAGGCAAGGAATATTCATAGTTTCCATGAATTTATTAACAAAACAATTTCAAGTATATGTACTAAATATCGAACTGAAATAAGTTAAAAGAATAGTATTCAAATAAACACTTGTAAGATAAGACTATTCAATACATTTGAAATAAGTGTATTCAAATACATTTGAAAGTTACAAAATAAATTTTAGGCACCATGTATCCATAAAATAAATTAATAACTGAGGGAGAAATTAAAAAGGTATTGGGGAAAAAACAGCTCATTTTAAAAGATATCGAACCCAAATAATTTTATGAGCAAATTCTACCTAACCTTCATTAAGTTGAAAATCTGCACATTATGTAAACTATTCCAGAATGTAGAGAGAGTTGGAAAGTTTCCAAGTTTTTCTACAAGACTCGCATAACTCTGGTAAAATATATGTGTTATAAAATTTTGTTTGTATCATTAGCAAGATAAACACTTATGTGTGTATGTTTGCACATGAATTGCAAAAATTCTCAAATTTTACATACCAGATGATTAATGAATCACCAACATGAGATTGTGAGTAGGGAAAATAAAGGTGCAAATTTTTTTAATTTGATATAATTTTGTATTATTTGAAAAATGTAAAGATCATGTGTTGCTTTGGTAATTTAGTATCATTTTAAAAATTCCATTTAGAGAGGTGGCAAAATGTTCTGTATTCAATATTCTGCCAGAGGCAAACCAGATTTTTCAGGTTAAACCACTCCAATTAAGCTTGGATATTGTATCCTTCAGGGAATGAGTAATTTTGGGCAAGTTGTCTGACTTCACTGGCTCTCAGTTTCCTCATTTCTAAATTGAGAATAAGAGTAATTAACCAGTAGGGTTGTGAGGATTAAATGAGATAATATGAAATGCTAATACATGGCAAGGACTGACTAACTGGTGACCATTATTAGCATTATCATCACCATTATTAGCATTATCATCACACCACCATCACACCACCACCATCACCACACCACCATCATCACAATGTCTCTGTCATCATCACCACCACCATCATCACCATCATCATAGCATCTATCACCATCATCATCACCACCATCACATTATTATTGTCATCAACATTACTGTCATCATCATCATCATCATCATCATCATGGATTTTCAGGTTTGGTAAGGACTCTCAGAGAACTTCCATGTATTAAATCTGCCTAAGATGTGTTAACCCTGCCCTGTCTTGTTTGGGAACCCCTAGCCACAGGTGCAGTGGAGCCCTTGAAATGTGGGTCTTCCAAGTTGAGAGGGACTGTAAGAACAAAGCTCTGAAGACCTAGTAAGATGTCTGTGAGGTCTGTAAGATACATGCAAGCTAAAATGTAAGAGATCTCACTCATAATTCTCACATTGATTACATGGTGAGTTGATACTTTGGGGAATTATTGGGTTCCACGAAACAAATTATTAAAATTAATTTCACTTGCTCCTTCTTATACAAGGTGGCGACTAGAAAATCTCAGGTCACACACGCGGTTTGCACTGTTCCCACCGCAGCACCAAGTGCTGTGAGACTTTCCTTTCTCCAGGGAAGACCGTGCCCCTCTAGAGAAGAGACAACTCTGCTTCTAGGGGTTGCTTTGAGCCCTGTTTCTAGAAGCCTTGGCTCTGTTGTCCAGAGACATTCCTCGGCACCCCCTTCTCCCAGGACAGATCTTCCCCAGAAAGCTCCCAGCTGAGGACAGGTCTCGGGAGGCACGTCGGGGACCACGAGGCGTGGAGACCTTGGCAGCAGGAGCTGGGGTCGACTTTGAAAACTGCACGGAAGTGGCGAATGTCGTGCAATTTCTTAATGACACGTGACGAGACTTTACCTTCCACCTTGTCCCAATGTTGAGCTCAGTCCTTGAGTTTCCACTAGTGTCTGCAATGGCAGAGCCCTGACGCCCAGCCCAGCCCTCAGTCATTGGAGGGACGTGCTCACCATGTCCAGGTAGTGTCCAGAGTCCTGGAAGCTGTGCCGGTTGTCGTGTACGGAGAAGGGGAAGTTGTTATTCACGGCTTGCTGGAAGAGAGTGGGGGGGGGGCAGAAGAGTGACCTGAGAACCCCGTGTTTCAGAACCGGCACAGTCAGTGTGGGAGGGGGATGAGGGAGGCAAGGCGGCCTGGAATAAGTAGACCCGTCCCCAGCGATGGCCCGACTGCGCTGGGTGAGGGGAGGTCGGGTGCGCATCAGCTTCAGGCTTTGACACGTTTTTGTCAACTTACTGGAAACCAGAAGGAAGCAAGTCTCTTTCAAAACACCTTTGGAGGCAAGGAAGGGAAAGTTTATAGGTTCATGGAACCGAAAGCTGGAAGTCTTTTGAGGCCAACTTCTAGGATTCTTCCAATGAGGGTCCTGGAAGACCAGAGGCCTGGCCCCAGGGGCACGGGGTTTGTGAAGGTGTCAGGTCACTGCCAGCTTCTCCTCCCCACCCTCTGTGTCTCTGTGGCTGCTCGTCCCTTCCGGGTGGACAGTGCTCACGAATGAGCTATGAGCCTTGGCCAAGGCTCTGCTGCTTATATGCAGACAGTCTAACTCAACTGTTAGGGCCAGGAGGTGGCGCGTTCTAGAGAGCCTCTGGGGCACCACAGTGGCCAGGGTGTGATACAGGGGTGCCCCTGGTGTTGAGGGGCACAGGGATGGTGAAGGAGCAGTTGCTGAGAAGCAGGACATGTCCGAGGTGCCGCCCCTTGGAGAGCAGGGACGATGCGGCCTGGCCAGATCCGCGGACTCACCTTCTCCCGTATCTTGTAGATGGGAGGAAGCTTCCCCTCCACCTGCTGAGACAAATGTGGGCTGCGGGGCTCTTTCAGTGTGGCACTGGTGATGGATTCTGGTGTCTTCTGCGTTAGTCCGATGTGCGAGAACTGGAAGAAAGCACACGCCTTGATTCGAACCAGACTCATCTGACTCTGCTCCAAGTAGCAGGGCTTCTTTGCAAAGCGATTAAAATGCAATGCGGTCACGCCTGGCATGCGATGGAAATGGCATGATTTTTGTAATTTTCAAGTATTCTTTCCAAGACAAAAAATATTGTAATGGCCCGAGGCCATCCTCGCTGGTTGTTTCCAGTTACAGGCCCACCCTGCTGCGCTGGAGCCTGGCATTGTCTCTGCAGCCTGGTGGGGCGGGTGTGGCCCCCTGAGAAAGAGCTGATGTGTTCTGAGAGGCAGAGCTGTGTCATTTGAGATCTGGTCTGGGGGCTCCCTGCAGCTCACGGATCTCACTGGAGTTTGAAGGAAGAGCCAAGCTCCCGCAGGTGTGAGTGGGGCCAACAGCACAGGAAGGCCAGGAGGGACAGGCCCAGGTGATTCTGCACTGAGGACTTGGGGGGCGGGTAGAAGAGGGGAAGGTTATTTGGGGTGGGGGTCCTTGCCGTCAACCCATGGAAGGGAAGGGAAGAGAAGGACTGAGTGGAGGGAAGTGGCTCCAGCTCAGCCCTTAGCTCACCTCTCAGGGGCACTGGGTATGGGGTGAGGGGACTGGCCTTCATGTGCCCTTTTGGAGCAGTCATAAGGTGCAGGTGCCCAGGAAGAGGGGGTGACCTTGGGGAGGCAGCTGTCTTTAGCCAATGAACCCCAATGGGATGGCACCACCAAGAGCCACACCCTCAGCCGCTGGGAGAAGGAGCCCTTCACTCCGGAAGGGGGTGTGGATGGACTTGATGGCCACTGTTTAAGCACCTTTTAAAAACCACCCCAACGGGCCTCCCTGGTGGCGCAAGGGTTTAAGCCCAGCACTGTGAAGCTATCTGTAGCCTCTGCAACATGAGTTTGATCACCGGCCAGGGAGCTACCCACATGGCACAGCAGACCTCTCCTGACTCCCCACTGCTCCCCTCAGCAGTGCATTTCAGCAGACCCACCTGTTCTGTTCCCCACTCTGTCTCTGGTGAATCCTCTCACCCCCCACATCTCTGGCCTGTACCCCAGTTCTTGTATGCATAAGTAAATCTTTTGGAAAAAAATAAATAAAAACCACCCCAAGCTTTGAAGTAGGGCTCTCTAGGAGAGGAACATGAATAGAAACTACAATGTGACCAAAAGACAAGACCTCAGCTCCTCCCCACAAAGGGGACCATGGCACTGGGGTGTGGGGGGAGTCACAGAGGTGGGCTCTGTGGGAGTCACAGCAGCAGCCTCTCCTGCTAGGTGAACCTCATGAAGCCCCAAGTTCTTTAGCTATACAATGGGGATAATTGTATGTAGTCTGTGGGGTAGATGGGATTCAAAGGAAAAGACCTGCTCCCAGGGTCAACCATTCTGTGTCAGCTTGCATTTTGTTGACCCGCCGCTCTGGCCCAAGGCCAGGCTTCGACCTCCTCTCTTGGTTCATGATATTGGCCAACACCGCTGTCCTCGGGTCATCGTCGAGCTGCACGTCCAGGTGGCCAGAATCAAAGTCACCTGACACTGAAGGTGCCCTTCGTATGTTACCCTATTACAAAGAGGGGTGGGGATTGCATTAAATAAGTCATAGACTTGGGGCATTCTCAAGCCATGAGACAGAGGTCTAGACCGTGCAGCAGTGAACAGAGATTCTAAACTCGGTGCAGAGCAGAACAAGGAAAGAAACAGCGTGAGATCCCCAGCCAACATGATGCAAATAAACGATCCGGGACACGCAGCATGACATAACTTACAAGAACAGGTCCCAGTAAAGGAACTTCCATCAGACACATTTGAATGGCTGTCTGGGGAGGTTGGGGTGGCGTGGGGAGGTGTAGAAACGGGGATCAAGGCAGGGAAACCAGCTCACACCTCATGCCCTCAGGCACAGACTCCCCATGACAGACAGGAAATGACCGCAGGCTCCCCCAGGAGAAGGTGTTCGGGGCAAGAGGAAGACACTCTTGGCAAGATCGTTGAAAAGTTTCTTAGCTAATGATGTGTTTAACGTTGTCTTTTCTCTCCACAACAAATGTAACTCTGTTCCTGATTAGCGTTGTACTACACACTCAGGGTTTTCAGCAGTTCAAACGATGAAAAACACAAGGAAAAAAAGAACATCCCCCCAAAATCCTCAAACTTGCCCTTTCTGTTAACTCTTTGTGGCCCCATAGTCGTGCATCCCATAAAAACATACACCCCCATGTGCATGATTTTGCATACAGAGGATCACATTGAAGATCCCTCTGATTTCACAGTGACTTTCAGTGACTTTCTCCTTCCCTCTCCTGCCGCCCCTGCTGCCACACACATGATGTCGCCTGTGGGTCTGCTACTCCTAGGCAGCCTATTCGGCCGCCATTTTGTCACCTAAACAAGGTCAAAGTGGTCCGGCCAGTTAGGAACAGGAGCCCAATCCTTCAGCCCTTCAAATCAAACAAGAGCACAAAGCTGGATCACACTGGGAAGGTCATGCATCACAAGGCATGTCCAGAATGCCCAGGGGGCTGAGGACCAATGCATAACATGTGCATCAGGAGGTATGTCCAGAACGCCCAGGAGGCTGAGGAATGATGCATAACACATACTCCCGATTTATTCATCACGAGGTATGACCGGGAATGCCCAGGGGGCCGAGGACCGATGTATGACAAGGGACCCCAGAAGCTGATCAGTGGAGCGCCTTGTTGATAAGATTAGAACCATGGCTGGGGATTAGGGTGTATCATCAATTAGAAGTGCCTGGAGGGCAGACTCGCAATCCCTAATCTTCTACACCCTTCCCTTTTCTTTAATCTCCTTACAACCAATTACGTGTGTAAATAAAAGGACCAGGATCTTGCTCTTCAGCAGCATCCTGCATTACGTAGCCTGCTCCACGACTCCCGTTTGTCAGTGTGGTGTTGTCCGAGGCAATAGTCGCCAAGACCTGGACACTCTGTGGCCTCGTACAAACATCTGTACCCACAGAGGGACGTGGGTCACTTTACAAAAATTAGCCCCTATGGTCCACACTGCATCACCCCTGGCTTTTCCCACTGAACAAGATACTCTAGAGAGTTTCAAAGCCAAATTACATATTTCAATTTACTCTGCATTATATTTTTCGTTGTTTTTAAACTATTACTCCTATAGCAAATATCAATAATAAAAAGGGCCCCTTCCCCTCTCGCTTCCTCCAGCCTGACCTTATCCACACTCGTGCTCAGAATGGTGTAGAGCAGCCCCGATACAAAACGGGGTGCCTGACTGTGGGTCCTCACCCGCATGCTTAAAAGGACTTATCAATGCTCTACCGCAGGCACACGCGAAAGGTTAATAAAAGGTTTATTTACAAGGGAAGGGGAAATGAGGAAATGTACAGCTCAGGGAGAAAAGTGGGAGACAAAGTTTTAAATGAGTCCTACCCGATCCGCCGATCAGGAATCCCAAAATGGCACTCTCAGAGCTGGCCGCCAGCCAGGAGCGGTGAAGCCAGGAGGCGAGCGATCGCGAGCCAGAGAGCCCAAGGCCCACGTGTTTGGTTTTTATATCCAACCTGGCTGCCCAACTCCACCCTCAGGTCCCAGCCACCCTCCCTTTGGTGGTGACGGGATTTGTCTTTCCCAATGTCCTGATGGCTTTAGTCTGGAGTGGGGGTGGGGTCCACAAAGCCTGCATGGGATTAGCTCAGGACATCATTTCCCCCTAACAGGAACACTCCAGAAAACGAGACCGGGGAGGGAAGTTATGGTAACGCCTCTCACTAGCTGATGACAACTGACTTGAGTTAATCTGTATTCTGCACGTCTGTAGGTTAAATCTCTATAAAAATGGCTCTAGTATTTTAATTTCACTCTTTAAAATATACATTTAATGGCTATAGCATGATAGCTGTGGAATAAACCCTTCTGCTAGATATTGTAACCGTGAAATATAGCTTTTTAACTAGTTGGCGGTGAAATTTTTGCTGCATTCAATCTCTCAATGACTGAAATATTCAATAGGAAGGTGACAGTGTGTATAAAAAAACCCTTTCCTGCCCAGCAACAGCCAGATAACAACTTGCAAGGTCAACTGCAAAATGACTGTCACCTCTAATGTGGCAATTACTGTCCTCCCAAACGGCCACTGACTCAAAGCCAACAATTTCTTTAATTTTCCCAACTCATCTGCAAGTTACTTTGGAAAACTTCATGATCAGCACTATTTTTCCTCTGCTTTGACCCCTTAGTGAGAGATGAGCACCGTGGGCACCTTCCTGGATCACTGCAGAAAAAAGGTCCGTCCTCCCTCCCGAGGGAATGCTGACTGCATTTGGGGTTGCATTGGGGGGGGTGAAAAATACCACCCCAAACTCCTCTGGGGCCATGTGACCCAATGAGATGGACGACGGAAGCGGAAGTTTTCAGGGCAGGGATCCTGCTTGGGAAAGCTGTGGTTTTCCCACAAAAAGGAGCAGACTTAGCTGATGGGTGTTTTCTCTCTTTTTGTGCTTTGACCTTTCCTGCCCTGCCCCACCCTGAGTTGAACAGCCCTGCGCTGAGATGACAGACAGGTGGCAGGAGAGAACCAGACTGACAGCTCCCCGGGCTGCAGCCCCAGCAGCCCCAGCAGCCCCAGCAGCCCCAGCAGCCCCAGCAGCCCCAGCAGCCTGCTTCTGGGTGGATTGCTCCCCGAGGAAGACAAGCCCCTATTTGGTAAAGACACTGTAGTCAGCTTAGAATATTCAGTCAAACACAACCCTAACTGATATTGTAAGTGACAGAAAGAAACAGAGCTACTTAGTCTGAGAAATTTACGTTTTTCTCTTCACGACCAACTAGCATTATGTAGTTCACACCATTTCCTATTTTACTTTGGCTGCCAGGAAACTCAGAGCCAAAACGCAAAGCCCAAATAACTACCATGGAGGCCAGATGGCCTGTGTATCTATGTGGTACAGCTTCCCCATCTCAGTCTCTGATTTCAAAGTATATTTAAGCTGGCTTAGAATGTTTTTATTTCTATTTTACCATTATACTGTGGCTGTTTTCCACACATCACAGTTATGCACCACTTAACGACCGAGATGTGTTCTGGAAAATCATCCTTAGGTGATTTCGTCAACATGGGAAAGTCACAGAGTGTGATTACGCCAACGCAGAAGCTACAGCCTATACCCACCGGGGCCGTGGGCACCCACCCACAGGACCCATGTCACGAGCATGGTGTGGCCCACCGGCACCAGACACCACAAAGGGACACGTGACTGCATTTAGAACTTTGTGGAATGAAGCGGGACGCACAAACAATACATAGGTTGTCAGCGTATATTTCATAGACGGTGTGAACATGTGACACGTCAGTGGCACCGATGTGTGACGTGTCCACTGACATACATGTGAGTGCTGCGTGCCCGCCCCTCACGCTGGGCCGCGGGGCATGAATCCCTCCTGACCCACGCGGCCCTGTCACCTCGCCCGTCAGGCTCCTGGGATCAGGCAATAAGCTCAGATGTAGGCAGCACCGCAGCCAGCCATGCCCGGGGGGTGCGGTTGACTTTCTCGTGCCTGCAGACCTAAATTCTCCAAGATGTTTTTTCCACGTTTCCTTTTCCTTCCAGACAGCAGCGTGTTGAGCCTTTCTGAGTCCCCCGCCCGGGGACGCTAGCTCACACTAGCTCACACTTTGCTCGTCTCCCCAGGGTCGGGGCGGCGGGCACATCTTGGCCACCCTTTGCGGGTGGATGGAGGAACAAGGAATGGACAAGATCCTGCCGGAGACGCAACAGCCCTTGGGCCGCGAGGAGACGGGAGCTCCCCTTGGGGTGGAGCAGCGGTGCCTGGAGGGCAGCAGGATAGAGACCGTCCCCCGCTCTGAGGCACGCTCGAGAGGGGCCGAGGAAGAGCGTGAGGCTGCAGAGGTGCGTGTCCAGGTGATGCAAAGGGCAGCGCTGCGTTGCCAGCCCCTGCCCGTCTCGTCATCGGGGGCCACGGCCCGATTTTGAGGCGGCGGGAATTTGATTCTGCTTCTAGCCCTGTGTCCTCTCCCCCCACAGGTATTCGTCAAGCGCATCCTGTGTGCCGGACGCTGCTGGAGGAGCTCGGGGTACGGTCAGTAAGAGACAGGGTCTGCAGGCCGCAGAGGCCGCGCGCGGTGGGGAGACCCACAGGGCGGCCTGCGTTGTCAGTTGCTCGGGGTGAGAGACAGCGGCTGTGGGGAAGGCAGAGGCCGCAGCCTTGCCCCCGGGACACCGTGGTGCCTAGTGCTGAGGTTTCCACGCTGACTTCCTTCATCTCCCCAAGCTGCTGGGGCCCATCGCACAGAGGAGGCCCCGAGGCTGGCCTGTCAGGCTCCAGGGAGTAGCCGCAGGGGAGGTTAACTCAGTGCTGAGCCGCAGCACCCCTGGCTGAGGAGGCAGGAAGAGGGCCCTCCGCCTTGCTTACCCATCGCCCGTCCTTATCCGAAGGTGGGTTGAAGCGTCTCCCTTTGGCCATTTTTTACAGGAAACTGCTGGTGGCTGAAGGGGGCTCTCTTCCCTCTCCCCCACCTCATCAGCCCCACGTATCTGGGGAGCCGCTCCTCCTCCTTGGTTCGGATCTTGAGTTCTCAGCCTCACCAGGAGGGGAGTCCGTGGTGGCCATGGAACCAGAACCCGGCCGTCACAATGGGCTGAGGAGCGCGGGCCTTCCAAGCCTTCTGAGGGTCCCTGCTGCTGCCTGTCTGACCCCCAAGATGGGAGGCAGAGAGCACCTGGTCCCACTGAGCAAGTCCATGAGCAGGTCAGACCGGTGAGGACGAGGCGATGTTGGATCGTGGCAAGCTTTGTGTTCCGCCAAGCCCTGGCGCTGCAGATAGCTGAGTGGAGTGTCCCCATGGTAACCATCTGTCCCAACCTCTTGGTTTTCAGAGAAGTAACCTGAATCTGAGCTGGGGGAGGCCTTGTCCATGGGGGACACTGCCACGCGAGTTATTTGATTAGTTAACTAGTTAGTCGACTAGTTAGTCCGCTAGTCAACTGGTTAGTTAGCTAGTCAAATAGGCAGTTGGGTAACTAGTTAGCTAGCCAACTAACTAGCTAGCTATTCAACTAGTTAATCAGCTAAATAACTAGTTGACTAGTTAGTCAAGTGGTTAGTCAGATAGTTAACTAGTGAGCAGGCTAGGTGATGAGTCAGCTAGTCAACTAGTTTGTTGACTAGTTAGAACTAGCTAAAACTAGTTAGTCTGCTAGTTGACTAGTCAGCTACCCTTGGAAAGGTTTCTGTCATTAACACACTGCATCGTTGGAGGAACCTCCAGAGCCTGTGGGCCCCGGGCTGCCTGGACACAAGCCCTGAAGCCTATGAAACATCAACCCCAGGTCTGTGGTTCGCCTCCCGGGGGACGTACAGTGATGTCCGCCAATTTCCATGGTGTAAATGCTTCCACGTGGTGGGTTTCAAGCTACTAACATCACTGAACATGGAGTTAACGAGAGACGCACACAGTGGGCCCCGGGACCCCACGGCCCATGTTGTTGTCTCCCAGGCCTCTCCCTCCCAGGCCTCACTTAGGAAGGAGCCGTGTTCGTACCTAGCAACACGCCCACCCGCCGGGGCAGGGCCCCGGCCCCACAGCTGCAGCTCCTACTGTGAACGGCTTCCTCTCCCTGCCCCTTTGGCCGAGGGTGAAGGAGGCGTCCTGCTCTCCTGACCCCTGCTCAGCTCCCACAACCTGCCCACACCTCTGAGAGGAGTCCATTTATAACCACGCTCAAAGGTTCAATTGCCGACAGACCCTAGAGCACAAAACTAAAAAACACAACTTGTCTGAGCTTTTTCTCAGTTTGGTTTTCCCAGCACGGCAGAGCCCGGAGGCCTGTCAGCCAAGACACAGCCTGAGCATCCGCAGAAGCCACTGCCCTTGAGCGGAGTCCTAGGCCGGCTGGGGTCAGAAGGCACAAAGGCAGAGGAGGGGCCCCCAGAGGTGAGCAGCCACCCACGGAAACCCTAACTCCAGTTCTCTGAAAAAAGTCTGAGACGTCTCCGAGTGTGAACTGCCCATTCCTGGCCGATGAGCTTCCGCCAGGTTCGTATCTCTTTGCCCCAACCTGCTCCTTGGCCAATAAATTCAACTCCTTTGTTCTCAACCCTGGTCCTCAAAACCTATATCACCTCATTCCCTGTCTTAATCAGGGAGGGAATTGATTTATTGCTAATTGATTTGCAATAAAGTTGCTTTCTTCTCGCAAAGCCTGGTGTCATGGTAACGGCCCCGCTGCGCAAGCCCGTTGCTCCGTGACGCTTTCACTAAATGTTCTTCTTTCTTCAAGTGAATCTCCAGGTTCCCACTGGGACTCAGGCTGGGCGGAGGCAGGCGTTGTTAATTTTTTCTGGGCATTTTATTTCTTATTTTAATTTTTCCCCACCACCATTCCTCACAGCCTCCTGTCCCTTTCTCTCCTCCCGCTTAACCGCGCAGCCGCACAGCATTTATAAAGTCCACTAGTTTTTGTATTTTACTTGATGAAATCACCTGCTGTGCAAGTGTCCAGCATTTGTCTTTGTGATTCCCACTCGCCTTGCCACACGTTATTCCCTCGACTTACCTCCATTTTGCCAGCGCCAGCCTCAAGCAGGGCTCGTTCTGCTCACTTCCTGGCGTGTCACGTGAGTGGCCTGACAGGAGGGTTGCTTCCAATGCCCTTTCTTTAATCCGCATGAAACAGGGCTTGATTAAATGCCTAGTTCTGCACACGCCCTCTCTCCAGGGAGCTGTGCTGGGCCAGGGGTCAGGGGACCAGCATGATGAGCTACTCACACCCGACCAGTGGACACAAATCTGGACGACACTGCCTAAGTGAAATGGGGGTGGGGTGGGCGCTAGGTCACCATGCAGAGCCCCACTCCCTACACCTGAGACCCAAAATAGAGCACTAAGAGGATGAAAGCAAATACTGAGAATTTAAAAACCTGGAAAGAGGGCCACTTCCTGCGCAGCGTTTCACGGGCATTCACCTTGTCTCCACCAATGGAGCAGAAAATCCTTCGGGACAGAATCTCATTTTTAAATACATTTTGCATCTCCTCTGTCGTAAGTCTCATGCCGGGTGAAACAAGGGATAGGACCACTGGTTAAGGGGTGCTCCGATTTTCCCCTTTTCAACTTCTGTTTACAATTCTAACAGGTTCGTCCAAGAAAATCAAACCTGAATGGAGAAACCCCAGCCAGGAAAAATGGAATCCAGTTTGTCTTCGGCTAGGATTTCGCAGTCGCAGATGGAGGTAAGGCTGTGTTGTTGGTGTTTGTGTTTTCAGAGGCTCCGATTACCGGCCTGAACTTTGCAACCCACCTTTCTGAAAACAAGTCCTGTAGCTCTCGGGGGTCTCAAGTCATGAGGACTGGAACCCCGGGGGACCCAGCTCGTCCTGCCTCGGGCCTTTGCTCGTGCTGGGCCTGCTGGGAATGCAGTGTGCAAAGAGACAGCTGGGAGCGTCTGTGAGGGCCCCAGGAGCTCATGGCCACCTTTATCCATGCACTCAACAAGTATTTACCGGCCATCTACAGTTTTAAACTGCACTGACTTGTCGACCAAAATCAGTTCTTCATTAATAGTAAATCATCAATTCCTCAATACATCTGGTGACCTGGACCCCAAATCATTGATGAACCAAAATTATTTACCGAGAACTGTCCGTACCATTTGAAGTTAATTCACCCAATGTATTTTTTGACGTGACAGCTGTCGTGTGCTTTGACTTTTAAGAACTTTCATGCCCAAGTGTGAAGGATTTTATGAAAAGCAGGGAGGGCTGCCTCTTCTATGGGGCCAGTGCAGTCTGCCATTCCTTGTTTTAATTAACAACCTGCTGTCTTCCATGGGAGAGACAGGTGGAGCGGTGGGCACAGTGTGGGGAGGTCCGCACACACCCAGTCGAGACGCCCCGCCAGAGTGCAGACACTCGCATGAGGGTGTGCTTTCATTCATCATTCCACCAAGTGAGAGTTTCGTCTTCAAGTTCATATCCACAAATCCTAGACAATTTTACTTGTATCTGGGGAAGCCAACCCACCTGCACGTAAAAGGTTGAGCATCTGGGAAATTCACAGGCATCTGCGTCAGAAGACACATTTTCTTTTCGTCCTGCAAGGTAAACTATCTGGATTCTTTCTGCAAATAGCAGCTGAATGGGGGCTACTGAAGTGCACTTTTTATTGTGATCCATGAGTCCTATGGCATTGATGGAAATTGGAATGAGTGTGTCATGCATTTGCTCATCATCTTGAAAAGTACTCGGGCATCTGTAACATGAGGCAGATTTTTTTTGTTTTACCCTCTGTTGCAAACTAACTGGAAAACTAACTGCATCTCTCCCTTCTGCTCAAGAGAACAATTCCTGGATCAAGACAAGACTGATAGACAAGAAATTGACCTACTTGAAAGCTATTCAATGAAAAGGTAGAAATTCACCATAACATTTACAAAACCCTTGACTCTGCCAATGTGCATGAAACCCCAAGTTCAAACTACTCGAGACACTGTCGTTACAATGACTGAGTCTTCGCTAACCTTGCTGCAACATGAATTGAGACCAACTTTTCAGGTCATTGCAAATCAAATGGCACAAGTGTTTGGTTAACCGACCATACTGGACAGAGGGAGGGACACGGTGACACTTGCTCTGCCCCCGTGGTGTCACGCTCTTGGGGGAGACCAGCATTACTGCGGGAACCACTGGTCATCATCACAAGAGAGACAGTGGCTCTGAGGGCATATGGCATCGAGACCGGAGTGAACCCCAAAGGAGTTGATAAATAAATGAAGTAAAACTAACCACAAGGAGTGCCAGGAAGGGGGGGGGGTGCATGCCAGAGAGATGGAGAGCCTATCTGCCAGAGTCTGTGGTATGGGCGGAGCTTGAGTCACTGAAGAAAGAGAAAGGAGACCAGGCTGTGTTCGGCCTGGAGACAGCACTGGTTGGGGGGGAGAGAGAGGCGGCCTCTCAGAGTCTCCAGGCAGCCCGGGGTTGTGGGCAGGCACTTGCCCTCCGCCATGTCGAGACACCCCCTCTGGGCAGAAATGTCCTGGAATGTAAAGACAGAGCAAGAGCTGGAAAGCACAAGTCGGTGGCCACCCCCTCTGTGACCTTGGCCAGCTGGTCAACAACTAAAGAGCCAGTTGAGAGCTTGGCTTTTTGTAAGACCACCCCCCGAGATGCAGTAAGACCTGCCTCCCCCCTCAAGATGCAGCAGGCCCGTGCAGCTTATTCTGACCCAAATTCTGGATAAGAGAGTAGAACTGTTCAGTGGGATTTCACTTCTCCACATGTTGGGTCCCCCTGCTTCTCCAGTGTGGGCTTCTTGCTTGCCAGATGCACAGGGCACCCACTGCTGCTCTCACACACTGGAAAGACAGCTGCTGCATCCTCTGGTGGTTAGGGTGGGCCAGTCCTCCAAAAACAGAGCACAAGGCCTCAGAGACGACAAGAGTGGTTCTAAACGAGAGTGGAAAAATGAGAAATGCTGGTCTCCAGAATCATAAGCATGACAGCAAAGCGAATACCTAGTTTCCAGAAATGAATGGTATCTTGCCAGGGAGTTCACCCCTGCCCCACATAGGGAGAGCAGGCCAGGAGGGGGGTCCCTAGGCCTGTCTCCTGTTTTGAACTCTTAAACATAATGGAGATTTCATCAGCTTGGCAGGATATTGGGAGTTAATAAAAGTGCCTAGTTACAAAGATGATAAAAAGACAAAGTCATTCCAGACAGACTTAGCTGAGCCCTGGCCCTAGGGCCCTCGCTCTCCACCTCCACGGGGCCCAAGAGTCATCAGCCCAGCTCACAGCGGGGGTGGCCACCGACTTGTGCTTTCCAGCTCTTGCTCTGTCTTTACATTCCAGGACATTTCTGCCCAGAGGGGGTGTCTTGACATGGCAGGAAGGGAACACGCTGAACACTAAGTCTTGCAATAGCGCCTTCTACGCAGGTCCCTGCTCATGAGCTCAGTAGCCAAGACCCTGCCGTCCTGATCACACAGGGAACTGGATGCGTCCTTTTGCTGGGGAGAGCACTGGCTTATTCCTCATGACCATGCCCCCCCCCCCACACACACACACAGACACTCAAGCACTCTGGCTTCCAACCTGGCTGCAACCAAAGCATCACCTGTCTTTTTTCCTACTTTCTTCGATATTTGAGCCGCTGTCAGGTGAGGAGCAGAACTTAGTGCTCCAGATATGGCCCTCCAACCAGCTGCCTAGGGGGTTACTGGGGGAGTGCAGAAATGCAGATGCCCTGGCCCCGCCCAGACCTACTAACTCAGAATCTGTCTTTTGACTAAATTCACAGGGGACTCATCAGTATGTCACCAAATGCAGGCCTTGACCTACCCATGGCACCAAAGCCAAAACCCACACCACCAGCCTTGGAGAAAAGAACCAGTTTAGGGCAAGAGAGTGGAGGCAAAGCTCAAATCAGTCTCTTTGGGTGGAATTTTTGGGCCCGAGGAAGAAAGAAGACATAGCTAAAATCACAAGTCAGTAGAGATTTATTGGAAAAGTAGTGGATAAAGGTTTATTTGCCCCATTGTTCCACTCTCCAAGCCCGCCCTGCTAGTCTTTCAAAATAAGCAGAACCAGAAACAGATCATCATCGTATCTGTGGCACATAAAAGTTTGCAAAGCACCTTGCAGAGAATCAAGAGACACACAAGACCAACTGGGCCATGTCAGGGCCTTCCTGTGAAAGGACAGTGGACTCAGGGCACCGTGAACACTGCAGCCTAAATACGGGTAAAGATGACCGGGCCCTGCTGGATTTAAATATTCAGAAGCCAAAGCAGGAGGCTCCAAGGGTACATCATGTTTACCTAGAAGGTTTTCCCTCCTGAGCGCAGCACCAAGCCGCCCCTCAGCATGCCCAGGGCCCGGTACAGAAGTAAGGAGGTGGATGACACTTTCCCTGGAGGCCCTGAAACACGCTGTTTCTTTGCACAGTCACATAAACACGCGGCAGTGTGGCAGTCCTGGTGTGTAATTTAGATTGCTGCCCCATTGATTCAACTATGGCCCGGGCAGACGCAAGTAAACCGAACCCGCGGTTCTGGCCGGCCACGGTCCAGTTGCTCCGACTGCGGGAGAGTGACCACCTCGGCTGCACGCCTAACTAGGCAGTCGGGCAATAACCTGCGCCCTCTGGACCGAGCCATTTGCTTTATCCATTGCGGGAGTGAGATCAAGCTGGGCAGTGAATGTGGGTCATTCATGCAGGAAGAACTCATTGAAGGTGAGGCTGGATTGATTGGAATTAGTCATTCCCGAGTCGGCGCAAGGGCATGGCAGAGAGAGAGAGAGAGAGTTCTCCCTGCTTAGGAGACTCCAATACCCCTCTCCAAGGCGAGGCCAGGGCTGAGTCCAGCCTGCGGGGCCTGAGGGGGCCTGTGGGGCCTGCCAGGGAGGCTGCTGATGGCCGTAGCCCCAAGGGGGAGGTGAACAGCTCCTGGAGGGGGCCTCGGAGAGGGGGAAGCACTCGCATTGGTATGCACACAGCTCCCCGCCAGTGTTGTGTGTGTTCTGTGTGAGATAAGAAAGAACTCGAAGTCTCAGGACGGCTTATTGACCACACGCCTTTCTGCTCAGCCTATAACATCATTGTTAGGGGAAATGTCAGCGCAGGCACTGAAGGGTGGAAAAACATGAAGTCAAATTTCTCACATGACCATGGTTTGAATGTTTGTTGGGCTTTTGCTTCCACCGAATGAGGCTGAGGATTCTCTGCAGGCTGATTCGATCCAGCCAGCCTCACTGGAGTGGACACATTTGAACAAGTCATCTGCGCTTCCTCCTCGCAGAAGGGGGTCGGGAGCAGGCAGCCAGTTCAGCAGTCTCTCTGCAGAGAAATCATTTTCCTAACATCCCGCGCGTCCTCAGGCCGCGCCGTGTTCCTTCTCCAGCCATCTGCCGGGAGGATGCAGCCATAAGACATCTTCCCTCGCTGGCATAATTAAAAGAGATTCGCTCCTTTCAAACGTTGTGTTACATTTACATTCAAAGTTATTTTGCTCTCTCTTTGCCCTTGCCCTCAAGGAATTGTGGGATTTCAAGTTAATAGGCTTTTAATGGTTCTGTGATAACTGTGATTATAAACTGTGAATCGGATCGGGGAGCATCGCCGTTCGCCGGCAGCTCAGCAAAGACAACACTGTTGCTTTTGATCCTCGGTTGAAATTTGGTTTTCAGCGTTCAGACACCACCATCCTTCAGAAAGGGAAAACTGAAAGGCATCTCATTGCTTCACAATTACTTTGACAACAGTTTTAAAGCCTTGAACGACACGTTTTCCTTTTGATAGATTAGCAGTATTTAGAAACACATCCTGTTGCTAAAAATTAAATTTCAAAGTCTACAATTGTATTTCCTGCTTCCTTTAGAGGGGAAGCTACTGGGTTTATTTAAAACACATGCAACATGTTGGACGCACATCCGTGCCCGCGCACACACACACACACACACACACACACGTCTGCACGCGTGCGCACGCACCCGCCGCCTCCAACCTTTCCCTGCCAAATATTTAGAAATAAATTTTTACTGTGTTCTCGGAACATGTAATTACTGCTTTGAGGCTAGTTAATGAAAATATACTTTTCTTTGAAACATGTTGGCTCTCCTAAATGAGCTTTTCCTTCTGAGTCCGTAGATGAATCGATCGTGAGCCTTCTTGAAAAAAGGAAGATTCTGATGGTTGTCGCCAGATGTCTCCAGCAAGCCTGCCAAGCTGGGCCTGGGAACACAGCCTTAAAATAGTCCCGGCGTCGCCCCAGCAGCCAATTAGGGCCCTTGATGCAAATTAGCTCCCATGTCCCATTGGCCGGAGCAGCTGTGACCCGCGCCTGGCTGGCCGGGGTGTCCAGCGAGCCTCTCCTCTGGCCAGTTGGTGCTGGCATGTGACGAGACCACAAAGAGTGGCCAGCCTGAGGTCTAAACAATCGGCCTTGCTGACCACCACAACTCACTTCCAGGAAAATCCCCATGACCACTCCCGGGGACCGGTATGTTGTTTAGGGATTGGGATAGTTCCAAGTGACAAAACGCTCCCTGGAGTTGGCCTCCAGAGAGAAGGTCTCAGGCAGGGGGGCCCTCGTTGGGAAGAAATCCAGGAGATTTAACCTTAACCTCAAAGGGGTTAAGGCAGGTCCCGAAAGCCAAGTGATCAAGGCCAGGACTCAGTCCTAGTCCAGATCTTAATTTGAAGGACTATTTTGGGGGGGTCTTGGGGGCAGGATGACTGGGGATATGGAAGGCATTTGCAGCTTGCCTTTAGGGTTTCCACCTCCCCGATCCTAGCAATATCCCCCAACACTGCCACTTACTACGTGTGTGATTACAGGTAGTGGGGTTGTGGGGGAGGCTTGTAAGGACTGAAGCCGTTGACATAAACAAAATGCACAAAAAAGTGCCTGACTCATCATTTGGAGTCTATGCTGGCTCATTTTTTGCATATTACACGATCCCAGAGGACACATATTTTACCAGGATGCCCCTGGGAACTCAGACTTGGTGGGGGTGGGGGCACTAATAAATCAGAGATGGGCAGGACCCCAGCTGGGGCCTGGTTCCAAGGCCCTGGAGCTCTGCTCACACAGCCAGGCTGGGAGTGTGAAGGAGGCAGAGGTGCAGGCTCTCTCAGCCCACCTGGGGAGCCCACCAAGAGGACACCTCACTCCCAGGGGTAGTTTCTCCAGGACTTTGACAGCCCCGACCTTGGATTCTGCTCCTCAGTCTCTTCTCTGCTCAGACTGAGGTTCCCTGCAGCTGTAATGGCATCTGCCTTTCTTATGACTATTGGGGGGCAAAAAGAAGGGGTGCAGTGGGTGGCATTTGGGTGGGATGTAGGGGAGCGGTGCCGTGCAGAGGGGATTTTCGACAACAAAGGACGAGCATGGAAGAGGTAAAGACAAATGTGGGTTCTCTACAGCTTCACTAATAGCAAGTCCTGCTTCTGTCTGCATGCAGGTCTTCCAGGAAAGCTCCTCAGCCATGACAGCCTCTCCACTCCGGCTCCAGTCACAGGCCAAGGATCAAGCTTTGCTGAAGCAGAGTGAGGAAGGGAATGACAGTCAAACATCTTCTTTTTCCTCTTTCAGATTGTAATCAGCTCTCCACAAGGTCATCCGGGAGCGGCAAGGACAGTCTGGACCCCTCCTGGCTCTGCTCAGTAATGGACAGAAGCAATGGTGCAGATAATCTAGCCAAATGGTGGGTAATCCAAAAGTCATTTCCATGTGGCCTTGGGAGAAGTTTCCACGCTCATTCTGAGTGTGGGTGTTTGCGAAGCTCCTGGCCAAATCTGGGGTGCACAGTGGGTTGCGCAGTGGGTTGCACACACACGCTGACATCAGGCTGCACTGGGAGCAAGGCAGCTCCCAGCTGGGCATGGGCTGTGGTCACTGGTGGAGAGTGATGACAGTGGCCTCAGGGAGGGGTGTGCAGGGTCTCCATGCCCCACCCATTTCATCTCCATCCTCTCAGCCCTGCCCAGTCTGAGCCCAGTGCACCACTGCCAGGGCTCCTTTGTCCTCTGTCTTCCTGGAAGATCTGAGCCACAGGGGTGGAAGCAGACAAAACCCGACACACATTACCCCCCCCCCCAAAAAAAAGTGATGAATATTCCAGAAAAGAGACAGCACACATCTGGTTCAGCCCTTAGCAATATTTGTCACATTACAGTAAAGAAAATAGCTTTTTAATGTAGCCAAAACTATTGGGGGGGAGGGCTAGTGGGGAAGAGTATGTATGGAGAAAAGAAGGGCGTGGTTATAATTAAGTGTCCACCTGTCTGATATACCATGTATAGAAATCAAAATATAATGTTAAAAAAAGCCTGATAAGTGAAAAAGCAGTTGCCCAGACAAGTGAAGGATGAGGGTCAGGCAGATATTAGTGCATCTACATCTGGGCAGCGATGTTCAAAACAGCCAGTGCTGGAAGCAACCCAAGCGTCGGCAGGCAGGTGAATGGATAAATAACATGGTGTATACACAACGTGGAATATTACTCAGCCATAAAAAGGAAGGAAATGCTGTTCTAGGCTGCATGGTGGACGTGTTTCTGTGATGAAAGTAAAATTTAATTTAATTTTTTGAAAGATTTATTTATTTATGCATACAAGAACTAGGGTATAGGCTAGAGGTGCGGGGGGTGAGAGGATTCACCAGAGGCAGAGTGGGGAACAAAATAGACAGATCTACTGAAATACACTGCTGAGGGGAGCAGCGGGGAGACAGGAGAGGTCTGCTATGCCATGTGGGTAGCTCCCTGGCCGGGGATCGAACTTGTGCTGCAGTGGCTGCCAATAGCTTCATAGTGCTAAGACTTAACCTGTTGTACCACTGGGGAGGCCCTAAAATTTAACTTTAAACATATGCTGCAGTTAATATCTCTGTATTCCTATTTATGTCCGCAAATATCTGGTTCCTTCCAGTGATATATACCCAACTTTTATAAAAGACAAAGCACTGCACTCAGCTCATCTCATTGGCACAAAAACTATTCAAGTAACATGGATGCTGACAGCAATTGCATGTTTTATTGTAGAACTGGAGTGCAGAAACAAATGGCTTTCCTTGGTACTCATAATTTTTTCAACAGGTCTCCCCAGTTCTTTGTAGATCCCCCCCCCCCACTTTTCCCTCTTACTTTTCAAACAATCATCTCCATGATGCACCTGTGGAGTAAAACATAAGGAAAATGAGCACATATATCAAGCTCCCTTTAGAAACAGAAGAAAATAATTTTGCAGTTGAGAAAACATGTTGAAATATTGTTTTTATGGTGCAAATAGTTACATCACGATTTTCAATTACATTTCCATTTGAAATGGAGTTGATTTGCACCACCTACTGGAACATACCGCTTTGTATGGCCAGAGGTTTCAAAATTCTGAAACTGCTTTAAGGAATTTAGAGTTACATTTCCAATTATCTTTAAGAGGTCAGCCCCTTTGACATGTTGGAAATGTCAAATGCTAATTTACTTCAGGGAGCATTTTCTAAAACAAACTCTCTCTAGAAGCCAAATTTAATCATCTAACTAAATGAACAAATTGTACAACTGCTTATAAAAATAAAATGATTAAGGCCAGAAACATCAACCAAAGAGATAAAAATGTAAATTAGAAGCGAAACTGAAATCAATACACATTATCAGTTGCTAACTCACTATTGAAAAACAGGATTCAAGCAGACAACTGGAAAATGACAGGAAACATAAGCAAACAGGATAGTAAAGAGGACATAACTCAACATTAATTAAAAAAGAACTCAGCCAATGAAAATTTGATAGTGTTTATAGCCAAAGTAATAATCATTGCTGTGATATAATTGCAATTGAACATCCACGAAGTATTCATGTTTAGATTCTTTAACATTTTAAAGGAAACCCCAACAAAAACTTCCGTTTTTCATGACAAACTACTCCAAGCAAGGCATTTCTGAATATATAGTAGCAACATTTATTATTGTGTAATTGACAGATTCTGAAAAAATTACATCTACAATATCTACTATTCTGGATGAAATTGCTTTAGAATAGAGACCTAAATATATTACATTTTAATTTCTTGAAACCTATTATAGCATTTCACTTATTTTATGGGTATTTTGTCTGAAAATTGATTTTATTTTTATATGTCAACTAAATTAGATGTCAACTAAATTAACTGAAGCATAAAATATGCTGGCAAGATATATTTATAAACACACACCACCAAAGGGTGTGCAAATAACAAGAATCTAATTTAAACTCACACGCACAAAAAGACCCCAAGTGAGGGTGACCAGGTCATCCATAATCCTCTCCGTGGTTGCAGGTGATTTGTGTATGACAAGCTGTCTACAGTGACAAATGTCATGTGCAGGGGTGCTGGGAGGTGTTTCTTTTCCATTTTAGTTCATTGCTGGTAAGATTTCATTCTTAAGGTTCTCATCTACCCCCCAAAATGACCAAATCATTCTAAACAGGAATGTTCTACTTTCAGGTAATGGGGAGAACCTGTATTCTCCTGCCTTCTGGGTGCCCTCCTAGAGGTCTCAAAAGCACCCCAAGTTCCTAAATCCCAAACCCAGTGCATGACCTACTCAACCCTCCAACCACCCCTTTAGTGTTCTCAGCTTGTCCGTCCTGTTCCTCTACTGGTGTCCCTGATATCTGCTTCCCGAACTCATCATCCCAAAGTCCTGGCTATTTTCCTTTCTAAACCTCCCATCGATCTCTGTCCAGCTCCTCCATTACCCAGTGTCCAGAGGGCCAGCACATCTAGCTGGGCCACTGCACAAGCCGCGTTACCCTGATCATGTGGCCCCGTGCCCAGAGCCTTTCACTGGACATTCAGAGAAGTGTTTTAACAAGACCATGAAGGCCATGCCCACGCAGTACCCATCTGCCTCTCCAGCCCCACATCACACTTCAAGCTCCTGGGCTTCTGCCCAACATCACCACCTTCTTTTCCTGCTTCCCAGGCCCTGTTCTTGCTGCCATATTTGCTTCGCCCTCAGCCTGGAATTCTCTTCTCTCCTTTTTTTTTTTTTGGGTAGTTTCCTCCTTAACTTTCCTGACTGGGTCAACTCATAGTTGTGAGTTTTCATGTTGGGGGTGCTTATTTGAAAGTTCCTGCATGTCCCCACTAGGCTGTTTTTACTTACTTTTGCATTCCCAGCACCCAGAACTCCCTGCTTATAGAAGCATGAATTGCCTTTCTTAGACCAGAGCCAAAAGGATACCTGATGGAGCCCTCCTCTGTCCCCAACTCTCCCACAGGTGACAGGCCCACCTGGAGCTCCAAGAGCTCCAAGATAACAGCTCCAGGACTGCTTCTGGGGCCCACAAACAGGCCAAATCCTGTCCCCCAAAGCACCTAATGTATGTACCCCAATGCCCAAGGGGTGACTAAGGGGCATCTGTTAAGGTTGGAGGATAAAATATAATGGTTTGGGGCAGGGGATGATGACAGTGAAGGTATATTAAACAAGGAAGGAGGAAGAACATGTTTAATATCTGCCTAGCTTGATGTATGGCGTTAGATATTTGGACATATGCTGTGCCGGCCTCCGTTTGTGCGCCTCACCAGGTCCTGCAACAAAACAAAACAAAACAAAAATACGGGCATATGGCTGGTTTATTGCATATGCGAGAATAAACTTTATCTCTTCATGTAATAGTGAGATGATCCTCTGTATCCTTTCTGAAATGTGAATTCAAAGCAGAACTGACTCTGCAGTCAACAGCAATATTATAAATATGAATGCCAATATCCATTGATAAGCATGATGAGTGAACAGTTAAGCAGGCTTCAACTATTGAAGTCATTCAATGTTGAAAACATGTTCCAAAATCATTATATGACACTGAGATATGAAAAATCATGCTTGCAGGATGGTGGAACAATGCATATTCTTGCTTGCTTTGCATTTTGTTAGAGTTTGAATTTTTTAACATAAATATGCTTACATTTGTAATGAAAACCTTACTCGTTTAAAAAATCAAGTTACTTCCTGTTTCATTGACAAATACCAAGCTCACTAAACACTCTGTTATCACTCACAAAGAAGCAATGCTAGGAATTTTCTGCCCGTATATTTATTTCACTGGCAGAGGCAAAATTCACTTACTTCAGAACTCGGTAGAAAAGGACTATCGGTTAACTTGCTTTTTATAAACACAGAATCACAAATAAGTTTCATTATAGATTTTTTTTCAAGTTTAACTTGACCAGTGGACCCAGGGCCTGTTTTATTTTAGACAGCTACCTGAGTTTTCTTTTATTACCCCTGCTGCCTTATTAAACCCACCTTGATTTCCTTTGGTTTCCTAATTGTGGTTTTTTTTACTGAATAGTGGACTTGATACCCAATGTGCAGAGAACTCACTACCAATGACAGCAGGTTTTGAGAAAAGAAAGAAGGATTATTGTGATTCACCTGGCAAGGAGGCATGAGGTAAACTCAAATCTGCCTCTCCAACTGAGAAAGGAAATGAAGTTGTATAGGTTTGTTATTGACTAAGGAGTAGGCTATGGGGGAAGAAATATGGACTTGGTTGAAGCTCACTGTCTAGTTGTAGGGCAGTTCATACATGGAGAAGCATGAAGTGGTTTGCTTTGTTTTTTCAGATCACTGGAGTCTTGATTTTCTGTTGGTGGCCCTTGTCGCTGAACAGACCTCTCGTTTCTGTCTGCAGCCTCCTGGCTTCAGCCAGCCTTGGGGCCCAGCTCCAGGTTAGTCACTCCTGTTTGCTCAAACTGTGTCATCTGCAGATAAACTGTTTCTGTGAATACAGGCATCAAAGAGAAAGTTAGATATGTTTTATTTTGTGTTCTAGGGTCTAAGAGCAATTTCATCATTAAACCTCATTTTGGCCTGGAGATTTTTTTTAATAGCAGTGCTTTTTTTTTTTTTTTTTAATACAAGCACTGGGTATGTCAGACGCGGGGGAGGGTGAGAGAATTCACCAGAGCCAGAGCGGGGAGCAGAGCAGGCAGAAGGACCGAAGTACACTGCTGAGGGGAGCAGCGGGCGGCAGGAGAGGTCTGCGCGCCATGTGGGACCCTCCTACAGTGGCCGGGGAGCAGCTGGGGATCGAACCGGCGCTGCAGTAGAACCAGCACTGCAGAGGCTGCGGGCAGCTTCTCAACCCAGCGCTCAACCGCTGCGCCACCGGGGAGGCCCTAATAGCCGTGCTTTTAGAAATCTTCACTGGAAAATAAGAATTATCTAGTTACCAACCTAGAAAGAATTCAGAGGTTACCTTGAGAGGCCCAATGCGTGTGCTCCTTCTCTACCTCACCCCCACACACCTCCCGCCAAGCCCCTTGTACCATGTATCTGAGCCAACAACGGCGAGGTCACTCTCCAGTGCCCCCCATGACTCCTCCCGCCACACTTCGGCAAGTGGTTTTCCCTGCTGCCGCAGTCCTCCAAGTTCCTGCTCCAAACCGCCTCAGGCTCCACAGTCTTTTTGGACTACCTCCTACCCTCATCCTGCCCACCCCAGGGTGCTTCGCACATCCTGGTATCCCCAACATACATGGCACTTTCTGCAACCACAATCTGCCTTTTACTGCTGAGTGCTTGCTGCTGCTCTTGCTCTGTCTTGATCATGGGCCCCGGAGGCCACAGACCCTGCTGATCTCCATAACCCTGCGCGGAGCCCAGCACCAGGGAGGCTCCTGTTGAATGAAACTGAACTAAGCAAACATTGGCCAACTCCAGCATTTTTGTCTAAACCACTTAGGGCTTTTGAGAAATGTATCTTTTTTTAGCCAGCCCAACAGACTGACATAAGATAGTGATTGACAGGACAGATGAAAATAGCCATAAAGATGCAGCAGGGAAGATTAAACTAAAAATGAGATTAAGGATGAGCTAATTTTAATAATCATCTAAGAAAGGGGAGGGTAGGTAGAAGTAGACAGGACATGTGTGTGTGGGGGGTAATTGTTCGTGGTGGTGACGGGTGCTGCTCTACTTAGGCATGTTTTTGATGAAAAGATTTGAAGAGAGCAGCGAAGGAGAAGAAGCCGAGCTGATTTGCAGACTCGCACGAGTCCCAGGGAAGTTAGTGTTGGGACTTGGACGAATGGCATGTGTGGTTGAGATGTGCTATTGCTCCTTGGATACCATCCTTCCCTCTGCAGCACCCCAGCCCTCCAAGCACCTCTCCTCTGCATCTACACACCCCCAGACGTGCATATGCCCTCCCCCTCCATACTCATGCCTTGTCTTCTAGAACATTTCCACGTGGAAATGGGAGATCCTCAGAGCTGGGCTCTACTTCAACTAATTGGGTGGTAACCCTCACCCATGTATGCGATAAGACACATGGGTATCTACCTGGGCCAGAAAGTCTCTGATGTTTCTTAACTCATACCATGCAGAGCTCCCAAGAGAAAGGATCTGCAGGGGTCACAGGAGCCATCTTGGTGGAAATGACCCCGCTCTGGAAGCTTCCCGTGGCAGTGGAGGCCAGTACAAGCTACCCACCGCCCAGAATGCCTTCCTTCTAAATGTCCCCTCAGAGGGTCTGCCCAATAACTGTGATTCTCCCACAGGTAACTACCATCAGATAATAAATCCTGGTTGCATCCCAAACACAAAGCACTGTATTACTTCATACCAGGATCTTTCTGAAACAATCCCTAATACCCACACCAAATATGTCCAACCAGTTTTATGGATAAACAAGGCTGAGACCCTCCAATGGGGGAGCTTAAATTTCTCCTCCCACCCTTGTGCTGTCTCTTTCCTACTTCCATTCCATTAAAGGAATATTTGTAATGTAGATGAGGCCAGTCCTTTTGTGCAAGGTTGACGGACAAGAGGAAGATTCCAGAGAGAAATGCCACAGCAGCAAGTGAATATAAATGATCTTTTCCCATTTTGTGCTTATAAAATGCCTTTTGTCCCAGAATCTCCAAGCTGTCCAGAAAGGAGGCTGTGCCTAGAACTCCACTTCGGGTAAACATGAACCATCAGAGCTTCTCTAGCTGTCTGTGATAAGAAAGAACCAAGGTCCAGACATTTTAAAAATACAATATTCTTGCCTTCTGGGAAGTAACAAAAGTGTGCAGATGGGTAATGGCATCTGTGGATTCTGGCGCCATTTCCTAGAGAGGAAAAAATGTAAATAAATATGTAAAAAATTGTCATATGTGAATAACACCACGATTCACCCAGTAGTTACCAGACTGCCCGACCTCCCCTTGCTCCAGGTTCTCTCTCTGGGGGCCTGTGACTGCATGATGTGGGGAAAGTGTGACATGGCTCTTGGGTGCCCATGAGGAAGATGAAATGTTTAGAGAAATGTTTAGTGAAAGGTTCAGTGATGCTTTTTCATGAAGTGATGCTTTCCTTTTGTTCTCACTCTGGAAGCTTCCTAGCAAATGCTTGTAAGCTAAATGATTCATTAGGGTCTGCCTAGGCTGAAGCCCGTACCTGGAGAGGCAGAGGGGACTGACCCCCAAGCAGCACCTGGGATTGACCTGAAGTTTCATTTGGGATCCTTTCCTTCTACCCATAGTCATGGGGTGCACACAGCAAGGACGGCTGCTTGGGCTCCAGCAATGTGCTGAAATGCAGATAGTGATGGTGTGCCTAGGATTCACCTAGGGTAATCATCAACTTTGGAGGCTAAAACTCACAAAAACACTGAGGTTTCTGCTGTCAGGATAACACCCAGCAGAGACAGCCTTGTATTCAGGAAGTCGGCGCTAACAGCTTGCAAAAGAATTCTAGTTCATTGAGCCTCTAGAAAAGGCATTCCTTCAAATTCAATCCAAATGGCTTCCAAAGAGTTTCAAATACTGTCTTAAATGTTGTTAATCTTCAGGACAGAAATTAAAGAATTATCAGCTAATAATTAAATAAGGAATCACGTGGTTAAAACCGAGACTATCTTGCGATTGCACTGGCAAATAGCCCATCAACATCTGCAGGGTTTAGTACTTTAAAATTTTTCTGCTTTTGCCAAATGAAAGCGTAAAGGAAAGCATCACAGCTCTCGATTTAAAGAGTAGCTGCCCTGTGGTTTCTGGTACCATGGTGTGTCCACAACAGTCTTTCTAAAGCAACAATCTGTAAGCTTTCTTCTCTCGCATACCACAACTCGCTGAAAAATTTTCTGAACATGAAGCCCCATATAGGCCCATTTATTTATTTATCTATTTATTTATTTATTTATAAATGATATACTAATAGTAATACATTCACATGAAAACCAAAAGTAGAAAAGTTTTGAATCAAAAGCAATATTTGAAATGTTTTAATTTGTTGACTACAAACTAGCTCTGCTTTCATCACTGGAAGATAACAGTCACCACTGTGATAAGACAAGGTGAACAAAGCTGCTTTATTTTCAGCCCAGGGTGAGGTCCAGCCTGGGGAAGCAGGGTAGGCAGAGGGCTCTGGTCCTCTGAGCCCTCATCCCAGTGTAAGTGACAATTTATCAGTGTTGTAAAATGTGGGCTGAGGATAATGGGGGGAAAATTGGTGTAACAAAGTATGTGTTTCAGAAAGATACTAGATAATCTCCTAACACCTCTGTGTTAAGAGGAGTACATTGTTTCTGTTTGGGGGGGGGGTGTCTCTGTGGTCAGATGCAATCTACCAGTGAGAAGCTCAAGGACTAGATGTCAAAATCTTTATTTTAGAGGATGTGTTTTTTGTGACTGAATATGTGTGGTCAAACTATTTCATTGTTGTTTCTCCCAACAGTGATAGCAGGGAGACTTGGAACAATCATGGTCAAAACCTCAGGGTATTCACTAGCCAACATTACTTTGCTGTGCTTTGTGGTTGAATTAAAAGTCTTTGCTGCTAGGTTTTTTGTTTGTTTGTTTGTTTGTTTTATTGTTGTTGTTGTTCTTCCCAAGGCTGCAGATTCTCTTCTACACACCAATATTTTTTAAGTGGTCAAATAGTTTTATTTTTGAGAATCTTGCTTGAAAACTTTCTGATCTAATAATTTGAAGGTTTAAAGCACAGTTTACTTTAAAACTTGATTTTAATGGTTGTCATCACTTTAATATCTCAACAGATAAGTAAACTAACTTGGAAGAATTACATGACCTCAGGGTTTCCCAAGTCAAACTGCTCATTTTAGTTGCATCCATGTGTCATCCACGGTGCCCCCCACATCACCTAGTTTCCTTTCCATTTTTTGTGGGGATTGGTCTTTCTGGTCAACCAATTCAATGATCTCAAGGACTAATGCAGATTTATTTAGCGAGCTGTTTTACGAGCAATAGTTTTACTTGTATAGGAAGAAGGTCAGTAGGCTTGTGTCACAGAACAAAATTAAAAGCAGGATGCATAAAAGAGAGGAGAGCGTGAGAGTGTGGTGACAGACCGGATTAGAGTCCTGCAGGCAGACTGGTAGAACAATCCACTGGCAACTGACAAACTGAGGAAATCAACCAAACTGAGGAAATCAAGTGGAGGCATTAAAGAAACCAACAAGTGTGTCCTTACCTAGTAATGGGCTCTGCCACCTGATGTGCTCATCCCCTACATGCCTTGACTCTAGAGTTTGAGATAAGAAACTTTATTGCAAATCAGTTGGCAAGGAGACAAGAGGTAATGAGGTTATTTAGGTTTAGAAAGGAACCAGGGTTGAGAACAAAGGAGTCACATGTTAATGGCTAAGAAATAGGCTAAAGGCAAAGAAGTTCATTGACTAGTTACTGGGGGTCCAGGTATGCAGGGAAAAGGCTTTCCCCCCAGGTAACTAAAATTTGGGGTATCTGTTGGTAAGCCCCAAGTGGTCCCTCATCTGCATTTCTCTGCAGGCTCCAGCCAGCCTGGGACTTAGCTCAAGGTTAATCAATAAACCTCCAGGCTCTGGGCCTCCCCTGGTGGCGCAGTGGTTGAGCACTGAGTTGCGAGGCTGCCCGCAGCCTCTGCAGCGCGAGTTCAATCCCTGGGCACCAGCGAGGGTCCCACAAAAAAAAAAAAAAAAAAAAAAAAAAACCCTCCAGGCTCTGGGTGCCTTGAAAAGCAAGTCTCAGAGAATGTTGGAGGGGGAGGGCAGGGGGCGAGTTGAGGGGGGTGGGGAGGGGGTGGCTGAAAGTAATTTAAGCATTTAACGTCAGTTATAGCATGAGTGGATTTTTCAAAAACTCTGACAGGGCTGAGGAGCAGGTCTCTGTGTGACACCCACATCCCCTTTCCAGGGCTCGCACTGCTGCTCCCCACAGGTAAGCCAGCTCTGCACCTCCATCCTCCTGAAATTCTTCAGTATATTCAAAACAAAAATTCTTCACTTGGAAGATTTCCAAGAGGCTCAAAATTTCCGTTTCTAAGCAAAGTGTGTAGAAATGAGGTTTTTTTAAATAAGCAATATATGTCATTTTTAGCAACAGAATCACTCAACATTGGAAAGATCTCCAGACATCTACTTCCAAAAATGCTCTCTCCACGGGAGGATTCTTTTGAAAACCGATGACTCTCTCATCCACTGTAAAACCATCGCCGTTATCTTGAAGGAGCACGTTAAATCTGTTTATTTTCATGAAACTGTCTTAAACAGCCTCCAAATGTCAGCTGCTCATCATACAGAAAAGGTGAGGAAATGTGGGGAGCTTCTTGGAAAAGAAAATGGAGTACCCCATTTCTGATGCTTGACAGCTTTTTTAAGGTACTTTGTCACAGCTGATGTGTGATCTGTGGGGTACCTGAATTTCCAAGGTCACCACTCACATTATTACAAAACTCTGATAAGATCATCCTAAAAGCCTTGACTTGTCACCAAATTTAACCCAGTGGATGGCTCCCCCCACCCCCCACCTCCCCATGCCCTGGAAGACTATATAAGCTGTATAATATGTGTCCTGGCTAGGTCCACCATGCCTGGCACCCCTGCTGGGGAGTGTGGGGTAAATAAATTAATCAGGCTTTTTATGCCTCTAGTCTCTGGCCATCCTCTGTGGCCTTGATCATGCTGCTGCAGAAGGTGCTTGGGAGTGGGCACGCGCGCCTGATGGTGGAGGCCTGACCATGGGTGTGTGCGCATGCGTGAGTGTGTGCACCGGTGTGTAGAGTTTGGGATACAAGTGGCAGCAGTGGCAGCAGAGGAGGACACGTGGTGTGACAATAGGAGTGCCCAGACCAGACCACAAGACGCGTGAAGAGGGAATACCAGAGAGAGCCCAGAGGAGAAGCATGTAAGATTCGCTGGGGCTGGGAGGTCTGGTTGCTGACAGCCTCCTGCCCCCATCCCCAGCTCCATATGACCCCCGCCTTGCACCCTTGCACCTGGTTGCCCCAGACAGGGTGCATCAGTTTTCCCTGCCACACTGATGCCAAGCTTGGCTTGTGTCTCTTCTTGGCCCCCAAAAGTGTGTGGCGCTGATGTTTTCACTTCAGACCAAAGCTTGAGAACTAGTTTATGGCTCATTGATCTCCTTATTGCTCCGTCACTCCCACGGCAGAGCTCCAGATGGAGGCTTCTTCGTCTGCGTGGGTCCTGGAGTGAACATGACGTGGGCAATTAAAATTGTGTCCCAAAAGTGCAAGGGACAGATTAAATACCGCAACTAAAATATTCTACTAAATATTTGGGATAGTTTTACTCTAAAAAACTTTCCTATTGTTTATATAAGATTCAAGTTGAAACTGAGTGTCTTGTATTTTCCCCTGGCAACCTCATTGTTACTCACTGGTGTTTGGGGACTGTTTGATTCAGCTGCCTAACCCGGTATTACCTGATCACTGTATCAGCCACCAGGACCACGCAGAGCATATGTGTCCATCTGTATGTTATTAGTAAAGCTTAATTTTGCCCTGATTTTTCCGATTAAACAAAATAGAAATTACAGTTCTTCCAGCACCCAAGGGGACTATTTTGGGAGCTCACTATTAAGGTCTACAGATCAAAGTGATTAGACATCAGCACTCTCACTAGAGATGTAGATTCCTGGGTATCTTACCCCACAGATACTGATTTGGAACCTGGGCAAGAGGATCTGCTCACTTAGTTTCTCAGGTGAATCTGTGGCGTTGGTGGTATAGTGGTGAGCATAGCTGCCTTCCAAAGTTTCTCAGGTGATTCTGAAGCAAATAAAAGTTCTGCTGGCTGTGTTCGCAATTGTTTAGAAGGCTACCTGGGAGCTACACCTGGGTGCTGGTCCTGTCTTTGTCCTTAACTAGCTTTGTGTGCTGTTCAGTCTCTTCTCCTTTCTGAACTGCCTTGGTTTCACCTAGAGGAATAGGATTGCTCAGATAATCTCAAGTCTTTCTTCCAGGTCTAAGAGCCCAGGACCAGGAGTCAGAAACTCAGCTCCTTCCAAGGTCCAGCAGCTAGAGGAGGTTGGGTAGGTGTGAGGTCAAGGAGGGGTTTTGTGCAAACCAAAGAGCACATGGCCCAACCTAAACGATCCCCAAATGCCCCCCTTTTAGCAGCCAAGGCTGTTTAGGATTCCAAGGTCCCTAGTCTCATCTGCCTGATAAAACTGCAAAATTTTCTGAAAGGCTTTCTAATTTTGCTTTGTAAAATGCTGTGCACTACGAGTAACCAAAAGTATCTATGATTGACAGGGATTTCTTTGATATCATCGTGCATGCTGGGTTTTTGCAAGCAGTCTAATCTACCAACTGTTTCATAATGCAATAAACGGTGGATACTAACTAATAATTAATGGCATGGGCACCACAATACTTTGGAGATACTTCATTGGTCGTTTTTAGTTTCAATTTTGCAGATTAAAAAATTATTTTGGAGCCAAAGTTTTGTGTCTTGAAGATTTTGATTATTTGAAAAGCCTGTTGGCCATAGTCATTGTACCTACATCGCTGTGCCTGATGTGGGTGAGATCGGGATGCGACCTAGCTCTGCAGGCGCTCATCGTGGGCAGGGGGGCAGATACAAGTAGCTAATATTTTGGTAACGTGACGAGTGCAGGCCAAAGCTGCCGACAACAAAGGAACCCTAAGGAGATGTAGTAGGAGTGATACTTGAGATGAGGCCTGAAGAATAAGCCAGATGGGGAAAAGCAAAGCATTCTCTGGGGAGAGGCACCAGCGAACAGAGTGGAACAACTTGAAGAAAAGCCCAGGAGGTCATTTGACAGCTCCTGTGTGGAGGTGGGGGAGCTATTAGGGAGGTAGGTGTGGGGTCATCTCCCCAAAAGGGCCAGGAAGGCTTTTTTCAGAGTGCCCAGACCAGGCCTCCTGTTCCCTGAGTGCGGGAACTACACGCTAACGAGGCCCGGTGAACCCCCACCCTTACCCCACCCCAGGTCTACCCCTTACTTAAGGAAGGCAGTACATTTTAAGAGCAATGGGGGCCCTGCAGGGTGAGGAACTTGCCGGAGTCCCTCACCCTTCCCTGATAGAAGAAATTATCACTCCCCAAGCTCCCCTTTTTTGAATGGAGAAGTGATCACTGCTCCCCCTTTTATGACCTGGAAGAAGGAATCTGCGGGGTGTCTCATCCAGTGGCAGGCTCCTCAGTGAACATGTCCTCTGTAGCAGGCCAACTCATCTTTATAATCAGAGTCAGGCTGAGCACCCCCTCCTGTCATGTGACATCTCCCCACTGTCTTTGACACCCCAGGTCCCTAAATGCAGGATAACTATCGCTGGCATACTTGTGAGGGTGCAGACTGGTTACAATAACCCAGGGGAGGCCCCCAGTGTGTAAGTTTTTTACTAGGAAAAAGAAAAAAATCGTAAACACTTAGAGCTAAAAGAATGTGTAGTTATGGAACTCAGATGTGCCATTTCTCCTTCCCTCTGGGGTCACTTCCTTCCCTAAATCTCTCTGGCCCCAGTCCCTCCACCAGGAATCCCCCGGAAAACCTGGTCCTCCAGACTGCCCTCCCCCCCCACTATCACAGGTCTTCTCAGCTGTTGACCTCTTTTTCTGTGCAGAGTTCCTGGCTGTTTTACTCCTCTTTGCCTGTTCACAGGCTGTTCCAGCACATTTCCTCATTAAGCATCATCAACAAAGGTCTTCTCCAGGTATACAATATACATGAATCCTGAAAAAAGAATTACTGCTACCTTAGGAAATTCCATCCTATAAAAAGAAAATGAATTATGCAATAAAACAGAATTTAAAGATTGTTAGATGTTAAATTACATATATGTGCTTAAAAGCTTAAAATAACATTTTACTATAAAATAATGCATAAACAGGAAAAATAGGAAAAAACTTGAGTAAAGTCTAAATCACTTCATTTCACCACTTAGACACATGGTTTGAAGAACACAGAAACAGACACGTTTTTAAAATTAGGACCACCGAGCACAGAATCTTCATAAAATTTTATCATTTAACAGCTTGTCACCTACCATTAAATGCTCTTGCATTTTCTTGAAAAGCAAGCTAAAAGATGTACAATAGTAACACAATCAAGGTATTCTGCACCAAAAAAAGACTTAAGCATCCTAATGTCAGATATTTGTGTCCAGTTTTTTACACTAGGTTACCTGTAAAAATAAAAAACTGATTGCAAGACAAAATAAACCCCCAAATCAATACATACTGCAGCAAACGGCTACACAATGTGCCGTCAAGCTCATCGTTTCATACATTTCATAAAACTGTCTGGCTGCACTTGCAAGCGGAGGCTGCTCGGGCACAAGGCTTTCTGGACATGCACCGGTGGGTGAGCTCCAGTCAAATGCAATCATTTTACAAAAGCAAAACTAATGAGAAAAGCACTTCCAACCACTTCTGCAAAACCAAACACGTTTTGAGGCAGGAGGGGCGATTCCGCCCGGCCGACAGCCCCGGGGGCGGGGGGGGCCCGCCCGGGTCTCGGGCCTCGGGTCTGGGCCGGGTCTCGGGTCTCCGGTCTGGGCCGGGTCTCGGGTCTGGGCCGGGTCTCGGGTCTGGGCCGGGTCTCGGGTCTGGGCCGGGTCTCGGGTCTGGGCCGGGTCTCGGGTCTGGGCCGGGTCTCGGGTCTCGGGTCTGGGCCGGGCCTCGGGTCTGGGCCGGGTCTCGGGTCTGGGCCGGGTCTCGGGCCGGTCTCGGGTCTGGGCCGGGTCTCGGGTCTGGGCCGGGCCTCGGGTCTGGGCCGGGTCTCGGGCCTGGGCCGGGTCTCGGGCCCGTCCCCGGGGCTGGCGCGGGGCAGCCTCGGGCGCGGCGCCCAGACTCGGCCGCGGGTCCGGGCCCGGGGCTCGCAGCGACCGCGCGGGAGAACCCCGACCCGGGGGCAGGCCGGGCTCCCCGGGCCCCGCCGGGGCCGCCCCGGGGCCGCGGCCGCCGGGCTCTGTGACGGGCGCGCCAGCAGCGGGGTCGCCCCCGCCGGAGCCGGGCCCGGCCTGTTTGCCAACAAAGACGCGCGCGCGGGGGGCGGGGCCCGCGCGCAGATACCGCGAGACGTGGCTTCCGGGAGCGGCTCTGACAGGCGCAGGCGCGAATCAGGCCCCTCCCCCCGCCCCGCCTCGGAGGGGGGCCCCGCGCGGGGGAGGCGGGGCCGGGCCTCGGCCCGAGCTCGCGAGATTTGCGCGCGCCCCGCCCCTCCTTCCTGTCAGGGGCCGGAAGTGCGGCTGAGGGGCGTCCCCGGCGCCTGCTCGGCTGAGCCCTCGCCCCGCTGGGCTGTCGCGGCGCCCGGTCCCGCGGCGCCTCGCCCCCCGACGGAGGCGATGGGGGACCCCAAGGACCTCGGGGCCGAGGCCCCGCCGGCCGGGGCCGCCGCTCGAGGGGGGCTCAGCCTCGTGCCCCAGGCGGAGGCCGAGGAGGCTGCTGCCCAGGTGAGGCCGCCGCGGGGCACCTGCGGGGCTCGCGGGCCCGGGGCCGCCGGCCTGGGGCCGAGTCGCGCGCGGCCGCGGGCCCGGGGGGCCAGGGCGGGGGGCGCGGGCAGGGCCCGGCAGGCCGGCCGCGGGCGGGCAGGTGGAGGGCGGAGCGTGGGCGCGGACGCCCGGCCGGCTTGGGGGGTGCGGGGGTCGCTGCCGGGAGCCCCGGGGCTCGCCGCGCGGGAAGCCGCAGGTCCGGGCGGTCTGCGCGGATCTCAGGAATCACCGGTCACTCGCCTGAAGCCAACCCCAGCCCACCTGCCCGGCGCGTGCGGCTGGGGAGAGGCCGCGCCTGGACGCGGAGCGAGGTTCGGCCGGAATTTGCGTTTAGTTCACGGGGCGCGGGGACCCCCTCGGTTCCTCCGCCACTTGCGCTGAATAAATTTGAAAAGCGACCGGTGACTCGTTTCCTGGCTGGTCCCCACCGTCCCCACGCCCGGACTCTGTTTTCCCTTTGACATCACATCAAAAAGAAGTAAATGTCCCCCCTGATGCCTGTGTGTGTTGGATGCTTGAGTAACTCGCAGCCTGCATCCCCGGGAAGCCTGACGTGTGTGTCTTTTCAGAAAGGTGAGGTGTTTTTTTTTCATCCCTCCTGGTGTTCATTAAAATTTCATTCAATGTGTTAATTAGGGATCAGCTTTATTTCTTGGAGGCAATGAGGTGAAGAGCCGAGCCGTGGTGAAATACTCTTCTGCCCCTCCCCGAGCAGCATTTGCACGCCTGGAAGAGAAAACAGACTTGAAACTCCCACCTGCCAACTGGCTGCGAGAGAGTGCCAAGCTCGGGCCCGCAGGAACTACCATTCTTGGTAACAGTAAGAAAAGCAAGCCATTTTCAAGGTAAATATTTTCTACCTGTCCATGAGGCGCACCTCCAAAACGCTAATCCTGCTTTCTGGTTGAATCTGTAATGCCGATCAACTTGCTGAGGTTTCTCGTTAGGAAAAGATCCTATTTGGCTTTCAGAGTGCTTCTTGCCTCTAATAGTAGGAATAATTTATGATATGAAGATAACAGTTGCATGCACTTCTTTCAAGTCTGCCTCATGTTGCCAATGCTAATTTTTGACCACTAAAATTCTTTGAGCTGTTTCATCTTGACCCAGTTCCCATACCTTCCGAACACGTGAAAACAAGAATCAGGTGGCCCGTGAGGCAGCGCATCCTTCATGCTGCCTGGATTGGACAGTGACGGGTCATTGTGTTTGAACACGCCTACTGTAGAGACTCAGCATGTTCAGTGACCTTGTCCTTAATACTTGCTAGAAATTCTGCTGGCAGTATTTCAAGTTGAGAGAGTCATCTGGGGCCTCAAAGAAAAATGTACAAGTGTTGCACTCTTGCAGCCCGCTTAATGTGTGGGGGTGTCTTTTTCTTCTTCTCAGTGATTGACCCCAAAATATTTCCACATAGTGGATAGCAAGAGCCGTAAGCACGTAAATGCCTTGTGAGACAGTAGTTTGGGAATTATCCTAATGCTTCAGAAGTTAAAAGCTATATTTGTAAAATATTTGTAATATGTTTATATTAACAAGAAGTTGGAAATAGCCCAAAATCTTTTAGGCAAGTGGCTTAATAAACTGACATATTAGCACAATGGAAATGTTATCAGGTGGTTCAGATAATAATTATATTCAATGTGTAACGACACATCACTGTGTTAAGTACTTTACCTTGTTGAGTTTAATTCTCAAACACCTTTTTGACTTAGCTATTGCTAATTTTTTTCAGGTTGAAAAAATGAAGCTTAGAACGGTTAGGTAACTTGTAAGACTATGTGGCAGGTGATCAGCATGCTTTGCAGTGAGGCAGTGCTAGGTAGCTAGCACTTGAGTCTCTACCACTTACTAATTAAAAAATAATGACACCAGCTGTCATTATTTTCTGGCTTGTAGATTATAGTCCTGCCTCACGTGTGGTATCTGGCACAATTGGGTTGCTCACTTAACTTTTTCCTTTTCTCCTGGATGAATTGGTGTCAGGTACATGATTTCTCTCTATATATATATTGAGGGGTAGGGTGGGGAGGTAAGAATAGTGATCTCTTTCACTAGCACACAATCCCAGAGACGAAAATCCCGATAAATGTTTCTATTTCTACTTTTATCTCCGGATCTTAAAAGACTGTCTTGAGTTGACTTTTCTAAGAGAGATTTTTGGGTCATTTTTTTAAATTATAAAAATACAAATAATTGTTTTTATTCTAAATGTTTTCTATTAATTGCTTCTAATGATTATTACTATAGAAATTGAATCCAAGATGCTATTGATTTTTAAGTCACGCTGTTTTATCTACCACTAAGAAGGAAAAACGAACCATCTATTATGGTAATAGGCATAATGATTCAGAGATGCTAGAACATGAAAAACGTGTATCCTAGAAGCAGTGAGAGGCAGTATTATAAACTCTGCCTGAACCATTCTGAGCACAGCTTCCTAACCCTGCCTTGTTCCCTCCCTTAGCTTTGGTATGGCGTATGACTTTATTGATTCGGTGGGAAATGATGTGGATGTTGTCTCTGACTCTGAAGTAAGTGTCCTTATTTCGGAATGGTAATTGGGGTGTTTGTGCTGGGGATTTATAGCATGCTGTGTTCTGTAGCCATAAAAAATTAGTGATTAAAAGGTACTGATTATTGAAACCCATCTCCTCCTTTCAAAGAGGAGGGAGCAACCCCCCAGACATGGCAGTGGTAACTGACTAATGTGGGTGGATATGTTCTAGTAATAGCAAGTACAACTGATTATAATGTGTGGGATTATTTTGTATTATGTTACCAGTTGAGAATTAGAAATGATACGTCTGGTAAATTCTTTTGCGGATTTGGTCAGTTTTATCTACCAATCCAAAAGCCTTGGCCAGTGCAACAGTGTGGCTTATACACACTTAACCTTAAGAAAATCCTGTCATAAAAAAATTATTGACCATCATTTTCATTAACACACTATGACTGTTAAAGTGTGGATGATTCTGATTTTTAAGCTGTCTTCCTTGTGGCTGTGTGTAGCTCTTCTTGTAGAGTTTGCATGACTTTAGGAAAATAAGTTCATTCTTTAAAATTGGAAAGATTCCAGATCACACTATAAAGTCTTTCTAAACTGTTTTTCCCTTTAATTTTTTAAGAACATAAAAAAACTCCTGAAGATCCCTTACAGCAAGTCCCACGTTAGCATGGCAGTGCACCGTATTGGAAGGACTCTCTTACTGGATGAGCTAGACATTCAAGAGCTCTTCATGAGGTCGTCTCAGGTAATGCTTTTTATGAAAAACTACCAGAAAAGCACTATTTTAAACAATCACTAAAAATGATTGTGTTTCAAAGAAGGTCCAAAGGGGAAATGTAATTGAGTACTTCAGCCATGAAATGAAAAGTTTCATGCAAGATAAAGAACTTTTAATAAAGAAAAAAATAGGGGCCTCCACGTTGGCACAGCTGGTTGAGCACCGCGCTGTGAAACTGTCCACAGCCTCTAGTGCGTGTTCGATTCCTGGCCGGCCAGGGAGATTCCCACATGGTGCGGCAGACCTCTCTTGTCTCGCCCGCTGCTCCCCTCAGCAGTGTATTTCAGTCAGTCTGCCTGTTCTGCTCCCTGCTCTGTCTCTGGTGAATCCTCTCACCCTCCCGCGCCTCTCACCTGTACCCCAGTTCTTATATAAATAAATAAATCTTTTTTTAAAAAAAAAAGAAAAAAAGAAATGAGTACAGGAAAGAAGCCATAATTCTTGCAAAGAAAAGGATAGGGCCAGTGAAGAAATTGTGAAAAATCTGAAATTAAGGGACGAGTGTGTTCTTTTTTTAAACCTTTGATATCTCTAATAAAGTGATTCTCATGAAATATGGCTAACAAGGATGTGAAAAATGTTAAATGTTATTCTAGTGAATGTGTAGTTATTATGACTAGTTTTCTTAAAGCAGAACTTCTCACACTATTGATTGGTCCTTGACTGTTTCCCCCATGTGTGGAGCATGGAGACTACTGCAAGATACAGTAACAGCCTGGCAGTGTCTCCTGGCCTATTGCCCTTTTCTCCTCTTACCTTGTCTTGGGCAGGTTGCAAATAATTCATAGTCCTGCCAGCCCCATGGGCTACTGTTAAAGGAATATTCCTGCAATACTTTGATGAAGGAAAGTAACTTGCCATGGTGTAAGTTGACATTTAAAATAAATGTTTTTCTGATTAAAAAGACCTCAGTTCAAGTCAGTCTGTATCTTTGTGCTAGTCACCAGGTGGGGTCTTGGTAGGTGACCATGAATAAATCACAGTCCTTCAGTTACACACAGAAGAGCAGACCATTTTGGTGCAGTAGGCGCAGTGGGCCTTACTCCAGGCACAGCTGATCTCTGCTAGCCTGGCTTAGGGAGAGGAAGAAGGCAGAGATTTCCTAAAAGAGGTGGTGGGAATGGAGTCTATAAAAATAAGTGTTCCGTGAAAGAGTATACCAAAAAAAGAGTATTTTCTGTAAAAGAATAATAGGTAGCAAATTGTTTTTGACATGTATTAACTTTTTGTTATTCAGACTGGTGATTGGACGTGGCTGAAAGAGTTTTATCAAAGACTTATTGATCAGAAGTGGCAGAGGAAGAAAAAGAGCAAAGAGCACTGGTATCAGAAGGCTATTCTTTCCAAGTTTTTATATTACAGGTACCGGCTTCTTGCTTATCTGGAGTGAAAATGAAATTCTGATCTAAAATTTGATTTGAGGCATGTTTTGCCACTGTGATACTGTTAACCTTTGTCCTAAATTCCTGTTTTAAAAATAAGATTTGTGGGGCCTCCCCGGTGGCGCAGCGGTTGAGCGCTGGGTTGCGAAGCTGCCTGCGGCCTCTGCAGCGCCAGTTCAATCCCCGGCCGCTCCCCGGCCTCCGGGAGAGGGTCCCACATGGTGCGCAGACCTCTCCTGCCGCCCGCTGCTCCCCTCAGCAGTGTACTTCGGTCCTTCTGCCTGCTCTGCTCCCCGCTCTGGCTCTGGTGAATTCTCTCACCCTCCCGCACTTCTGACTGTACCCAGTGCATGTATAAACAAAACAAACAAATGAAAAACATGCCTCTATTAAAAAAAAAAAATAATAAGATTTGTGCTTGATTGTAGAATTAGTTTTTGGGAACGGGTAGACTGATAAGTGCAGTAGGCTGTGGTAACAGTGATCATTTTGTTTCCGGCTTGGCAGTATCAATGGTGATGGAGCCGCTCAGCCTGTCCCCTCTGCTGCCGAACAGCAGGAACCGTCCAGTTCAGATCAGGCAAATGAGTCCGACGGTGCTTCGTGGCCTGCCCCCTTTGAAATGCCAGCTTCGGTGTCAGAAGATCCCAGCACTTCCAGCCAGGTCAGTCAGTGCTTAGGTTCCGACTCAGTAAAACCGTATGAGAAGGCAGCACCACTGTTGTTGATTGGCGCCATCACTTACCTTGTTTTATTTTTAACAAAAAGCTGAACAGGAGTAAAAAAATTCTCTGAATTTATGACTTGCAATTGGAAAATATACTTTTTAGTGTTTCAAGGTAGAATTCACAAGAGCTATTTATGGATGACTTGATCAGATTTTTTAAAAAAAAATTCAAAATATTTAAAGGTTTTTCCCAGTATTTAAAATAGCTTACTAATAGCTTATCAATGCTGATTCCTTCCTTGGGTCATGAGCGCTATGTGGTGTGGTGATACAGTATGTTTGAAGCTTTTGGTATATAGTAATGCCTTTGAAAAACCACTACTCACAGGCCTCTTTGTAAGTTAAATATTGAGCTTTTCCCCTTAACTGCTAATGGGTGTTAAACCTAAAAAAGCCCTTCAGATTTGCTGAAGTTCCCAAGACTTAATCTTCATTAATGTTATAAAACTTTTAGAAAGGAAGAGAGAGTAGAATGTGTTGTCTGTTTTGTCGCTTATATTCTTGATCTCTCCTTATTGCTTGTTTATTTTCATCCTTATTATATCTACAAAAGAATAAAAAAATCCATCAATGTAAATTGTGCATGTCTGTGTTCAGGGAAACATGTTGATAAACTTGAAGAAGATAAAAATAAGAGCTTTGACTTGGTAAATTGTGCTTTTCGTCTTTCTGTGTGGCCTCACATATCGAACATTAGTCTGCCAGATTGTGTCTACACAAATTACAGGCCTATAGGAGGCAGATACATTTAACTTCAGTTCTAGCAGATTTTAAGGCCTAGAAAGCTCATTAAACTATGTAATGAATTTAAATTTTTTCCAAAGTGAAGAAATTTTTTTTCAAACTTGGGGAAACTCTCAGGACACAAGAGGAAGTCATCACCCCGCAGGTCCCTGAGTGGTGAGCCCGGGGCTTGGGGGTGACTGAGAAGGCACCGGCCGTCACGACTGGTCGTGGTTACGTGGGTGATTTACTTTGTCAGCGTTCCTTGGACTGTATCGTGTGCTATCCTGTATGTGGTTCTGTTTCACTAAAGGACTTTTAAAAATTCATTAAGCATTCCTTAATTTTAAATTCCTTGCTGCAGAAAGACCACATTGTAGAAATAATACTCTTGTACCCCCCACCTTTGCCAGCCTTATCACTGTGTGCTGTCCTTGCTTAGGGGATGCTGTGAGAAATCTTGGCGGCTTTCACAATCTGTAGACTTAGTGGTGGAGGAAGTGAGCTGGCATTATTTAATGCCACTTACGCCTATACTTCACGCCATCACACTGTGTGTGTGTGTGTGTAAAATTTGGAGCTGTTAATGTATTAAATGCTGTTGCCACTTTAAAAATAGGTCAGCTAAAATTCATAAAATGTCAGTGTTTTTTCCCATGGTTGCACAGATGGTGAAGTTCGAGCTAGGGTTTAGACCTAGATCTCTGCTATCAGAAGTCTGTTCTTACAGCAGTACTACATGTAGCAGGTGTCCTATCTCAACAATGCATATTCCTCAGTAGAACTAGCCTGCCATAAAAATAATTTAAAAATTGTTTTATGGAAGTGACATAGGTTTATCCCTTCATCGAGTGTTCAGGTGGGCAGCACTATCTTCAGCACCTGCATAGACTGTGCTGTGTTGGCCACTCAGAGCTTCAGCCATCCCCGTCACCTAACCCCTCTTACCTTATTTACCCGCCCCCCCTACTCTGTCACCCTTGGCTTTTGGTAGCTTCCCCATGAGTGAAGTCACAGATATTTGTCTTTCTCCACTTGATTATTTCACGTAGCCTAATGCGCGCGAGGTCTGTCCATGTTGTTGCAAATGGTGAGAAAAAATAGTCTTCAGAATATTTTTTAAACATACCATGCTGCCCCAATTTCAACAATGAGATATTTATTTTGGCTTATAAGCTGCCACCTCATGACTTCTTATTTTCAAAACCAAAACTGCTAGTTTGAGTCCTGTGTGAAGCAGTGATAGCGCTTAACTAGGTATGTGCCTTGGCCTTGAACCCAGCCTTTACTGAGAAGATTATAACCCAGACCCCAAATTCCCACTAGCTACCTGACAAATTCAGTTTTGGGGATCGGTTCATAGGTTGATAACTTGTCTATATAAACAAATAATAAAAGAGTTTGAAATTGTTTGAGAACACCTTAGGGAGCAATGAAGGTGCAGCACATCTGGGGTCTCTCCCTCAACCCCCCTCACCTCACCCCCACTTGCAGCCATGGACATTTCACGGGGGGGTGGCGAGCCTATTAGCATGGACCTATGATGAGAAGACAGCATTTTCCTGGAATAAGCAACACACACATAAATGCATGCCCGTCTTGGGGTCCGTAGAGCATTGATGTAATATAGAAATAGCGACAGCTGTCCTAATTCTTGGAAAACAGTGGAAGGCTGAGTTTACCCAGTGACGGAAGTCCCCCTTCCAAAATGTTTATCAAAATATATTCTATAGAATGTAGTAAGAATTGAAAACATTCTGAGATGACATCCGTTTGAGAGCAGCGGATAATACCCAGGTGAAGTAGGTTTTCCTACTGCAGAATCTCTTAGGGGCCTTTTTTTTATGGTTATCATTATTGCTGTTTTCCAAAAACAGACCTACAGAAGCAGCGTTTGACATACCTGGCTCTGGAAAACATTCTATTGCAAGATGTACTGTGTGATGCACCCTGAGAGAAGGCAGAACCACAGTCTGTTCTGAAGGCCGCTCCCGGCAGTATGCTGAGCTGCCTTGGGAATGCTGAAAATTCAGTGGAGATTAGAGGCAGGATGAGAGCAGTGCTGTTTGAATTCACCCAAAAAATGAAGAACTTTTAAAGCTGAGATACACCACGTAGTGATGAGTTCATTATTGCCTTAGCCCTGATTCACAAAAATAAATGTGGGGTGTGTGTTTGACTGTCTAGGTGATCGCTTTAAAAATAGGTCATTTTAAAGAAATACAGCAGCAGAATCACTCCTTATCCTTGCGCTTTTCACAGGGAAGTGAGCCTCTTGAGCCCTCATACATAGTGGGGCATGTGGCCTCAGCACCCAAAGAACAAAACCTGACTACTTTATTCAATGACGGGGAGAACAGTCAGGTATGCTTTCCACGGCGTCCGCGTTGCGACGTCTAGCCCCCAGCCTACTTTATTCAAAAACGAGTCTAAGTTGGAATTCATAGGGGAAAAAATCCACTGGATCCTGAAAATTGCCCTCTGAACACCTGTGCTCATGTAGCTCTGTGACTTTACTTTCTCTCCTTTGTCTTCTCTTTTCTAGTCTTTCTGTAGATCGTGGTGGGGAATTACGGATTTCCTGTCTACTCTATAGTAATGTTTCCTGTTTTATTTTAAATCAAAGGGTCTTAAAAATGACTTTGTTCGTAACATTTTGTGGACATTTGAAGACATACATATGCTAGTTGGCTCCAATATGCCTATATTTGGAGGAGGCAGATACCCAGCTGTCAGCTTGCGTCTCAGGTAAGACGGAGCTCTCTTCCTGTAGAATCAGAGCCCATTTCACGTTTCCCTTTGGGCAATGTCACCTTTTCCGAGGATTTTTCACTTCCCTTCTTGCCTGCCAATTAAAGTGGCCACAGTTAGGAAGGGCCCTGCTGCCGGCAGGGGCTGACAGCCCTCTACCTAGGTCTTCATGCTGGCCCTTAGTCGGATGGAGTCTGATCAGCTGGACTGGCTTAGTCTTAGGTCTGACTCTCTAAATTGTTGAGAATGTGGTAGAATTTAATTAGTGAAGGGGGTGGTTTTTACCAGCTTTGTTACCTAGTTGTGAGCATTTTTCTTCATGCTCCAGGCATATTTATTTGTTTTTGTTGTGGTTGTTGGTTTTTTGGGGTTTTTTTTTTTTTGTTGTTGTTTTCAAAGAGGCATGTATTTTTATTTATTTGTTTGTTTGTTTTGTTTATACATGCACTGGGTACAGCAGAAGCGCGGGAGGGTGAGAGAATCCACCAGAGCCAGAGCGGGGAGCAGAGGCGGCAGGAGAGGTCTGCGCACCATATGGGACCCTCCTCCGGTGGCTGGGGAGCAGCCGGGGATCCATCCGGCGCCGCAGAGGCCGCGGGGAGCTTCCCAACCCAGCGCTCAACCGCTGCGCCACCGGGGAGGCCCTCCAGGCATATTTATTTGTATTAGCGATATGACTTCTAACTTGGGTGTTACCTGAATGATGGTCAGGTGAAAATCTGATCATAGGGAACAGGTGCATGCAGTAGGCTTTGAGTCATCTGCTGTACTCCCTTGTAGTCTCTGAAAACTTAGGGAATCCAGCTAGGAACCCCTCATGGAGAGACGTGAAATACCGTCACGTGGCACATGCATCTCATCAGAAGGGAAAGCTGTGTGGCTCCCACTGGGAGAACTAGATCAGAATATTTAAATGGGAGAAAAGAGTGATTTATTATGGAATATCTTAATGAAACCAAAAAACACTAAAAATGTATATTTTTAGGGACAACAACAAACCAATTAATGTGTTAACTGGAATTGACTATTGGTTGGACAACTTGATCTGCAATGTGCCTGAGCTGGTGATGTGCTTTCATGTAAATGGAATTGTACAGGTAAGACAGTGTGACTTCTGGTAATTCTCGAACTCGGGCTGGTGCAGAGTACCTTATGTGGGGCTTTCACGAATGTACTACAACCTACAATCTATGCATGTAATTTTAATTTTAATGCCTTGTGTGTGCCCATAGTAATTACTTCAATGTGCTTATACAATGGAGGTGATTATTTAGTGTACAGATATCTACTCGGCACACGCAAAGCTTTAGGGAAAGACAATAGCAGTGATTGCAGCATGGATAGCCTCCATAGCAAGTTATTATTGGACATTTGTTCTCGTTTAAGATTTTTTATTTATGCATACAAGAACTGAGATGTAGGCCAGAGATGGGGGAGGGGGGCGGTGAGAGGATTCACCAGAGACAGAGTGGAGAACAGAACAGGTGGATCTACTGAAATCCACTGCTGAGGGGAGCAGCAGGAAGACAGGAGAGATCTGCTGTGCCATGTGTGGGTCAGCTCCCTGGCCTGGGATTGAACTCGGGCCATAGCATGATAGCCCCGAGACTTAACCCCTACGCCACTAGGGAGGCCCAGAAATGCCACATTCTAAGTGGATCTTGAATGGTAGCACACACCTTAAAAAACAAGACATGGATTTTAACAGGCTATTCTAAGTAAATGAAGAGGTTGATAACATCCAGTTAGGCCACACAAGGTTCATGTAGCAGCAGAGCAGAATGGTCATAGTTAAGTAATGGAGAGTGTTGGATACTGTACTTGGTTTAGTTTGTTAATCTGCAGTCAGTGAAGACTTTGTACCTGGGAGGTGAGATTTGTTATGTTGGAGTATTTATTTGGACTGTCACATCGGACATATAGGGAGAGCTTGGAGACAAGAAGGTTGGTTGGGCACTGTCCTGCCTTTGTGAGTAGTGTCATGTTCTCAACTACATGGAAATGGTAAGAATTGACGAGAACAGTGAGTAGCGTCATTTACTGAGGTCTTATTTTGTTCCAGACACTTTGCTGAGTGGCTTGCATGCATTACCATGTCTGGTCTCAGCTCCTCATATGCTGCTACTCTGATAGGGGGTGAGGATCAGGGTGCTCACGGGAGTCACCGGGCCCAATGTTAGTGAGTGGTGGTGCCAGTATTTGAGCTAGTATGTGACTGCCGCCTGCTTTCAGCCAGCATGTTCCAACCCAGTGATTCCTGACCTGCCAGATGTATCAGAATCACTGGTGGCCTCTTAAAAAAGACAGTTTCTTGGGCCCCCAGTATTTCACTACAGGGCCTCTGGGTATCTGTGAAAAAATAAAAAGAAAGCTTTGTAGATGATCAGAGCTGTACCTGTGATTGAGACCCACGGTTAATATTTTTATTCTAAATGGCACGTTTGAGGAGAGAACATGAGCAATGGGGGAGGAAGGAAGACTCAAAAGGTAGGCCCGGGGCCCAGGGACTAGAATAATGCTGCTCCTGTCATTACCCCAGATGGGAGCAGTGCCTCGATTTAGGCAGGGAAAGCGCTATATATGTCTTCATCATGTTTTCAGTGTGAGGAAACATAAAAATGCCCAGTGAGCATTTTGAAGTTGTAGTCATTAGAGAAAACGGAGCCAGAGAAGTAAGTGGGGGTGCCATCTGCCTAGATTCTATTCCAGTTCACCACCGAGGGGATCGATCAGAGTCAGGCATTGGCTTTTCTCCCTGCATGGCTGGAGAGGGAAGGGGAGCCGGCACCGCAGCAGACGGTCGGGAAAGGAGTGTTCTAAAAAGGAAGTGGCAACTTGGGGACTTTACATGAATCAGAATAGATGAAAATTAACCTTAGAAGACTATGTTTGGTCTTATTTTCCAGTTGCTTTGGCGTTTCTAGTTTTCGAGTGCTTCAGAAAGCATGCTAAGAAGCATTTAGGCAAGTGTGAGCAGAAGAGAAGCCAGAAAAAAAATATGAAGGTGCTTGGATAATGGTGGCGGTGGTGGTGTCTGTGCAGCCTTTACTGCCATCCTCTCCATTGCTGTACATAGCTCCAGAGAAGTGCAGCACGGGAGTCTAGTGTCCACAGAAAGCAAGCCAGAAATACTTTGAAAAAGCTTATCGGGTTCAGTCTCTCTTCACCTACCATCCTCCCAGCTGAAAACCATCAGGTGGAGTAGAGGAAAGTGTACCTGACATTGAGGACCTTGTTAGAGCAGAAATAAGGTCATGCCGCAGAACAGCCCAAGGTGGTACACCAAAGCTGCTGGGGGTGGGGGGGGGGGGATTCAAGTACCTTTGAGATGTTGGAGCAGTGAGGGGATCAAACCCATGAGTTTCAGCTCATGTTGCTTTGGCCTCTAAGCACAGGGTTTATGTATTAGATTGCTCTTTAACAAGAAGTGTTGCAGCCTGGGTTTTTTCAAACTGCCTGCTGTCGGTGTTTTACAGAAGTATGAGATGATAAAGACAGAAGAGATTCCCAATTTGGAAAATTCTAATTTTTCTACTAAAGTCATAAAAGACATTGCACAGAACATTTTATCATTTCTGAAATCCAATTGCACCAAAGAAGGCCATACCTACTGGCTTTTTAAAGGTAAGCTGATTCTTGAGTGAACCATAATGGATAGAATAACTACTGCACAATGAGGTTGTTTGTTTTTCTTTCCAGCAAGTGGCAGCGATATAGTGAAGCTCTATGACCTCACCACTCTTTGTGAGGAGACTGAAGACAAGTACCAGAACCCGTTCACAATGCCAGTGGCCATCCTCTTGTATAAGTGAGCGCTCGCAAGAGTGCACGTGAGGTTGAGTGTTCAGCAGTCTGTCAAACCAAGGCTTTGAAAAGCCTTGCTTTTTTTGTTTGTATTTTTAAAGAGTGTGTGAGGTGGGGGGGTTGAGGGGGGAGGGAACATAGAACGCATGCGAGTGCACAAAATAAAAGGGGGAGGCAGGTCACAGTATTTAGTTATTTCTTGTAGCCCTCTCTGTGGTAGAAAGAAGAGCATGCCTAGATTTGTGCCTTGCAGAGGAGGACTGGAGAGTAAAGTCGATGTAAACATTTTTTTAGGGTTGCTTGCAACATGATGATGAAGAAGAACCAAAATAAGAAACACTATGGGACTATTAGAACGTTGCTGCTTAATTGTGTTAAACTGTTGGACAAAAGCAGACATCCTCAAGTAAGGGTAACATTTATATGGTCTGAAACAGTCTGGTATGCTAACAGAGAACTGTATAGACATTAACTCCCCTGCCTCCTGACCACGCCATGCACGTGCCAGCCAGTGTCCTGGGTGTGTTGAACACCGAAACTTGTGCCTTCTCTGGAGTGAGATGTGCTTTGAAGACAGTGTGTTGAACATTTTGTTTCTGGACTTAAATATTGAACTATTTTAAATAAATAGTAAAATTAATCAGATTTTACTTTCTTAATGTACTACTAGAAAATTTCATTTGTGGCTCATAGGACATTTAGGACTACAAATTTCAAGCCCATTTAATTTAACAGAGCAGTGCTGTTTTGTTTCCTTTATCACTGTTAAAATGCGGAAAACTATCTTGTAGTACCTTTTAAAATAGCCATTTATAGGACTGACCTTGCTAAATATATGTAAGGTTCACATTCTAAGCTGCTCTTAAAATAATCTGTGCCATGCACCCCACGATTTTGCAATCCCCAACCCTCAGTTTTCTGAATTTGACAGTTGTTTTTTCAGTCTAATGCTAATTGTAGCCTATTTAAGTCAGAAAAGGTATGTCAATTTTTTTTTAAGGATCTAAGTTAATTTTAAGTGTGGCCACATCCAGTTTGATGATAAAGATTCGCCTAGAGACCAAGCCAAGAGAATTCTTTTTGAAGAAAATGGCAAAGCAAATTTTGAGTGGAATACCTAGTTGCTGAGTTAGGGTTACGGTGAGATGTGGTGTTTCATGGGAATGGAATGACTTCTGTGAAAGTATCTGTGTTTAAGAGTTCTTTACAACAATAGAGCAGAAGGAATGGTAATATGCAAGTGCTAGTTTAAAGAGCTACTGCGATGGGCTTTTCCCTTGTTCAGCTTTTGTGGGGGGATTCCTCCTTAGAACTGTAGGAAATGTAGTGTTTGTTGACCATTAAAGATAAATTCTTAGGAATTCATAGCTTGTGCAGAGAAATTCTGGTTCCTCAGCTTAGTTACGACACTTTACACATGCACTTTTTTGTCTCTGGTGAAATACAGTTGCCACATTTAAAGGATGAGAGCTGGGGATGGAATAATTTCAGAAACATAACTCTTGAGGGTTTTACAGAGTGTGTTCACAGAGTGTTGGCAACTTGGAATAGAACATTCTCTGGGTTGTTGCTGGCGAGGGAAATGCCCTGTGTGCAGAAGTACGAAAACTCATTAGTAAAATTTGCACCTATTAAGAGTGTTCAATTGTGGTAACAGTCATTTATACATGTTTCCTCTTTTCTTTTTATAAGATTATTGCTTCAGCCAATTACATGCTTTCAGAACTTTTTCAGTTGGATGAACCTAAAAAAGAAGAAAGTTCAGAATCTCCTTTAAATGAGAATTCTGATGAAAGTTACAGTGAAGAGGAAGAAGAGATGCCTGACAGCGATGAAAATGGGTCCTACAGCCCCAGTTCTGATCCATCAGATGATAACAAAGCAGTAGCTATAATTAAGTCTGTTGGAGAATTGTCAGTTCCAGAAAAATACAAATCCATTCATCAAATCAGAGTGAGCATACTGACATTTTATCTGTGCAAAAGCAAATAGTTGTTAGTTGAATTCAGTTAACTACTCAAAAAATGACTTCACTGCAGTAAGTCCTTCGCGGTCCAGGGTCTAATGATGATTGGCCTTGTGACATCTAGGTAGTTGTTGCAGGTAGTTGTTGCTCTGGTAGTTGTTGCAGGTAGTAGCTGCCACACATGCCCGCCTGATTTGGGGAGGTGTGTAAAACATGTCATGAAGTCGTTTGCACAGGGTTTCATTTCCAGTAACAGTGCAGTCAAGTCTCCTGCCCAGTGCCGCTTCCTCATCCCTGGGTGCAGGAGAATAGTGCGGAGCTGGCCTGGGAGCAGGCCCGGGAGAGGAGGTGATGGAGGGATGTGGCCCCTTATCTCTGTGTTCTCAGTGACTGGACTGGAGTGGACAGGGCCCTGCCCTGGCCAGGCCAGAGACCCCAACACCTCCCTGCCCTTCACGTCTCCATTGCCTGGATGGCCTTGATCCATCCAGGATCAAGGATGGATCCTGATCCATCCAGATCCATCCAGATCAGGATCCATCATACTTTTCAGACAGTATAATTACGTTTCAGTTTTCTAAATTACAATTTCTAGTCCCGTCTCCCTGTGATTACATCCAGGTCATCCTGAAAGGAGTTCTGGCTGTTCTTGGAACTGAAACACAGTCATATTTTATATGATGGTTTTAATTTAAGCTCTGAGTTAACTGTCAGATGGGAACTTTACAATCTAACTAGGGTTTTGAGACCCCTCCGCTGTCCTGCACCTCTCTGGTCTCTTCCCTCCGGTATCCCCCCACCCCGCCTGCCCTGACACTGCCCTTTTCTCTGTCTCAGACTCAATTCCGCTGAGGGCCTCTCGGTCTTCTCCTGGCAGCCTCTTCTAGGCCGTAAGTCTTGGCTGAAACTCCACCTTCTCCAGGAGACCAACCACACTAGCCAGTGTCTGCTGTTAGCTCCTTCGTGGAGGCGCTTATCTGTGCCTTTAGTTCTTGTCTGTCTGCCTCCTTTCCCTGGACGCATCAGCCCATGAAGGTGTGGACACTCTTGTAATTTCCGTGTCTAGAACACACAGTGGGTGTTCAGTAAATATTTGACTATAGCACGGCAGGAAAAGTTATTAACTGTCCATGTAAATTTTGGTATATACTTCCACCTTAAACTCCTCACGGTGGAGCAAAAGTTTTTCTGATTAGACATAGAGTTTTTAATTGCAAAAGTTGTGTTGTTATGATGCAAGGTCCGGGACTTGATGGTAAGCTACAGAATTCAGCACTTTGTATCATCCTTGAAGCACTGAAGCAAATGCAGCGGTAGTGTTTTTAGAAGCACATCTGGCCAGCACCGCCTTCTCGATGCTGTTTTCAAAGAATAGTCATCCTGTCTCCAGAGCTTCAGAGTCACCACTTGCTGTGCTCCTTGGGCACAGTATTCCGTCTCTGTGTTTGCTTCTCTTCCATGAGATGAGGACAGTAATTTTAGCCTCGCAGCTCTCACCAAAACGCAAGGCCCTGCAGAGGCCCTTACACTTGACGCCACTGAGTGGAGGGAGATGGCTAACTGGGTTTGCTCCCAATTAAGCTTGTAAATTACACAGTGAGACCATTGGTAACACTTGTTAGCTCACTGCTCAATTGATGATCCTGCTAACTGTGTTATTAAGTATCAGTGCTGATTAGAAATTGAGCTGACCTACTAGATTAAGTACTCATTTATCTAGAACATTACCACATGCGTTCTGACTTCTTTGTAATAGAATTATTTTTGCATTTTTAAGTACTTATAACAACTTGAAGGCAGGATAATCTTTTTAAGTCAAGTTTTTGTTGAAGATGCTTATATCAGTTTAAACTGCAATTAAAACAGTAAGTTAACTAATACCAGATAACCTCAATAGGCTGAATATGCAAGCAAATTTCAAAAATGTTGATTTGTAGACTTTTAGTAATTCCAGGAGATGAGAGCTGTGGGGTGTGTCGTGTTGCTGGCGCGGTGATGACTTTGAATCTGTCTCCGCAGCCGAGCTGCGCCTTTCCTGCGTGCCATGACACCGAAGAGCGCTGCAGGCTTGTGCTGAGCTATGTGCTGGAGGTGAGTGCGGGTCTGGCCCTCATGTCCGGAGAGCCATACTTGCTGTGTTGGCAGTGCTGTTGATGGAAGCCTGCGTGCTCTGAGTGACATTTTGCTGTGCTTTTTTCCCTTTAAGCATGAATTGAATATCGAATTAATTTTCCCCAACTCTTCCAGGTTAAGTGTGGCTTTTAATCTGTTTTCAAAATATAAATTCTCCTAAATGTATTTAGTAGTCCAGATGTTGCCTTATATTTAAATGTTTTCATCTGATCTTCAGCTACACATATCAAAAAATGTTTCTCTCTCTCTTTTTTTTTTTAAATAAAGGGTTTAAAATCTGTGGATAGCAGCATTAAAAAAGAAAGCGACCTTCCTGCAGCTGACCCCAGCACTCCAATCCCCTTAAAATACGAAGATGAATCCGCAAGGGGGGGTCCTGAGGGTTTGGAGAAGCAGATGGCCTTGTTTTTGGACAAAAGTAAGTTGAATTGATGTGCAAATAAGGCCTTTTCAGTAGCACAATATACTGGTCCCTTATCAATAGCAGACTTACGTCATTTCAAGCATTCATTGAAAGGAACTCAGGAAAGGATATCATGTGAATGGAAAGTAGGGGGAAATACCCTTTCATTTGAAGTGTAAAACAAAGGACAATTTCAGTCCTTCTTAGATACTTCTACTAGAACATAAAGAACCTGCTTCTTCTCCTTCCTACTGTGAGGAACTAATGTCCCCAGCCTGGCAGGGTTCGCCTAAAATTTCTGCTTCAGTAAAAGCAATTGAATGTTGAAGAGCACAGACTTAGGAGCCAAACGCCCAGCTTCAGATCTTGGCTTTGCTGGGGCAAGTTGTTCCACTTCTCGCTGAGCCTCGCTTTCTCTCCACGTGGAGACGACGGCGGTGCCTGCCCAAGAGGTTGTTACTGGGCTAGGCACGTCAGTGGGCCAGGTAGAGGGCGTAGGATGGGCACACCCTGAGCGCCGCCGCCTGGGAGTGTGGTCTTGCTGGCGCGAGAATAGGCTAGATTCACCGCTTACACAGTATCTTGTTCTCAGGAACAGCCCTTCTTGGGAACAGTGGGCTTTAAAGTGAAAGTGTTTTGAGTTTCTCGTTGGCTTTATTCTCAGTTGTATTTTTTTTAACTTGAGCTCCCCACTTCTTTTTTATTTAGTTGTTTTAAAAGTGTTTTGAAAGCCTGTGGTTTGTAATAATACCAGGTGCTTTCTAGACCTTTCTTTTCTTCATGAACGTAAGTGGGGATAGAGTTTTCTCAGGAAGCCTTTATGTGGCACCTCCTGTGTGCCAGGCTGGAGCCCTGGGGCAGTGAAGGGGACTGCACCAGGACTCTGGGCATCTCTGCCTTAGTTGTGGCATTTTCTGAAGTGCCTTTTCTGTGTCTTCCTTCCTCCTCCCTCAGCTGCTGGAAATTCTGCCCAGGTCCCCACACTACATGCTCAGTATCTTCACTCAGGACCCCTGAAGCCTCACTGCTTGTTCTCAGCACTTCCCAAGCTGCTGTGTGTGTCCTAGTGTTCAAGGGGTTATGTGCACACTCAGTTGTGAGCAGAAACTTCAGCTCACTCATCTCTGGTCTCACAGTGCCTCCCAAAAAACATTCATGAAGCAGAGGAGAAAGAAACGTACGCAAATGAGACTGATAGAAACCAAGTGCTTTCCATTGCATTGCGAGACTTGCCCTGTTTTCTGATAAAACTAGAGAAGTTGTGAAGGAAGGAGGGTGACATTGTTCCCACAGATTTTGTTCTTACTGAGCTACTTGCTTAGTGTCTTCTGCAGGGGCCGGAGTTACCAGTCATCTCCTCTGGTCTGTGCGGGCTCCAAGGAGGCCGCCAGGTGACTCCTTGTCCCTGTTTCTGGTGCCTGGCTCAGTGCTCATTTGTTGGATAAAGTAGATAGTAATGGTCTGGACTTGGAGTGTAGAATAGAATGTTAGAATATTCGATTTGAATATTCGAATAGAGTATTCCTGCTAGCGAAGTCAATTCAGGAGGCGGAGGGAGGGAGTCAATGTGGGCAACAGCAGTGACTCGCCCTGCTGGGAGGGCGGAGCAGCGGGAAGGAGGCTGAAGGCACATGGCCTTGGATGCAGTAACGTGCCCATGCACACCAGGTCAATGGCCAGATGCCACCCTGTATGCCGTGCCGGCATGCAGAAGTTGGAAGTAAGCCGATGCTCACCCAGCAGCAGGAGGCTGGGGTCAGCCCCCAGTTCAGTTACAGCAGTGACCCCGGGAGAGAGTGACGGGTGAGGCTGCAGGGAAGAGCAGCCTTGGGTGTTTGAATCAATAATCGAATTATTTTTTTGTAGTGAGACTTACATTCAAATAAAATGTGCTGCCTTTCCCCCCGTGTCACAGTGGGCTCACTTCAGAAGGGTAATTATTCCAGTCAGTCGGGAATGATCCCTGGTTCTTGGCAGCATAAAATGAAGCTCCAGCTGATTCTCAAGTCGTCAAAGGCTTATTACGTTCTGTCGGATGCCGCCATGAGTCTGCAGAAGTATGGGCGGGCGCTGCGGTACATCAAGTTGGCTTTGCAGAGCCACGGTGAGCCCCCCGGGAGGGCATGTCCGTGGGCAGGGGAGGGAGCATGTCCGTGGGCAGGGGAGGGAGCAGAGGCTTCAAGTCGCAGGGAAAGTTTACCCCTGTTTCTGTTGTGCAGCTTAATTTTAAAGTGACTTTTCTAGTCTTACATATCCTGTCTGGTATCTTATTTTCTGCTCTGAAGGTTTTAATTTAATCTTTTCGTTTTGAACTACATGATGCCATATGTGGTATCTGACATAAAATAAAGTCAGAATAGACACAGTGGTACAAAGCTTCCACCTGCTAGCAGATTTCTTTTAGTACTTTGTGTCCATTAACGTTCAGCGTGCCTGAGCTGCTTCTCTCTCCCACCCCATCCGCGTAGACACGTACTGCTGCCTCTGCACTAATATGCTGTCCGAAGTGCTGCTGTTCCTGTCTCAGTACCTGACACTGTGCGGTGACATCCAGCTGATGCTGGCCCAGAATGCCAGTAACCGTGCGGCACACCTGGAAGAGTTTAATTATCAGACGAAGGAAGACCAAGAGATCCTGCACAGCCTCCACAGAGAGTCCAGCTGTCAAGGTGAGCCAGCGAGGCCCGTGGGATCCCACCGAGGTTGCCAGTCCAGCTTGTGCTTACTTGACATGTTGAGAAAAGTGCCAGAAGTGTGTTTTGATGTTGCTGTCTTGTTTCATTCATTTCTTAAATTGAAATTGAGTGTGATCTTGGGTATTTGTGTATAAAGTGGTTTTAAAATTACTAATTACACAACTAAACTGAAGTAAGACCTCAAGACAAACTGTTGACTTTATGCATTTGTCTTTTCATGAGGTAATTCCCAGTAACCATTTTAGCCTGCCTTCCCAGGCTGTAACTTTGTCTTGAAAAGGAGTAAAGGTTAGTATAAGCGGATGGATTTCTTTCTGAATGATTCCTGAAGGCTAAGATATAACCAAGATCGTCATTTTTTATTTTTATTTTTTATTTTTTAATTTTTTTTTTTTGTGGGACCCTCGGCGGCGGCTGGGGAGCGAACTGGTGCTGCAGAGGCTGCGGGCAGCCTTGCAGCCGTTCGCTCAACTGCTGCGCCACCAGGGGAGGTCCAAGATCGTCGTTTTTTAAACGTGGTTCACAGCTGATTGTCTTAATGGATCACTGGTTTTGGTGTTGCCAAATCTTAAAACTGGGAAATAGGAGAATCGAGTCCAGGGTGCAGGACCCTCCCTCTCAGCTCAGCACCGTGACAAGCACAGCGTGACGAGCATAGAGAGGGAGATGAAGACCGTCTCTCTTGTTTACATCACCTACTACCCAGCTCCCAGAAAGTTTTGGAAGCCGACATCTAGAGAAGTACACTGGGGAATGTATTTTCTTGGTTTTTGTCCTTTTTCTACTCTTGCTTCTCTTTTCAAATCATAGATACAGCAGTGAGAAGCTTCAGTGTTTCACAACACTCATGTTAACTGGAAACGTGTGTTGTGAGATTGATGTTCTCGTTATCAGTGGTAGGTGAGCTCTTCCCGCCCCGGCTCCACCACCACCCCCCAGCCCAGGCTGGGGCTCTGTGCTGAGTCCCCTCCAGTCCCCACTAGTCTCAGAGGAGTGATAAACGGCGGCTTTTCCGTGAACTAAGATGCTAAGATCACCAAACTGCAACATACACCACCAGCCTCTGGAAGCAATCAGAACTTTATTTCAAGAACTATTTCTGTTAATAGGAAGAGAAAAGCTATATTGGTTTACAAGTGTCAGTGGAAAACTGTAGGTCTGTACCAGTAAGCACGTGAACTGGTAAATCTGAATCATGGGAATCATTTGGTGTTCAGAGGCAGGAAAATACTGCTTTTACTCAAGCAGTAGTGATCCAAGAGAATGTTGTTTTATAAATTTTAGAAATATTTTCTTTGCATTTATATTTTTATTTGGTATAGACTCTTAGTGGGTTTATACTCTTAGTGGGTTTATGCTAGTATATTTAATAGACTCTTAGTTTATACTATATTGCATTTATTTTATCTTTAAAATGCCAAATTACTTAGAAACTAAGGAAGAAGGGGTCATGAAATTCATGGTGATGTTTCCTTTTTTCTTTTAAGGTTTTGCCTGGGCTACTGATTTGTCTACTGATCTAGAAAGCCAGCTTTCAGTTAGCTGCAAATGTTATGAGGCTGCTAATGAAATCTTGCAATTTAGTGACTTAAAAAGTCAGAATCCGGAGCACTACATACAAGTGTTAAAGAGGATGGGTAACATTAGAAATGAAATCGGTGTGTTTTATATGAACCAGGCTGCTGCATTGCAGAGCGAGAGAGTCGGTGAGTATCTCTGGAATCCGCTCTTCATTGCCTGTTCTGTTAGAAAATCACTCCCGATTTTATGTGGTTCAAGCAAAAAACTATGGCGCTTGATTTTGTCATAAAGAAGTGCTGTGTTAAAGACACTGTTAAACTCTCCTGTAGTAGAATTGGGAAGAAATACTTCTTTCCCTTGGGGTTCATTACTTGTGTCCTCTGTCCTCCTGATCAGTTCAGAGCTAATTGAACAACCAGCCATGTGCTGGGCTCTGGTGATGGAACGTGGCCCTCGAGGTGGGAAGCCAGAGGTGAACACAGATCTTTGGCGCAGTATAACAGGAGTGGGGAGAGGAGAGGCTTAGGGAAGTTGTAGGTTTCTTGGGATATTTTTGGGAAGAAAGTGGATTTATTATCCATGCACGAACTGGGGTCTAGGCCAGAGGTATGGGAGTAAAAAGATTCACCAGAGACAGAGTGGGGAGCAGCCCAGGCAGATCTACTGAAATATACTGCTGAGGGGAGCAATGGGTGAGACCTGCGCCATGTGGGTCATCTCCCTGGCCAGGGATCGAACTGATGTTGGCAGTGGTTGGTGATAGCTTGATAGCGTTGTGTCTTTAACCCCTGAGCCACCAGGGAGGCCCAGAAAGTGGATTTTGACCAGGTTGATTTTGACCGGCAGGATGTACAGGAGAACACTGGGCAGATGTGGAATGGGCGGGAGGTCACCCAGACTGTGTGGGCACCATTAGGAATGAGCCAGAGGTGTTGGGACCAGTGGGTGTTCAGGGAGCAGTTGGGGGTCTTGTGTGGTGCAGGCAGGGGCCATTGGTTCAGCTGGTCCCATACTCAGAGGTATCCATGGACATGGGTGTGAAAAGGATGAATGTGTGCTTAGAGCATTGGGACTAGCAGGACATGACTGGGAACCATCCACAGGGGTCGAACAGGAGCCTTGAGAATGGGTGGCAGTGTGAAGTTTTGGCAGGCAGCATGAGAAATGGAAAGGGCTGGGCTAGAACTGAGGCTGCTAGGGCTACACAGAGTGGGTTGCTCCCAGGACAACCTGTGCTTTTTAGGAGACTCTGGAGGAGGCAGTCAGTGAAAGGAGTAAGACAAGCAGGAGTCAGAGACCTAGAATTAGATAAAGCAGATTGTGCAACTTCAAACTCCAGGGGGGCCATGCCTTTGCAATCTTGGTAAAATAGTGCTTTGCCCAGATGTCTCTGTTTGCTTGCTTTAAGATCAGTGGGTTAATATGGAGGAGGGTTGAGTGTTGTGTTCATCAGCCCGATCTGCTATAACAAGATACCACAGGCTGGGTGACAGCAGAAATCTGTTTCTCATGATCTAGAAGCGCCTATTCCCAGATCGAGGTGTCAGCCAGTCATCTCTCTGAGGCCTCTCCTTGGCTGGCAGAGACAGGACCTCGCCGTTCCCACTCACGGTCTTTGTGCATGCCTTGGTGTCTCTTCCTCCAGTAAGGACACCAGCCACGTTGGGCTAGGGCCCCCTCTGTGACCTCACTGAACCTTAATTTCCTCCCTAAAGGCCCTCTCTCAAAATTCACCCCTCCTGGGGGGCTAGGGCTTGAGCATGCATTTGGGCATGGACCAGTTGATCTCTCCACCACATAATATCGCAGCAAAAGACACTGGTGGACTTTCCACTGATAGCGGCTTACACAGTTGTTTTCTTTTTTTGTGAAGTGAGCAAAAGTGTGTCTGCTGCAGAGCAACAGTTGTGGAAAAAAAGCTTTTCTTGCTTTGAAAAGGGAATTCACAACTTTGAGTCAATTGATGATGCTACAAATGCTGCCCTTTTGTTATGCAACACGGGAAGACTCATGCGAATCTGTGCCCAGGCACACTGCGGAGCCGGGGCCGAGTTCAAGCGGGAGTTTTCCCCGGAAGAAGGCTTGTATTACAACAAGGTAACAGTGTTTGCTTGCCCCTGGGGCCTCATCCACTCGCACCTAATTGCCATTTATACTTTGCCATTGTGTCCCTAAAATATTATAAAGAAAAGGTAGTCATGACTGGGGACAGCCAGGATAGACAGGTTATTTACTTAGAAACTGACTCAACAATGTGGTATTAAAGATGACATCTTGAACTGGTAAGGCAAATTATTAATTTTCTGGTTATTCAGTAAATTGTTTTGTTGTAATCAAGTAAAGGTTAAGTAAATTAAAGATTTACGTGGGGAGGTAATATCTGTAAAGGTATTTAGAAGAAGATATAGGTATATATTCATTTGCATAGAAAAAGGCTTTCCCAGCATAACACAATAAGCAGAAATCACAAAGTAAAGATAGATTTCAATGTGTAAAAATAAAGTTGTGTTAATCCACAGCAAAAGGCAAAGTGGAAAAGGGAAAATCTAGCACACGTGACGGGTCAGCAGGTCAGTGAGCCTCTAGTAAGGAGAATTTCAGATGTTACGTTTGTATGAAATATAACAGTTGAGTTTCTTTTATTTACCAAGTTACCAAATATTTTTTGGCAAATGGTACATGCAGGTTAGAGCGGGCGCAGGGAAGAGCAGCATCCTTTAAGGGCACCTGGATGCTATGGAAATTCTGTCAAGACTGAGCCTTGCATGTAAGCTTGGAGATAGATGTGAGCTTGAGTTTTTCCTTCTTGAGTTCACATCTGTGCAGGAACAGTGGCCACGTCATCAGAGATGTAGAAGTTCCTGTTGTGTGTTAGCGTGACTTGTTTGCTTAAATATAATGACTGGATTGAAGAGTGCAGTACAACCCAGCAAACTTTCATCTATAGACTTCATCAGATTATTTTTCTTCTGGTTCACTAGTTACATGAACTGTAATTTTCATTTAAAAAGAAAAAGGGAGAACGCATCCTCACGCATCAGCCTGAGTCCGCGGTCCCCAGGAGAGCCTGACGTGATGGGAGGTGGGGACGTGGGCAGCTCGCAGCATCTCTGCGTGACTTTCTTTGAAATATTTTCATTGACTTAAGTTTTTCTTTTCCTCATAATGTCCTGTTATACATCTCCCAAGATTTACATCTGGGTAGGGGATTTGGATGGTTTAAATGTGGTGTTGGATGTAGATTTAAGCCGAGTCCGAAGTGCGCCCTTGTTCTTTCTTCCTTGCAGGCTGTTGATTACTATTTGAAAGCGCTGAGGTCATTGGGGACACGTGACATACACCCAGTGGTTTGGGACTCGGTGAATTGGGAATTGTCCACCACCTACTTCACTATGGCTACGCTGCAGCAGGATTATGCTCCATTATCTAGAAAAGCTCAGGAACAGGTAAAATGTTTCTGGATAAGAGAATGGGTTATTTATTCCTTTGTTAAATCTGGAATACCTGTATTGTCTTTTCTTGACACAATTTAAATGTTCTTAAAATGCTTATATAAGATCGTGGGCTTGTCTTTTATCTCCTCTCCCTTTAAAAAAACAGATTGAGAAGGAAGTCAGCGAGGCCATGATGAAGTCCCTGAAGCACTGTGATGTGGACGCGGTGTCTGCACGGCAGCCCCTTTGCCAGTACCGAGCTGCCACCATCCACCACCGGCTGGCCTCCATGTACCACAGCTGCCTGAGGAACCAGGTAGCTCTGTTCCAGTTGAAGTGGGGTGCCAAGTCCATTTAACTGTGTTTTGGAGCTTTTCTTACACTTTAGTGTCCAGGAGAGGCTGTGGGTTGGCTTCCAGAACACCTCAGTAAAGCTGGTCACGGGAATTGTTTGGTTTCCATAACTTTAGGAAGTAGTCTTTACCTATAGGCTGTTAAATGTTCCATAGCACTATGTCTTAAAAAATGTGTGTGACTTAATGAAAAATACTTGATTGCTAGGAGATGGCTGACCATCATCTGAACCTTCAGGGAGTCGTCTTTTTTCTGGCGGGGAGAGGAGCACCATGAAAAGCACTGTGTCTGCAAAGCATAGCACAGCATGGTGTGCCCTACAGGGGGAGCGCCCTTAGTCTCCTGGCCGTTTCAGGAAACAGGCAGTGTAGGGGTGTGCTCTACTCACGTATGCCATACGTTTTTCTCTACCGTGACTGATTGGGTCTTACTTTGCAAAATTATACATTTGCCTGGCTGTGTTTTTTAGTTTTTTTAAAATGTAGTTAGGCTTTATAGTAATGGTTCTCTGCAAATTTTGTAGTACCCATCTTCCATCTTTCACATTTTCACATTTTTTTTGTGGACTAGAGCAGGCCCCTAAAAGCATATAGAGAATGTTTGGAAAGCCTGCGTATAGTTTTCAAGAATGACAAAAAGAAGCCCCTTTGCCCATCGCTTCGAGGTTAAAGAATCGAAGAGCACTTGGAACTCTCCTGAGCCCCCTGTAGTCTCCCTCAGCACCCACCTAGATCAACTGCTGGCCCGGATATTCTGTTATGTCCATCTTTTGTGTTCTGGCACTTAATGTGTTTGTATTTTACCAGGTTATGAACTTTATAAAGACAGTATCAGGAATATCAGGAATACATGGTGGGGCATGGGGGTGTAATGTATTCTTCCATGGCTGTTGCCTGCCTTCTGCGGGGCTGCCCTGCTTCTGCCATCAGTCTGGTCTTTACAGCTTCTGAGGGCTGTCTTGTTTTACAGCTTCCCTTCCTTGTTAGCCACTTGCAGAATGGCAAACATCGCAGTCCCTCGGCTGTGGGCTTACTTCTGGGTTGTCCTTAACCTGAGAATATTGCCCTTTGAGGTCCAGCTTAATCTAAAGAGGATTTTCCCCCTACTTTTAGCCGGCCCTAGGCACTTTCCCTTGTCTGCCACAGGAGACCCCCCAACCAAAATTCAGCTTTGACCAGATGGTATAATATTCTCAAGGGAAGTACAAACTGAGGCGTTTGAAGACGGTTTGTCAGGGAAGGATGGTGTTTTCAGGAAATAATGCTGAGCTAGCTGGATATCCAGATTCAAAGAATGGAGTCACACTCCTCCCTCACGTCAGATACAGACAAAAGTTGAAAATGGATTAAATGCAGAAATGTGAGAGAGCTGAAACTATAAGACTTACAGAAAGAGCAGAAACTTGAAAAGCATTTACTGATATGCTCAGAGACTTGACTAAAGTTATTGTGAAACCCAAGCTTTAGGATTTGTGTTTCTTACTGTGTTTTTGGCTCTAGGTTGGTGATGAACATCTTAGGAAGCAGCACCGTGTGCTGGCAGATCTTCATTACAGCAAAGCTGTGAAGCTTTTTCAGCTTCTGAAAGATGCTCCGTGCGAACTGCTTAGAGTACAGTTAGAGAGAGTAGCATTTGCCGAGTTCCAGATGACCAGTAAGTCTTGCCCTTTCACTTCTCAGATTTGCATGCATTGGCTTCGTGCTGGATTGTCTTAGATGAGGCAGACCCGGGGGCCTCTCCTGGGTATGTCATGTTGTTTGCTTTGGAATCTACCCATTAAATGTCTTTGGCTAGGGGCCAGGAGAAGTCTCTGATTTCAAAGTGCTTTTTGAAATTTAGAGAAATAGATTATTTTCAGTAGCTAGGTATACTGAAATTAACTCAGGAGCCTTTTATAATTGTGGCAAGTCAGATGAGACGAAGATTCAATCCTTAAGAACATTTAGGGACTGGGCCTCACTGAATCCCTTTTGCATAGACCTGAAGCTGGCAGCTTTGGGTTCTGTTTCTAGAAAAGGCCATGTGTAAATCCCAAACAAGGCAAAGACAGGGTGGGAGTGTGTTTTTCTAAGTGCTAGTCGCCAGGTTCCCCTTCTACAGAGTGGTAGTTGAGAAATATCTCTTCTGTGGTAAAGAAAACAGAGACAATAATTTGAATCGTCATTTGTTTGGTTTCATTTCAGTTGCTTTCATCTATAAACTTAAAGTAAATTTAATATTTAACATGTATGTGACTCTGTCCAGTGTCCTTGGAAGGATGCGAAGGACGTGGTGCCATTATCACTTGGGGGGGGGGACTGGGGGATAATACATTCTTAGTTCAGTGTGTATTATCTATTCAAAATAGTTTCTAGAAGTGGTTTTTTGTGAAAGTGTTTTTGATGACTTTTTACAGTGTACAGCCTCGCTGAGTGAGTGGAGCAGTGACCAGAATTGATAGCTCTTTCTCGGGGTGGATTTGGGGTGGTCTGTTTTCATTTGCGTCTTTGGATTTTCCACCATGTTTGAATTCCTGAGAATGAGCAAGCATCATTTTCATAAAAAAAGGACAGATATAGATTTGCTAAGATGACATTGCATTTCATTCCTTTAAAAAATATTTTGAGTACCTTAGAATAATAACGTAATTGGTTTGAGGCTTCTGTTGACCAGGTTAATAAATGCTCTAGTTTACAGCACCTTCTGTTATATTTCATTATACCCAGTATTTTTTTCTCTAGTACACAGGACTCAGATTTACCTTCCTGGTCTTGATTATCTGCCCCCTACACCTAACACTTGCCTTCCAAATACCAAGTCTACACCAGTACCACCTTCATCTGTTGACTTTTTCATTTAATATATAGATTATGCTGTAAAGGAGGAAGGCAGCGGTCATTCCTTCCGCATCCTCAGGCGGCAGGTCCCCCAACCACTCCACCTCTGTGTCAGCAGGTTGGGAGTGGGGTTCCAAAGTCACTCTCCAATTTGACAGTTCACTTGGACTCAGATCTCCTGTCATGGCCTCTATTCACGACAGAGAAAGGCCAATGGGTGAAAATCGTCCATAGAAGGCAGCACACAGGGCAGAGGCCGGGAGAGCACCTGGCAGCATGCTCAGAGAAGCTTCCAGCTGTCCTCTCCACTGGTCACAGAGCATCACCTACAGGGAAGCTCACTCATACCTGTGTGTCCAGAGTTTTTACTACCGGGACACCAATAGACACAGTTAACTGCCTCATGACTGACTTGTTGAGGTCCTGAGACCCAACGCCAATCAAATAGCACATCATTAGGCTGTGACCCAGTGCCTCCTAGGTCAGCGGAGATGCTCTTAGCAGAAAGGACATTCCAGGGGCAAAGAGGTAAAGCCAAGGCCAGATTTGTCTAGAGAATGTTCATCTCCTGCATTCCCCACCACATGCAGCTGCTCCCAGGGCAGGCACAGAGGTGCTGTGTAGTCTCTAATGGCGATGGAAGGTGTATTCAGAGGCTCTAGAATAATGGCTTCCTGGGTTTGAGCAGTAACAGAATATGCTTATTTTGCAGGTAGGACCAATGCTCAGCAGTGACATGGCCAGCGTTGCATAGCTGCTCCAGTGGGGTGGCCTAGCCTGGGCGGTTCCCTTTGATGCACCAATAGAATGTTAGCTCTTATTCCACATTGGCCTAGCTCTCTCCCCAGCAGAATGAAATAGTGAGGCAGGGAAACAACTCTTACTAATTTGTGTAGACTTAATATCTTTCTTTCTTTCTTTCTTTTTTTTTTTTTAATATAGAGGCATGTTTTATTTATTTATTTGTTTGTTTGTTTATACACGCACCGGGTACAGTCAGAAGCATGAGAGGGTGAGAGAATTCACCGCAGGCAGAAGGACCGAAGTACACTGCTGAGGGGAGCAGTGGACAGCAGGAGAGGTCTGCGCGCCATGTGGGACCCTCCTCCGGTGGCCGGGGAGCAGCCGGGGATCGAATCGAACCAGCGCCGCAGAGGCCGCAGGCAGCTTCACAACCAAGCGCTCAACCACTGCACCACCGGGGAGGCCCTAGACTTAATATCTTTCTTTGGTGAAAATTGCTAAGCATGAGTTGGATTTAGAAGGTGTGTTAGGGGGCCTCCCTGGTGGCGCAAGAGGTTAAGCACCACACTATAAGCAATCCACAGCCTCCGCAACATGAGTTCGATCCCCGGCCGGCCAGAGAGAAACCCACATGGCGAAGTAGACCTCTCCTATTTCACCCGCCGCTCCCCTCAGCAGTGTATTTCAGTCAGTCTGCCTGTTCTGTTCCCCGCTCTGTCTCTGGTGAATGCTCTCACCTCCCGCATCTCTGGCCTGTGCCCCAGCTCTTGTATGCATAAATGAATAAATCTTTAAAAAAAAAAAATAGAAGGTGTGTTAGGATTCTCATGAACTGCCTGTATAGCATTTGAAAATCAGAATTTTCATTAATACACTGATAATGAGCGGGCTCTAGATTTATATTTAAAGGAAGGATCATTTTGTGTTTACTATCCTAGGTCAGAATAGCAATGTTGGAAAATTAAAGACACTGTCTGGGGCTCTTGACATAATGGTGAGAACCAAGCATGCATTCCAGCTCCTCCGGAAGGAGCTTGTAGAAGAATTTGACCAGGTAAACGGAAAAGATATCTGTCTTTTTTTTTTTTTTTTTAAATAATAAATTTTATTTTTATATTCCCCCATACAATTGCAAACGCCCCATTCTGACCCCAATCCTACCCTCCCGCTCCCCACCCCCCAAAAGATATCTGTCTTTATTTTCTTATGTGTCTTAAGCTAAATGGTGAAAGTGTGTAGTGGGGTGTTTGTAAGTGTGTATGTGTACGTTGTGTGTGTATAACACATACCTATGGCTGCATAAAAACACTTCACTAGGACTCCTATTTCCTTGGTGGAATTATTAAACTCTTCTGTTTACAAGTATCTCTCATATTTAATTTTTTACATCTGCTCTGATGAGGCCCATGGACTGGCCAGTAAGGCCCTGGACATAGAAAGTCTGCTAAGTTTAGCTTTTGTTTTTAAGAGAAAAAAGGCCTACCATGATGACTTTACAGCTTCCCCTAAACTGTCTGGGAGCAGTTCAAGGGCAGGTGGGCTTGGGCCGGCTCTTTGAAGGTCTTTCTGGGTTGCCAGGCATTCCTGTGTTCGTGCTTCTGCTGCTGCCGGAAGCTTCTCTGTGTCACCATGGGACAGCAGCCTGGTGCCTTTCACCCTTGACCTTGGTGCATCAAACCTGTGTGGTGTCCCTCTTCTGCACCTGATGTCGGAATGTCAGGAGGTTTTTGTTCAGGATTAATTTCATCTACAACAGCACCTATTAGGTGTGAGGCTTTCTGTTACTGTGTTTTAGTTCATCAAAATGACCTCAGGGGACGCAGAGGATGAAAAGGCCAAGGCCTCACTGCAGCCTCCACCAGGGCTGTCCCTGGGGGAAAAAAGATTTCAGATTTGCTTTTGGTTTTGGTTAAGAAAAGGTTTCCCGAGTTAGTGAAACTGCGATCTCATCACTTTAGTATGGAACTGTTGTAGCTGAGGTGAGATAACCTTGTGTTGTTTTCAGCGTGAAAGTGAGGAGACCTCTCCAGCTGCTGAGTCTTCTCCGAGTCTTAATCGAGAAGAAGTAATAAAACTCCTCAGTATATTTGAATCTCGGTTGTCATTCCTTCTCCTTCAGTCCATCAAACTGCTGTCTGCAGCTAAAAAGAAAACCAGGTAAATTCAGTTATTTGTGTGCGTTTCTTTACTCGCGCCTTTCCTGCAGAAGCAGCGCCGCCTTTCCTACTGCGCGGCTGGAGTGTCGCCTGTCCTGTCTCCTGTGGGTGAACTGGGGTTTTAACTGGTTGCTCTTGGCTGGTTAAAAGGTGAGAATCACCTCCTTAGTTCTCAGGTTGGTTCCTTGCCCCGTGACCCCAGTTCTCTGATGAAGTCAGCCAGTCATGAACTTGTAATGTGTCCTGCTTTTGTCGTTGCCGTGAGTGTGGGGGACTTTCCAGCTCTCCACATCCCAAGAGCACCCCGCCATCACTGCTTTGAAACCAGCCTGGGGGGCGGCGGGGCACCGAGAGCTTGTGTCTGGGGAGGGGCTCTCGGCGTTGCACCCTCTGCTCGTGTCTGCTCCGCGTCCCGCCCCCAGCAGGCCGTGTTGGTGACCGGGCCACAGTTTAGCTGAAAGGCAGAGGAGGCGGTGCGGGTGGGCACAGCGAAAGGAACCCAGCTTTTGACTCTGCCTTTTCATGGCCACTTTTTAATTTTACTGGTTTCCACAAGGGGGCGATATAAGCATAGGATGCGTGAGAGTGGGAGTTCATTGAGTTTCACAGTTGAGTTGTCCACTAAGAGGTAATAGTTCAGTCTTAATATCTTTAACAGTCATGTGAGTCTTGTGTCTGACCTAAGTAAATATTTTACAGGAAGGTTCTTTAACTTGTTTATTCAGGTTAATATGCTATAATACACTTTATGAAAGTTCTCACACATGATTTATTTTAAAATAATTTGTGTGGGTTTTTTTTTAAGATTTGTTCTAGAAAGACTAAAGTGCTATTCTGGAGATACAGCTTAAAGTGATCCTTGTGTCAGTACAATTAACATGTTGGTAGACTTCAAAACCTAGAGGAATTTTCCATCACTGAGTCAGTGGTGCTAGTCTCCTGTCCGCTGACCTGCCGAGAGAACAGCCTCTTGCTTTCCTATGGCCAGGATGCTCGGGGCTGCCAGGCCAGCGAGTCTACCAGGAATTAAAGAGCATTCCTTCTTGGAGAAGAGGGAAATGAAGACTAGACTTTAAAAAGAATATTGTTTTATTTTGACTATCTTCTTTCCTTCATCACCACCCAAAACCATAATAATCAAAGTCTTTGTTTTCTAAGAAAGCTGAATAATTACAATGGAATCCAGGAAAGGGAAGATGTGTTTATTTTAAAGCAAGTCTTTCCCATTCTCAATGAGCAGGTGCGTCCTCACCCAGCGGCCGCAGCCACGGCAGCACAGCGCTGCCGGTCAGGTCTTGCTTTTCTTCTGGGCTACAAGTGTATGTGCTCTTGTGCTGTATTTCACTATTCATGCGTTAGTAGATTGGAGCCTCTTGACCTTTTGATGACCTTGGGGTTTAATATTGTGAAAACCAGTAAAAAGTTGAGGGAATCTGCGGGCGTGGCCTTAGTGCAGGAGCAGGGCCTTCAGCGCTCTGGGCTCCCTGCCAGCCATGTGCATTTCATATTTGGTGAAGGTTATAAAAAGGAAAGTGAAAGAATATAAGCTCCTTCCTTTGGGAAAAAAGATAACCCTGTGAAACGATGGGACCATACTGAATAGTGTTCAAAGTCATTGTTCAAGGTCATTGTTGGAATGATTTGCAAGAGTTGAGATGAAGATTGAAGATTCAGAATCATGTCTGGAACATAGCTAAGGCGTGTCTTGTGTCTGACCTAAGTAAAATTTTTACAGGAAGGTTCTTTAACTTTGCGATCCCAGCAGCCACTGATTGTCTTGAGGCGGGCAGCCAAGATGACACTGTGGCCACCCGTCCCTGGAGAACAGTTCATATTTCAAACACCGTGTTAGTTGTTAACTGCTGTTGCCTTGATTACTGTAAGATTGGTTTTAATTGATGCATTTTAATAAATATCCGAACACAGGCCCATAGGCTGCAGCAGGTGTGACGAATCAGGATGTGATGCGGGGTCATCCTCTGCATCTCTTCCAACTGTCGGTGACGTTGTTCGTGTCACCTGTCCTTTTTTTTTTTTTTCAACCCAGTAGCAACATCGAAGAGGATGTAGTCCTCAAAACCAACAAGCAAATTTACTCCCAGCTTTTGCGAGCGACGGCTAACAGAAACACAACTCTGCCGGAGAGGATCGACGTCCTGGTGCGTTTGCTGGACCTGCTGGCTCCCGGCGCCGCTGGGCAGTGATGGCCATGCCGCACGCAGGGATGCTGTCAGTGCCTTCTGCACTCGGGGCTGCTTTGTCCATCGGTGCTTCGTGTCATTAAACATGAGAGGCGTGTCCACTACGCGGGCGCAGCAGTGGAAGCAGAGTCCCATTTCCTGTGCTGCCAGGGAGGCGATCTTTGGCCTCTTACTTGAAGTGCTAAAATCAGAGCCAACCTAAGCTCCCAGCGTTGGTGTCTCTCGAGGCATACGGTGCCCAGTGTTCTAGACCTGCGGGGACGCAGTTACACTCACGTATTTTTTAAGTACGGTAAGCTCCTTGGGCTTAAGATACGACTATTTTGTATAAATGTTACTTTGGTCAAGGGAACTTCTATCCACATGATTTATTGGTTCACGTGGGTTCAAGAAACGTCCCGTACATCAACATTGTTCCTTCTGAATCGCACAAAGAGGTCTCTGTCCTTTAAGCTTCGGGGCGTGAGCCCCTGGGGCAGCCTGTGTGTTCGTGGGTGCACAAGGGCCACCCTCTGACATTGTATGGCAATTGATCAGGAATAGGTACTTCCCCCCCCCCCTTTTTCATTTTAAACTTGAAACTGTGAATAAGGTAAGAAAACTATTTTGAATAAATAAATTATTTATTTAAGATGTCTTTGTATTTTTCTATTTTACATTCGTCATATTCAGTTTTGATTTGAACTGGCTTAATAAATTTTACAACTTTGCCATTCCCTGAATCCCCACTGGACAGCCCACTCCGCACCTGTTCTTGTCTGGTTGCTCACAGATGTGGCTTCCACCACCTGTGGTGTTCGGAGGCTGCCCTTGGCCTGACCTGGCCAATGCGCTCAGTTCCAGGAAGGCAGACGTGATGTGAATTGAGTCTCGGGTTTTTGCGGGGTGACTGGGCGTGTTTGAAGACTAGAACCGGCTCGTCCCCGTCCCTCCCTCCCTCCCCAGGCGTGGCTGCAGCGCTCCTCTCACAGCCACTCCTCTGAAGGAGTCTGAACTGCACTAGGAATTGTCTGCAATAAGCTTGTTTTACACTGAATTTTTACACACTGCTTTCTCATGTACCAAGGTTTTCTGACGTGTCGTCACATCTGTCACAGCTTGGCGAAATACCTCTTACCGGTTGTCTAACTCATAGTTTGCATTATCCTTGGGACAGACTTGCCTCAATTTTCAGAAATTAATCATTAAAGCTTTTAAAATTGTACCTAAGTTGTACAGTTGTTGTACACAGTCGCCGGTCTCTCCCGTCGGAGTGGCGCCCGCTGCTGCCCACGCGGCAGACACACGGGGGACGAAACCGGCTCTGCCCTCCTGGTTAAGCCTGGACACGTGCGCTGACTAGCCCCGAGTCTGCATTGCTAAATCAGAAAGGATGTTCTGTTCACGTAGAAACAGGCTGGAGTCAGGGGTGTTCAGAGTTATGGTCTTGATCTAGCCTCGCTGCTGGCAGCCTTTCAGGCAAGAGGAACATTTGTTTTGAAGCAGGAAGATAGAAATTCCAGCTGTCTTCCCTTGTGAAAACAGTAATACAGAGTTCCTACCAGGGGAAAAAAGGTCCTTTTCAAATGCGTAATTTGCTGATTTTAAAGTTGCTTTGTTTAGTTGTTCCTTTAGAGGAACTGGTGTGTGGCCTGGTCATCCAGACAACTGAATCTTTGTCGGGTGATTTTACTGCCCCAATTTTGTCCATGTCTTCACACGTGACATCAGGGCTTTGTGTTCAGCAGAGGCTTGACCCGTATTCTGTGAAAGCTAAAGGACATACATCCAGGGGTGATTGATGGAGGAAAATAAAAACTAGCTTCAGGAGTCTTACTGGTCCTAAAATGTAACTCCACGTGTCTCCTGCCATGACTGAAGTGAGCCAGGGAGCTGTTCTGTTGAGGGCCACTTGGGATGCAGTCCTGGATGTTGAAACCCAAGCCAAGTGGAAAGCCAGGCCCTCCCTGGGCTGCAGGGAGGGGCAGGACAGCTAGTGGGCTTTGGACCCTCAACTAGAAAGGTGCACAGCAGCATGTCTGCTGGCTGGCTGCAGCGACAGCAGAGGGAGGTGCCTGTGGAGAGTTACACGTCATCAGGTGCTGGAAGGTAGAATTCCTGGAGTGTCTGTCCCTAGGCAGTGGCCTCGCCTGGTCATGTGGGTGCCCCTGGCTATCTTCCCTCTACCCAGGAAGTCAGAAGCGGAGCAGGGGGCGGGTCCGTGCTGGGAAGAGGCAGGAGGGCGTGCAGAGCAAACAGGTTGCATGGGGTACTCTGGTGGCCTTTCCTGAAAGGCTTCTTAAGTTCATGTGATAATTCTTTGTTTTTTTGGGTTTTTGGGGTTTTTTTGGCTGAGAAGTATCTTTAGAGCAAGTATTGTAAAAGCTCCTGTGATGCGCTTTCCACTGGGCATTAGCCGAGGGAACAGTATGGCCTACGACTGGTGAAATCCAGTCGGTGCTCTTTGTAGAAGAAATCCTCTGTCTTCGCTTGCCTGTTTTTCTCGTCACACGCTCAGGGTGGAGGTGTGGACGTCACAGACGTCAAACCACTTCTCTGAGATAGACTGCTTGGGAAGTAAGCCGTTGGGAGGCAGCCAGGAGCGGTGCTGCTTGTCCTTGTCGCTAACCACTCTCCAGTAGGCGTTGCCTTTGAAGAAGAAAAGGGACTTGTGCGCGTAGGAGTAGTAAGCCGAGTCGAGGCTTCGGAAGGGGTGGTTCTGCGGCTCTACTCCTGGAAAGACCTCAGTCATCTTCTTCGGGTAAGAATCCAGCACTCGGTTCCTGTTGACATCAAATGCGAACACCTGCAAACCAAACAGGAGCGTAAGACGGGCTCCTCGGAAGGCCTCCGGTTGTCAGGTTCACGCACAGCGAGGAAGTCAGTAAACTGGGGCACCACGCACACCGCGTTCTCTGGCCTTGACCTTGGGGGTTCTCCATCTGAGGGGGTGAGCCGCCACTGCCACGTGGGTCTGCGTAATTGAGCACAGCCTTCAAGGAAGATCTGCTACCGCTCAGAGAGGGGCAGAAGCAACCCCAGGCTGGCGCGCCGCCTACTTACAAAGGCCTCCTTGAAGAAGTAGATGAGCTGCTTCCTTCGGTCATAAAAGGCGGTGTCTAGGGGACTTGGGACGCCTGGAAATCCTTCTGAAATCAGCCTGGGGTAGCGTTTTCCTTGTTCGTCTTCCGTGTGGGCTTGGTCCTTGTCACTGTCGTACCTCCAGTATTGATTTCCTGAGGGCCAAGCCAAAAATGTTAGTGCGATTTATTAATCCTCGACCACAGAAGTGTGACAAAGGACGGCTTTTCAAGAGGGGCCAGCTGCCTACCGCTCTGCCCCGAGCCCAGGGGCCCAGGGGCGAGCCGGACGGGGAGCGCCTGAGTGAAGCCTCCCCTCCAACGAGTGGTTGCTTTCCCCAGGTCTTGAATTACTTCTAGGTTTGGTCCCTGAAATCCATTATCCTGGAGGGCCACTGCTGCCGCTAGGTGCCCTGCCCACTGGCGGGCATCGAAGCAGACACAACAGGACACAATATGGTCTTAACATATACTCTGCTTTTACAGAAAAAAACCATGAGTTTTATTTTCGAATTCTACCTTTCCCCAGGCTTCCAAAAGCATCTCGTTCCATCAGCGCCACCATTTTACAAAAGGGGACACAAGGAGAGTTGACGCGAAGCTCAGATGACCCGGTTGCCCCAAAATGTGCGCAGTGGCTCACGGTTCCAGGAAATAGTACCTTGTCATGCTGCTGTGGGACGTCAAGGGCTGCGTGCTGTCGTCATGCCTTCATTCTAGGCTCCCTGGCTAGTCCCCTTCCTGCGTACCGGGTATTGTCATCAGAGGACATGAACCCACTCGTGCTTGCGTGTCGTAACGCACAAGCCCTCACACGCAGTTGCATTCCTGAGAAGCCAGGTATTTCTGTGAAGAGGCAGGAGGCCTCTTCTCTACAGAGGCCCACCATGGACAACAGTGACCCGTCCACCCGGGGTGCTGTTGACTCACTGGGATGGCTTCTGAGTGTGAAGTATTAAGGCACGTTCAATTCAAGGTGTTTTTAAAGCTCTAAGAAGAAGACAGCTGCGGCACCGCGCCCCCGTGGTGCCCTAACTCAGCAGCGGAGTCTGTCTCCAAGGAAACGTCTGGCTGGGCGCTCTGAAGGGCGTGCTGCCGGCCCAGCGTAATCAGAACTGTGGAGTGCACCGTGCAGGTTACTGAATGATCATCAGCCTTCCTCTCACCATGTGAAGGACAATGAGGACCAAACTTACAGCAGGACTCACAGGGTGAAGTTCGCACATGAAATTCCTCCAGTGCGGCTCGTGCCTCATTAACTGCAACTCAGAGCAACGTGGTTCTGTCTCTGGGATTCCGCTTCCCCGGAAGAGGCAAGGGGAAGAGAGCGCCAGCAAATCCCCTTTGCGGTTAAGCTGCGGGAGTGTGGTTGGCAAGGCTGGCCGGGCCCTGGCACAGAGGCTCCGAGCAAGGCTGTGGGTATGCTGGGGACACAGCAGCTAGAAGCCCCCCAGTCTCCTGCTGGGGGGTGGTTCGCCACTACCACCAGGCTTCTGCTTCCTGGCCCAGCACTGACCCTCCCTGCCAGCAGCGCCCCCATCCCAGCCCCCTCCTGGAGGGAGCCTGGCTTGGCGTTCAAGGCGCTCAGGCCGGGGAGCCTGTCTCGCCAGCTGAGGGACCAGCCCCCGCCGGGGCAGCTGTCTCCTGCACACCCCTTCCACTCGGCTCTAAGGCTCTGCTGCTGCTTCCCAAGTCCTCTCCTCCCACCCACGCCTCACATGTCATCCCTGTGTCCCTTTCTAGACGCCCCGGGGCCTCCCCCTCCTGCGTGGCCCCAGCGTGGGATTCCAGGCGGCCCTCGTCTCCTGTCTGCTCACTCTCCCCCCCACAGCAGACTTCCGGGCTTGAAAACGCGTTCAGAGAGACACATGCACGCCCGCGCGCAGCACGGCCTCCCACAGCAGCCAAGGCACGGAAGCAAAGCCCGCGCCCAGCGATGGACGATGGGGGAAGGTGTGGTCAAGATCCCCGTAGAAAGATGGGACGCTGCCGTGGGCGACAACGTGGGGAGACGGGGGGGGGGGGTGAGCAGGAGAAATACCAGATAATTTCACTCGTGTGTGGAATTTAAAGGGGAAAAGAAAGGGGCAATTTGGTGGGGGCGATTTGGTGATGGGCGCGGGGTGACCCCTACAACTGCTGAGGGAGAAACTGCGCCTGGAACCTACAGGGGTCGTGTCGCCCGGGCGAGGAGAGGACGGGCTGGACTTCTCCGGGTGGCGTCCGAGGCCGCGCGCCGCAGAGCAGAGGGCCCCTGGGGAAGGCCCTGCTTCCCGCCCTGTGGCCGCCGGCCGCGGTCCCGGCGAGAAGGTGCAGACCCCGGCGTGCGGGGCGCACGGAGCGAGCCGTCGGAGGGGCAGACGGCAGCGGCACCAGCACCCGCCCGAGGCCCGACGGGCTCAAAGGCACTGGAAGCGCCTTTGCTTCTCGGTCATCGAGCCCGTCACCCCTACCTTTAAAAAAGTAGCGCTCGTCTCTCCGCCACGTCCAGATGTGGACGAACGCGTCGACGTGTGCGGGGACCCCGCGCCAGCCCGTGAGGATGTGGATCGGGTCCCCGTAGCGTGTCCTGTTGTTGCGGTTCTCGTACAGCCAGTACCAGCTGTCGCGGAAGAAGTAGGTGCTGAAGCTGACCGTCACCTCCCCGCGGCGGCTTCTGGCCTTGCGGACCCAGTCGAAGGCGGCGTCGAAGGAGCCCTCGCACGCACCTTGAGGAGGAAGCCCAGCCGCTCGCCACCGGCACAGCCCACCCGCGGCCCTGCGCCCCTTCAGGAGACCTTCGCGAAGCGGGACCCGGGAGACCGCGCGGCCTGCCCTGGCCGAGGCCCCCGCCCGCCCTCGCTGCTGTGGGCCTCCGGGTCGCTCTCGACAGGCGTCCACTGGGCGCCGAGCTAGGGGCCAGCCTCCATCGGGCAGCGCCTCTGACCGTCTTCATGTGAGAACAGAAACGGCTGTTTCCAACGGGAAAGCGGGGAGCCCGCCCCCGCCTCTGTGCTAGAGTGATCATCTCGACTTTTCCCCCTAAATCTGTTGAGCTGTGCAGGCCACCCACCCACGCTGCAGGTCTGCAGGTGCTCTGCTCGCCTCCCACTTCGTGAGCGACGCCCGCCTGCTCGGGCCAGGCCCGCACATGGACGCAGAAGCCCGGCCGGGCCCGGGGCACCGCGCTGTGCCCAGGGTGGCAAACTTCACCCGCGCCCAGGCCCGCCCAGACACCGCCTGCTTTAGAGAACCACGTGTGCCCCTCCCTCCAGGAGCCCGCACGGCGGGGACACTGTCGGGGCACAGCACCTTCCTCCAAGAACTGCATCCCCTGCTAGGAGGCAGGCCCTCGGGTGCTCGGGGACCGTGCTCCCCAGGAGGGGTAAGCGGGGACCCTGGGCTCCAGGAAGGGCCTCCCAGCACCGCCTCACCATAGAGCTTCTGGATCGCCTTCCTGTCCGCCCAGTCCAGCTCAAAGGCAGGCTCCCGGGGGGTGTAATTGGGCTGCATGATGGACCCCGTCCTGTAGGTGTGGGGCAAGCCGAGGACATGGCCGATTTCATGGACGGCCACCTAGAAGGGAAGCAGGCTTGGGTGGGTGCCCCTGGCGTCCGAGCACCCCAGGACCCTGCCGGTGTGGAGGGCAGGAGAGGGGGCCTCTCGGCAGCCGGGGTGCTTCCCAGCGAGGCGGCTCTGTTCTGGACCCCGGCCGCGCGCCGCCCAGCCCCCGCAGCCGCCCCTGGCGCTCACCTTGAGGAGGCTGATGCCCGCGTCGCTGGTGGGGGCTGTGAAGTGCTCGTCGTCGTCAAAGTGGATGTCGCCCAGGCGCCAGGCGTGGGCGAACTCCTGCCCGCTGCCGTCGAAGACCCGTGGGCAGCCCAAGTGCCGACCTGGTGGGGAGAGGGAGGCCGCAGGTGCCTCAGCCACGCCGGGGGCACAGACACCAGGGGCCCAGCCCCCGGGACCTCAGGGTGCTGTGCGTGACCAGTGTGCTGCGCCAGGCAGGGAGCACCGGGGGCTGCGAGAGGGACAGGAGAGCTGGGTCCTGCCCGCCGTGCCCACACGTCTCATGCTGGGGAGTTGTCCCCTGAAACCAGCAGGGCGGCCGCTGTGGCCCTGGCTCCCGCGTCAGGCTGCGGACAGGCCGTGTAAGCCCGCATGCTCTGAGAGGCATGTGGACCTGCCTGGAAACTTGTCTGTGGCGGGCCCCTAGGTCCCCCGGCGCCTTCCCAGGAGTGGGGGACGAGCCTGGGGGGGCCGGGTGAGCAGACTGACCTGCCCTTGGCCAAGCAGGAGCCACAGCCGCGTCCCTGGGGACGGCCCTGGCTCATCTCTCCCAGCGAGGCCTAACAAGGTCCCAGGCACAGAGGCCTCAGCCCCCCACCCCGCCCCCCAGGGCGGCCACCGCAAAGCATCCCGCGGGCAGGGCAGGGCCAGCAGAGGGTGGGCCCATTGGGCTGATCCCTGAAGCTCCCTGGATGTGGCTGCGATGCTGACCGGGCTGACCTCAGGCCTGGGGGGGCCCACATAGAGCAAGGGTGGGCCCAAAATCTGCGCTCCTCACCTCGACCAAAGCCCAGCTTTATGTCCACTGCGGTCCCGGGGGCACTGAGGTCCTCCCGGAAGTTCAGGGGCGTCACCTCGCTCCACATCCTGAAGGCCAGCCTGAAGATGAACCTCTGCTCGTCCACTGACAGCTGGCTGCTGTAGGCCTCCCCCACCAGCCTCCAGGTCAGTGTCTTCTTGGAGAAGGCTCGGCTGCCCCCACCATGCGCGGCATCCTCGGGCTGCTGGGGGGGCCTGGGCTGCAGCATGTGCAGGGAGCGCTTTGGGCGGGCCCGGGGGAGCGGGCCAGGCGCGCTCGGCGGGGTCCCTGGCGAGGTGGCCGCAGCCTGTGGCAGGGGCCGTGTGTCCGGGACGCCGCAGCGAGGCCTGTTCATGGCGGCCAGCGTGGCCGAGTCCAGCTTCCCGCTCGCTGGCAGTGCGTTGACCTTCTGGAACCTTCGCATGGCTTCAGCCAGGGCCGCACCCCGGGGGCTCTGGGGTGGCCCCTCAGGGCTGGGACCCTGTGACGCCACCTCTGTCCTCAGGGGCCCCTGCGCCCAGCCGTATTTGGACAGGAACCGCTGCAGCAGAGAAAGCACCGGTCACACCCCGCCGCTGTGTGTCTCTGGGGGTGTGTTTTTTGCGGCTGTGGGCTGCTGTGTGTGTGTGAGGCCCCCGCCCCAGGGTGAGTCCACCCTGAGATCCCAGCTCAGAGTTGCGGGACCAGGAGCAGCCTGGCCCGAGCACGCTGGGAGGGGCCTCAGCTCCTGCTGGCCTGCAACACACGAGCCTGCGTGTGCAGCGAGTGGCCACAGGGGCGAGTGCCGGGGACGGCTTAAGGGGCTTTGGCCAGCACCGCCTGTTCCTTCGCTGAGTGCCTGTGGTCACGCAGGATGGCCACTGTGTGGGGAGTCCCGCCCATGCCGCAGTGGACATGCCCTAAGCACCGGAGCATGAGCAGGGCCTATGGAGTGGGGACGCCTCTGAGAGGAGGGAGGACAGTAGACCAAGGCCAGAAGAGCCCGACAGCCTGAACACACGCTCCACCCCAGAAAGTGGGGGGAAGGGGCACTCAGAGGGGCCTCCAGCCCAGCGGGGGAGAAAGTTCCAGGAGGAGGCAGGTGGATGGGGCACAGGTCACCATGGGCAGCAGCAGGAGCTGGGCTTGTCTGGGGAGCCCTTCGTGCAGCCCTCAGAGGGAGGAGATGAGAGCAGGACGGGGGTGACAGTGACATTACTGGGTTCTCCAGGAGCCGAGAGGGCGGAGGCTGGGGTGAGCAGGGCTTGCGAGCAGCAGAGGATCTGGGCACTTGCTGGGGGACCCTGTGGAGCCCCAGCATCATGAGTGAGGTGCTTGCCAGCACAGTGGGGTGCTCACCCAGCGGGGGCATTAGCACAGGGTCTGGCTGGGCCAGCAGGCATCCCAGGTGTGGTAGGACTGGGGGGCGGAGGGCCAAGGCTTGAGGTCAGAGGTCAGGTTGGAGGTGGACATGCTGAGTGCAAGGAAGGCCAGGCTGCGTCTCAAACCTTGGAGGAGGCTCAGTGAGGCCTGGCCGGGCCCTGGGGGCCGGGACCAGGGCCCTGGGGCTGGGTCTCTGCAGTCATGCAGGGGTTGGGGGGTGGCAGGGCCCAGGCTGCTCACAGCCTGGCACGACCCCGCGGCCACGGCAGCCGAGCCACCCGGGGCCACTCCTTCCTCACTGGCCTCCACCCTGGCCAGGCTTGGGCTGCACCTTGGAAAGGCAGGCCAGAGAGCTGTTGTGGTGTGTGGTGGCCACCGGGACCTAGAGCGGCCAGGCCGGGGCCAGCCTCTCCCAGGCCACACGCTGCCCGGCCCTGCTGACTTCCCCGGGGAAGGAACCGCCCCCGGGGCCCCTCCTCTGCCGTGGCAGGGCGTGGGCAGCACGGCGGACGGACAGCCGCGTTACCCCGGTTTCGCTGTGCGGGGCTCTCGCGGCTCGCCCAGCTCTGTGGCCGCCGAGGGGTCGGGGCCGTGGGGCTGACTAGAGGGCGGCTGGTTAGGGGGGGCTGAGCGTCAGAGACTCCCGCTTCCTGAGAGCCCCACGGAGCCTCCAGCCCCATGAGCCCCGAGCAGAGCGCCCTCCTGCCCGTGGCGGGCTCTTCTCCACCGTCCTTGCCGCCCCCATCGGCGGCTGCGAGCGGGGCCCCTGTCAGCGCGTGCAGAAGCGCGGCCCGCACCCACGGGCGCAGGCAGCACTTGGTGAAGGGACAAGGGGCCGTTTGCCGCAGCAGCTCTGCTCAGGGTTACGTGAGAGATGTTTCTAACCAGGGTGCCAGTCTGCAGGGGTGTGCCTGCGCCTGCCTGCGCCTGCTCTGCACGTGTGTCTGTGTGCATGTGTGTCTATGTGCATGTCTTTGCCAGTGTGAGCTTTGCACATGTGAGTCTCCATACATACATGTATGTCTGCGTGCATGTGTGTGTGCGTGCACTAGCGTGGGGGTGCTGGTCTCTGGGCTTCTCCTACCTGCGCGGCGTGGAGGTCGGTGATGGGCCTGGCCCTGCGCAGGGGGGACGGTGCCAGGTCCGAGCGGTCCCGGCTGTGGAAGAGGGTCTCTGGCCGGGCAGGCCGTGGCGCCAGGAGCCAGCAAAGCAGCAGGGCCGGGCGGAAGATGGCGGCAGCGCGCATGGCCCCTCGAGCCCCGCGTCCCCTCCTCTGCTCTGTCCGTCTCTGTCCTCAGGGAGCGGCTGGGTGGGCCGCTTTTATCAGCAGCCATGAGGGAGCTGCCCCGCGGCAAGCCTTTCTCACCCAGGCCTGAAGTGTGCCCACAGCAAGCCTCCTCTTTGAAGACCCCAGGAGCACGCCCGGCTGCGGGGGGAGGGCCGGCCCTCTCACCTCCTGGGTTTGCCACCGCGCCAGGGAACTTGCAGGCACCCTGGGGCGCCATCTCCATGGAGATAGGCCTGTGGGCTCCCGTGCCCTCTCCCCGCACCTTCCCGTGGACGGTCAGTCCACGCACAGCACAGCAGCGGCCTGTCCGACCCAGAGACAGCGACGTGTGCGGCGGCCCAGCTGGGTACACGGCAGCTGTGTACACGGCAGGCGTCAGCGGGCGGCCCGGCAGGCCACGGTGGTGGACACGAGAGGACCAGGGCAAGCGGCTGCCAGGGCCTGGGCGGAGGACCTGCTGGCCTCTCCACTGTGGGCTTTGCTTCCACTTTTTAAATTGAAGTCCAGGTGGGGTTTGCTCAGGAGACACCCCTATGCAGAGCCCCAAATGCTTCCTCCTGGGAGGAACAGGACCCTGCGGAGGGGCGACCGAGCAAGCACGTCCAGGCACCCCCGGACGTTGTTTTTCCCGGGAGGCTGCAGCAGGCCCGGAACAGAATTGAGAACTCGGAGGGCGGCGTCGGGGCTGATGTCACACAGCCCGCTCCTAGGCGGCCTCCGCGGGGGGCTGGCGCTGTGCTGCTGCGTCAGGTCTCCCAACCCTGCGGGGCCCCGGGCGCTGGGCGTGGGGTGGCTGCCGAAGGGGCTTGTTCCTGAGATTTTTATTTAACTGTTTTTTGCCCGTGCGGCCGGGCCGTGCCGTGCGGGGCCACAGGACGCCTTTTGGGCCGTTGGCTTCCTCGGGGTGTTTGCATCGTTTCTTCAGGTGAGCTGGATGGGAGGAAGTCGACAGGGTGCAGGAGGCGGGGAGGGTGTGATCATAAGTGAGAACGAGAGAGAAGCTGGTCTGTGCAGGACATGCCCCGTCTCTGAACCTGGAGGGGCTTGGCCAGAAGCTTCTAGACGCTCCTCAGATGCCAAGACGGCACGATCCAGTCGTCCACGGGAGAATTAAAACACTATTTTTCCTAAAACACGTACAAAATGGGTTTCCCCCTTCTCAGCCTGGCGTAAGACGCCCTCTTAGCTACTCCCCCGGGTGTCCTTTAGAGTGATGTCCGGGGGGGGGTCAATGCTGACTCGGAAAGCGGGCATCTTTTGGGGGGCCTGGTGTTGGGGGGCAGCTGTGTGCTCGAGCACACTTCTGAGCGGGTCTGGCACTTCCCACCCCCGAACTGACCTCCTCCCTGGACTCTGCCCCGCGGTGGGCAGCACGCGGTTGCCAGGTGGGGGCCGGGGGGTCCCACCAGCAGGCACCTCTCTGCCCAGGGGCGTCACGATGCTGAAGATGCTGGACTTCGAGATCATGGTGGCCATCGGGGGCGGCCTGCTGGTAGCCGCCTTCGTGCTGCTGTGTGCCGTCATCTGCCTCTACTGCAGAGTGAGCAACGCGCTGAAGTGAGTAGCGTGGGGTAGAGGGACTAGCCCCCCTTGAACGGGACCCCGGGTGCTCTGCTGCTGCAGGGTGGCCGCCCCCGGGTGGGCCAGAATGGCGGGCGGGCGGGCTGGAAAAGCAAAGGCAGGTGAGCGTGGACTCCCGGCTTCTCCCCTCCGGGCCTGGGGCTGTGACCTCTCAGGTAGGAGTTCGCAGCTGGCGGCTCTGCCATCACTTCACCTCCCCCAGGGGCCCGGGCCGGGCCCTGCTGTCCCAGGCCCTGCAGGCTGGACACTTGGGGGCTCCATGAACAGGTCCCAGCCTCACATTCACCCCAAGGTCAGGCTGAGCTCGCCCCCTCCTGCCTGGGTGGAGCTCTCGGGGTGTCCCACCTCCACGCCCGGGGCCTTGGGGACAGCGAGGTGGCCTCGAGGTCTCTGGGGAAGCTGAGTGAAGGCCCGGGGTCCCCCGGCGAGGGGTGCATTACCAGGAAGCTCTTTGTGAAATGCGTCGCACTTTATCTGGAGCAGAGGGGCGTTTTCGTGAGGGGATGAGAATGGTCAAGGTTTGGGGAAGTCAAAGCGGCGAGCAGCATGGGGAACCCCGAGCCCCGGTGTGGGGGTCACCCACCAGGTCGGGGGCCACGCCTGCTGACTCTGCATCTCGCACCCCTTGCTTCAGCTTGTCCTTGTTGACACTTCCCCGGCGGTGTGGGGAGGAGCGGCGGGGCTGCGGCTGGGGGCGGGGCGCCTCCTCTCTGCGGGCAGTCGCGGGCTGGGTCTGGGCGTCACCTGCCCGCCGAGAACCTCCAGACAACCCCGAGAATGGCCTTTAAAGCAAGAATCTAACACTTGCCCTAAATCTCCGCAGGAACCTATGACCGCCCATGGCGTCGGCACACAGGGCGGGCAGCGCGGCCTGGAAGGCCGTCCCCACGCTGGGCCGTGCCCTCGTGCTCCACCGCCAGGTGCCCAAGCGCCAGACCTCGGAGAGCGGCCCCGTGGCGCCTGCCCCCCCAGAGAGGGGGGCGCCCCTGTCTCCTGGCCACGGTTGTGGTGTGAAATATAGACTGGCTATGTTGAGTGTGGGCCTCCTGACTTCATTCTTTTGGGGTGTTTGCAGGCCTCAAGGTCAGAAGCTGGGCTGCCCCTCACCCCCAGGGAACCCCACGGAGGCCGGGCATCTGGGGGTGTCAAGTGGCTGCCGGTGCCGCCTTTGCCAGGAGGGAGCTCGGGGCAGCTCCATCTTAGAACCCAGACTCGCGGTTCGCCTGCGCTCGCCCTGCGGCTCCCTGGCGTCGGGCACGGGGCTCTGGTTGGCAGCAGCGGGCAGGGAGCCCACCTGTGTGGGTAGAAGCGCTTCGGAGCCACAACAGAAATCTCCAGAGGCGACAGCCCCGACCTCCCCTGACAGGTAGGCCAAGGCCGCTGGGAGGGCAGAGCCTTCTCGGGGTCAACCAGCAAGGGTGCCGGGGAGTCTGATGCCCCCTCCCCTCCCCCAGCTTCGTGAACCTTCCCGCCCGAGCTGGGGGTCCTGCCTGGCCTCGTGCACCCGGGCCGGGCACCAGGTTCAGTTATCCGAGTGTCTGTCCTGGGGCTGCCTTGGAGACTGTGGGGCAGAAGGGCGTTCACTCCCACCTCCCTGTCCAAACACCCCACATTTACAAAAACTGCATCTCTGGCGGCAGAGGGGGCAGCAGAGCTGGGGAGCACCTGGCCAGATGCCCAGCAGGGACTCTGCGGGCAGACAGCCCCGCCCCCCGCCGGCCTCTGGACACGCAGGTCCCGGGTGGTCGCGGACAGCCCGCGCCCGGGAGCCCCAGTAAGTGGTGGGTGGTGCCGTCTACACCGTCTGCGGCTTGGCAGGGCCTCAGGGTCTGCTCTGCCCCCTTTACACACCACCTCGTTTCAGAGACGCTCGCCTCCCCCAGGCCACAGGACGGCAAGGACAGGACCCGGGCACGGGAGACCTGCTGGGGCCGCTGCTCCCGCCTCGTCCGGGCGCGCGCGCCAGCTCCGTCACGCTGCCGCTGGTGGGCCGCTCGCCCCAGCCGGGCGCCCTCAGACCCGCAGGCCCCCATCGCTTCCTCCCCCTGAAATGGCCCCGGGGCTGCACCGCCTGCCTCACCAGCAGCACCCCGGAGCAAAGCCCAGGGCCCCGGGGGAGCCGGCCCAGCCTAAGGGCTGAGCCCGAGGCCCGAGGCCTGGAGGCCACAGCTTCTCTGGTCTGACAAAGCCCGAGCAGGTTTCGACGGGTCAGGCTCCAGGCCGGGGCGGCTGGTCGTGGGGGTTTCGTCCGGTTCCACCCCGTCTGCTGCGGGGGAGCCTGTGCGGGCCCAGCCAGCAGCCCCGCACGGACACCCTGCCCCGCCGCCCCTCGCCCCTGGCAGGAGCCGCCAAGGCTCACAGCACAGCGCAGGGAGGAGAAAGCGCGCCGGGAGGAGGCCGCCCCAGCGCCGGAAGCGGACTCGCGGCCCAGTGGCCTGCTGGCCGGCTCGCGCTCTGCCCAGCCTGAACCGTGGGCCCGACCCGGGGTCCCGCCTCAGCCAACACAGCGCGGGGAGGCGAAAGCCGAGGAGTTTGCACAGCAATTTGACACTGACCTCCAAGCACCAGGTGGGGGCGCAGGGTCACCCCCACGAAAGCCTCTCGTGGCACCAGCTGCATCTGGTCTACACCGTCCTGGCAGTGACCGCAGGCTGGCTTTGCAGGAGCCCCCCCCAACCCCCGGCCAGGGGGGCTGGCTCGCTTGGCAGGCGGGCGCCGGCGCGGCCATGCTGCACGAAGCACGTGACCGCACACACGCCAGGGTGGTTTATTTGGTTTCCTTCCACTGCCGGAAGCCTCACGACCTGGGAGCTGACATGCTCCAGGCAAGGGTCCAGGCGGCCTCCACTCAGGGGTCCCAGATAGTCTCCATGGAGGGAAGGTGAGTGCTCGTGGGTCGGCTGCCGGCCTCGGGTCGGATCCCCAGCGTCCAGATGATTCCACGCGGTACAAGGCGGCGTGTGCAGGCCCCTGGATCCCGGGCTACACACAGGGCCTGGCTCCCCTCGAGGCTGCGGCAGGCCCCCTTGTTCATGCTCAGGCCGGGCCCACGGGGGGCAGCTCCCAGCGAGGGCCTGGGGCGGCCTTCTCAGCAGTGGCCTTGGGACTGAAGCACCCCCCGGATGCAGGCGGCCAGGGCGCCCGGCGTGGGGCTCTCTGCGGTGCAGCTCACGGGCAGGCCCTGGGCGGCCAGGGCTCGGGCGGTGGTGGGCCGATGGCGGCGAACTGTAGAGAGGAGAGCGGAGTCAGCACGGCAGCAGGGCCGGGAAGAAGGGTGCTGACGGGTCGGGCCCGTTGCGCCTCACAGGAACCTAGGTGCAGTCACACCTCCTGGCGTGCCCTGGCCTAAGAGCCGTGAAGCCTTCACCTTCACACTCTTACCCAGCCCCGGTGGGTCTGTCCCTGGGTCTGGCTGCGGGGCCTGGACAGGGGGACCCGCTGGCTGTGACACTTCTGTTTGGTATCTCGGGGCCTGGGGTGGGGGAAGCGGGCAGGGTCGGGGGGAGCACACGGCCATCTGAAAGGGGCCTGGGTGAGGAGAGTGGTGGCTGGACCCCTTGGGAAAGCGGAGCGGTCAAGACCTGGGCCTGGAGCCAGAGGCTGGGGTGCAACTCCCAGCTGCCCGGGATGTGGCCTCTGCAAGGGAGCGCGCTCTGGCCTGTCCCCCATCCACAGAGCCGCGGGGCTCCTCACCGGGCAGCCTGGGGCCTCGCGGAGGCAGTGGGTGAAACGCCTGACAAAGGCTCAGGGGCCGCTGTGGCCACCGCTGGGAGGATCACGGTCACCCCAGATCCGAGGCCCCTGCGGTGCAGCCTGGTGGTTTTCAAGCGCACGCAGACTCCCAAAGTCCCCCGGGCGCACGGCAGGAGCGCTGCTTCCTGAGAGAAGCTGGAGCAGAACCCAGTGGCCGTTTTCTCTCCCTCTAGGCGGACGCGCACGGAGGAGCTCGGGTGACCGGGCGGCCCAGGCCCGTCATGGGCCCGGGTGGGCTGAGGCCACAGGGCCAGGAGAGGTGTGGGCACGGAGAGACAGGAGGCGGGGCCAGCCTGGTTCCCAACATCCCCTCCACCAGCGCCCACCAGCCACCCACGACCGTGCTGGCTTCACCCCCGCCGCTCCCCTTCCACCCGGGGGAGTCGGGTAATAGCTCCCTTCCCCGGTGACCCTGTGACTTTGCCAAGCTGCCCACACGCTGGGCTTCAGTTTCCTCCTTCCTTGCCACGAGGAAGCTGTCCCGGTTGTGCTGGCTTCCTCTGCCTGGCTTGGCATGGGAGTCACCTCAGAAACAAGCTGTCCACTGATCATGACCGACCTCGGCCTGTGGCTCACTGAGTGGCCACCGTGGCCATCCCGAGCTCGCATCCCGCCCTTGCTCCTGTGTGACCGGGCAGCACACCACTTCCCTGAGTTTAAGAGCTCTGAGCACAGGGCTGGGGGCTCTGGAGCCCCTGCTGTGGCACGTCCCCGGACGGCCACCAGTCGGGCGTGTGCTGGTCAGGCGTGCTTTGAGTTTCTGTGGAGACCATCAGGTCAGAGGTGAGGGTGAAAAAGAAGAATCTAGAAAGGACCCAAGCCCACTGAACAGCTCACCTTAATCTGGTCGATGCTGTCGCCTGAAAGCTCTTGAATGTACTTGAGGCTGTGTGTGAGGCCAGAGGGGCTGAAAAACGCGATGCTGGCTGGGATGCCCTGCAGGGGACAGCAAGTGGTCCTCACCCGGCCCAGGGGCAGGACGGGGCTTGAGGCCCCACACCCTGGTGCCAGAGCCACAGGAAGGGCCCCAGCCCGGATGCCCACGGGAGGGGCCCTGGCCCCGGCAGCCTCCTGCAGTCCTCCCGGGCAGAGGCAGGTCAGGAAGACTGGCCGGACAGGCCTCCCGCCACGACCACAGGGGCACCAGTGGAGGAGGCAGTAGCCGAGCCTGTTCTCTGGCAAACCCGCCTCCTTCCGGGCACAGTGCAGATGGGTGGGCCTGAGTGGCCTGGTTACCCCGGGCTGTCCTCCCAGAACCGCCAGCACCGGGGGAGGCAGAGAAGCGGTCTCGGGAGATGCCCGAAGGGAAGGCGTCCTGCTGAGTGAGGTGGGGCAGGCTTTGATCAGCTCAGAGCAGGCTGTGCCCGCTGCTGCCTGAAGCCTCCCAGTCACACTCCTCGCTGGGCCTGCAGCTTCCCAGTGCGGCCTGTCTCCCTCCCCAGGCTCTGCCCCGCGGCTCCCTCAATGGCCCCACAGCAAGGGACAGCGACGACCTCCAGGTCCCCGCTGGCCACGGGCTCAGAGGTCTGCAAAGAGCACCAAGGGCTTTGCGTGCGGTTAGACATGAAAATCTCACTCCTAGGTTGCCTCAGATACGGAGACCAGACCTGCAGGTCACGTCCAGTGTCACGCGCTGGGGGCAGTGGACGCGCGCGGCTGCCCGCCCTCCGGCCTGAGCGCCCCTGGAATCAGCACGCACCTGCTTGCAGTAGTAGCTGCTCAGGTTCCCCTGTATCCCCGGGTGTGGAATCGTCTGGTACACGGTCAGGCTTTCCAGGGGGATCCCTGGGCGTAACCAAAAGCAGGAAACAGCCTTTACTGCGCCGGCCATGCCCGGGCCTCACCCTGCACCCTGCAGGAACGCGCTCCCAAGCTACAGCAGATGGGGCCTGCCCTTTGACCCTCCATCAAAGGGCGGCCCACAGGCTGTCCCTGGTCATGCCGCCATGGATGCTGTGAGGAATCCCACTCTGGGGGGCGGGGGTTGCACAGAGCCTGAGGGGCCTTCAAATTCTGAGGTGAAGCAGGCAGCCGAGGACCTTCTAGGGCCTGGATGCTTGGGTCTCAGCAAGCTGAAGCCAGGAAGCGGGGCCAGGGCAGCCCAGGAGAGCAGCCAGGGGCGCCGGCTCGGCCGCGCCTCCCGGGGACTAGCCCTGGCCTCACGGGAGGGCTCCCTGACTGGGCAGCGGCTCCAAACATTCCCGGCCTTGAGGGCTGGCAGCGAGGGAGAGGCAGTGCGCCCGGCACAAATGTCCGTCCCACAGACACGGTCATGACCCGGGTGACCCCCAGGCTTGTGCAATAAAACGGAGTAGGAAAGAAAACCCCGCGAAGAAATGGAGATGGCGCTCGCGTAGAACAGCAACCAGCGCCAGGCCTCTGCCGGAGGCCGAGCACGAGGACACCCGGCCCACCCCACTTGCCCCGGTGCTCCCGGTGCAAGGCCAGCTGCTTCCGGCATCGCCCGGCGTCCTGTCACCAGCGTCTGCCGTGCTCCTGGGGGCTGGAGGGCAGCGAGGCCGGGGCAGACGGACAGCTGAGCTCTACGCTATTAACACGGGAGAAAGCTGAGGGTCTCGGATGCCCTGGGCGCTCCCCAGGTGCCCGGAGCTTTACAACAGGGGAGGCTGCAGCGGCTGCAGTCCCCCAGCTGCCCGCCCTTGGGGGCCTGGCATCCAGTGGCATCACCTCACCACGGCTTTGCGAGGCCCAAAGGCACTGCAGCCCCTCGCAGCTGGGCCCCTGAGGCGCGGGGGGGATGGGCGGGCCTTGGCTCACACAGCCAATGGGCAGCAGCGGGAGAAGGCGCAGCTGCTGGGGTTCGGACGCCAAGGCCCCGCGAGCCGCGTGCCAGGAGATGGGAGCCGGCGCACCTCGCTGTGGGGCCACGTACTTGCTCCAAGGTCAGGCCAGTTTCTGGGAGGGGCAATCCGGGGCTCTGGGGGCTGGCGCCAGAGCGGCTGGGCCGGAGGGCACTGCCGGCAGTTAGGCACCTTCTCAGCATGTGGGAGCTGCCCAGTCTCCCCCCATGCAGACACAAGCCTCTCTGCATTCAGCCTCCCTGGGGAGGCGCAGTGACCCCCGTGGGCTTCCAGTCAGGGCCCAGCGGGCTGTGGGGGCAGATCTGAGGTCAGGAAAGCAGGCGCCCACCCTGCTGCCGCCTTAAGGCCTGCTGGTCATCCCCCGCCTGCTGGGCCAGCCGGCTGTCCCGGTAGTCTGGCAGACTGACCGCTCCGCCATGCCGGGGCTCCTGGTGCCCCACCCAGGGGGAAGGCGGGGCTCCAGGCGGGCACCCCAGTTACCTTGGTCCTTGAGCATTTTCGGCAGGACTTCTCTTTTGAGGGCCCCACAGGGAAACAGCAGCGGCAGTGCGGGTGGCTCCCCTGAGGGCAGACAAACAGACGCTGCAGCAGCTTGGTAGCGACTCTGGGGAGACACACGGGGGCCTGGGAAGGTCCGGGTCCAGCGCCCGGGTGGGAAGAACAGCTGCTCCCTGGCTGCTCTTGTGGGCGAAGGTGCCGAGAAATCTGTGCGCCCACACAAGCCGGGGGTGCTGTCACTGGAGGGGCTCCGGGGCAGTAGTCACTGTTTGGAAGGGGGTTTTGCATCCAAATCAGAGTCAGGAATTAGAGGTCAGGCCTGGCGCTGGCCGCTGGCACTGAGGAAGCATTTCCTAGCTCTGGGGGAGCCCCGGGTTGATGGAGATGTGGGGCGCCAGCTGCTGAGGAAGCCGGGAAGTGGCAGCAGCCTCAGCAGCAAACAAAAGCCGCGTGCTTCAGCGCAGCTGTAAACCCTGGGTCCTCACAAGCCCTCCTCCCCACACCCACGCCCGTCCCTGCCGAGCCACGGTCCGCGGGGAGAGGGGCCAGAGGAGGCAGCTTTGGAGGGCAGGAGAAGGCCACAGTCACAGGATGGTCCTGGGCCTCCGCGCATCCCCACTGAGAACCAGTGCAGGCGCTCTGGCTTCTGGGTTGCTCCCCAAATGGTCTGTGTGGAGGGGTCAAGTGGCCGCAAGCCCTTTGGTACAGGGGGAGGAGGGAGCTGGGCTGAATCTCCGCCCGCACAGACAGACACAGAGACAGGAGCGGGGGCCTCCTCCTGGGAGGGCCCAGGGAATATTCCTGCCCCCCAAGGGGTGGTGGGGGTGAGACCAGACACAAGAAATGGGGGTCACCTTTTTCTACTTACTGGAGCAAATATATTCTGCAAGCCTCTCTGCATTGCCGCAGCCCTCGCCTTCCGCGTCCAGGCCAACTTTACTCACTGGAACGCAACAGAGAGACATTTCTTCACACGGTTTATTAAAGTCCTTTTTAATGTGCGAACCCAAAGGCTCGGGCTTCAAGAATCAACAGGGAAAGTCTCCTCTGGAAGCCGGGGCAGGAAGGCCATGGACCCGGGCCAAACTGGTGGGGGGCAGTGACACACCGTGTCTCAGAGCCCCCAATCTGGTCCACGAGAGGGAAGACAAGCACCACGGCCTGTTTCAGGATGTCCCGAGGTGACGAGAGCGAACTGCCTGCCATCGGGGGGAAGCTCAGCACAGACTGGCTCCTGTCTCAGGAGTGGGGCCTGACGCACCGTCACGGGGCCCGAGAGACCCTCATTTTCTCAGGGAGACAAGACCAGCCCCGCCAGAAAAGTGTCGTGGGTTGGCACCGTCAGGCTGCTCGGAAGGGGAGGAAAGGCCTCACCCATGAATGCAGCGGACACTGGTGATGTGGAAGCAAAGGACATCCCAGCCCCGAGCAAATCGGGAAGAATCAAGGAGCAGACAGTGGGGCGCCGGCGAGGTCTGGCAGAAGAGGCGCTGGGCCAAGGTTTCCCAGAGTTTACGACGTGGTGACGAAAACCAGAAACATCGTTTATAAAGTGGCCAAACACCTGTGTGCAGGGGACGGGGCAAAGGAACGCGGCCCAGGTCGGGCCCTGGCACCCCACGGCCTCCGTCCCCGGCTGCTGCTGCTCCCAAAGGAAAATGGGCTCGCTCAGGCCTTGCCGAGGAAGACGAGGTGGTGCTTACAGCAAGCACGCAGCGAGAGGCTGCTCTGCCACAGGGGCGCCAACGCAGCAGCTGTCGGGAGCCGGAGGGCAGCTGGCAATTTGTTCCAACAGAGCAAACAGACAGCTCGTAATGAAGCAGCCGCCTAGGGTCTGTCTCGGGTCTGAGTTAATTCCTAAGTTACCCTCTGTGGGGCAGCCGGTCTGTGGACGAGGCCAAGCAACATGTACAGATCATCAGGCCGGGAACCAGCGGGCCCAGGCGCGGATTTCCATAGAGCTTTTAAACACAAACTGACCAAGTATTTCTCAACAGATGCGAACCCATTTTTAATGCCACTCAGCAATATTTCAGTGTGTTTCCTGGCACCTTATCGGCAGCCTTACGGAACACACTGGCTATTTTTATCTACTTCATAAGCAAAAAAATCATCACATCTTCAAATGGAATGAAAGTATCGAAAAACCAAGGCAAGAGCGTGCAGGGGGACCAGCCACCGGGGCCGCTCTCCGCCGGCCCCACACGGGCGTTTCCCCACACCCAGCAGCCTCCAGTCGCAGCAATTTAACACCGTTCTGACCCCGGCCGCCGGCAGATGGCACTGGCCCCTACGGCGAAGGGTTTGGTCCTGTGGGGTGGGCCCCCTTTCAGATGCCAGTCAGAGGCCGGGTCGCCCGCGTGCTTCAGTGCAGCTACAAACCCACGGACCTCACAAGCCTCCTCCCCGTCACCTGCTGGAACGGCGACCGGCCCCGCCACAGAGGGGCTGCTCGGCGTGCGGCGGAACCCAAGGGTGGCGCCAAGGACACAAATGATCAGCCAGGTGGAGAGGTTGAGGACAGGACTCGGCGGACGTGAGGCGGGGGGGTGGGGGGCTGCCGTGGCGCTCCCACGGCCTCTCCAGGCAGGCAGACACCCTCCCAGCACCTCCGGGCGGCCCCACCCTTTGGGCTTTTTATGGGGGCTTCGCGACAGAGGCGCGATTAATGAGATCACAGGCCACCGGTCACCGGGGACCCTCGAGCCCATCTCTGCTTCCTGGAAGTCCTGATCCTCTACTCCCAGGGCGCGTTCCCCTGACAACCGGCCCTCAACCCGAGGGGCTCTCCAAAAGTCACCTCACTCACACACGCCCAGGTGGAGTGAGAAGAATGTCATTACACAGACACTTTTCCCCCGCCCTGAGGAAACGCCCAGGTCTGAGGAGCGGAATGCCAGGAGCGGGGACGAGACCGGGAATCTCGTGTGTGAAGCGCATGTCACGGGCACGCACCAGAGCTGCAGTGGCACTTGGCCGCTTACCCAGAGACGCGGTCGCCTTTCCCACCACGTACGCCGGCTTGGCATTCCATTTTTCTTTCAGGGATGCCTTCCAGGCTGCAAAGCATGAAATGATGTGTGAGTCGCAAGACCAAAGTGGCCGTCTGGCCGCTGCCCGGGCCGCGGGCTGATCCCGGGAGACTCGTGGGTGCGGCAAATTCTTAGGCGCGGCCGCTCTCGCAGCAAACAGCTGCAGGAACCAGAAAGCGAGGCTTCAGGGCTCTGGCCCTACCTCCAGAGTGCCCCTGGCGCGTCCCCTGCGGGTGTGCCGTGGCAGACAAGGCGATGGAGGGTCAGTGAGGTCCACGGTCAGAGAGAAATATGCTCGCGGGCCTAACCTGAAGCAAAGGCCTCTGGGCTCGACCTGCTGCTCACCCTCCCTCAAGCTCCCCGCCCCCCTCAGCTGGGCAGGCCTGGGTCTGAAGCCTCTGAGCTGGGCCTACAGTCTGGCAGGTGCCCACTGTCCCCGAGTCTCGGTCTCCTCATCAAACCCATGAGCTGGTCGCCTCGGATTCCAGGACACAACGAGCACAAGGTATGCAACAGGGCTTGGCACACAGCAGGCACTCCACACATGCCAGCTATGCGGCGGCTCCACCAGACAGACTAGAAGGCGGTGTCCAGTCTGAACCTGGGCTCTGCGCATCCGCTCTGACGGGGAGGGAAGGAGCCGGGAGGAAGGGCGCCCGCAAGCCTGGCCCGGCAGGGGCTGTCGCCTTTGTTGGGTCCTATCATCATCCTTTTGAGGAGGGACAGGAGCCCCCGAACTGAGGGGACAGCAAAGACCCCGGCCCTGTCTGCCACGCCTCCAGCCCCCAGCAGGGCTGGCAGGCTAACAGCGGTTCTGTGTTGGACACGAAGAAACAGCTTGCAAAGGGTCATTTTCTGTGCCCTCCCAAGAGGACAAAAACACGAAGAGACTTGGTACCGACACAGTTTTTCAACTAAAAATCGTCACAATCCTTCAAACCTGAAGTACAGTAATTTCTGGAATCCTGTATTCCCAATGGGAGGAATCAGAGTCAAGAAAAATCCAGTGGAAGTCACAGCAGCGCCAACCTTACCTTCAATTTTATTGTCTTTCTCCAAGCACAGTTCCACTGCTTCCACCGCTCGGGGGCTGGTGAAAATGAGTCCCCCGTAATCTTCCGGGCGAGACAGCTGCACCCAAACAAAGGTACTTTCTATGAAGGCTGAGAGAATGTGTCCCACAATCCCGAATGTTTCATAAATCCACCCGTCCACCCATCATCCATCTACCTACCCACGCACGCACCCGCCCATCCACCCGCGCGCTCCTCCACTCACTCACTCGACTCTTACTGGGCACTGACTCTGCGCCTGAAACTATTCTAGGCCTTTTGGCACATACAGGTGAATTCATGACTCATGGCACGTCCCTCGAGCAGGAAGGGAGGGGAAGGGCGAGCACAACGCTGGCTGGCAGGAGCAACAGAGCAGAGCACTGTGACTCGTGCTGGGCTGGGGGCGGCGCAGCAGGAAGGAGACGCGTCACCTGCGTCGGTGACGCAGGAGTACTCAAGGGGTGACGGCCTGGCTGAATGCAGGCCTGATTTTCAAAGGCAAGAACAGCGATATAATGTACTGAGCGTTTTTCCCCAGCCAGGCCCCGGGCTGTTTACACGCGCTCCGTCTCGCTGTGCGGACCCTGTGGAGTGGGACGTTCTTCCCACCTCACAGGTTAACACAGGCCGGGAGAGGTCCAGGAGCTAGTCAGGTGAAGCGGAGGCAGGACTCTGGCCTGTGTCTCTGAGTCCCAAGGCCGCCATGTATTCGCTGCACACCCAGAGCTTTCTGGAGTGTTCAGAGCCCCTCCTGGAGCACACTGGATGGGGGTGATGGGAGAGGCTGGGACCTTTATGACCATTAGGCTTGGAAATGATCTCCAGTGGTGAGCTCTTTCCTCGCTTTGTAAAGCCGCTTCTGGAAAAGTCTGCCCATTTGTCTACTCTCATAGGTTCCCTCAGCACGCAAATCCAGTGCAGTAGCCCAGGGCGTGTTCCCCTCAGACCGAGAACAGAACCCAGAAGGCTACCCCGAGGGGTGTGAGGTTGTGTTTAATGGGGGTGCGGTGACCTGGCGCCCACCCGGGCGTGGGGCCAGGCGATGGGGGCTGAGCCCCAGTCTCACCAGCCACCCTCACGTTCCCCTGAATCCTTCCTCAGAAACTTCTGGAAGGCCCTTCTGGATCTGTCTCTGGCAAGTATCTATCACTCCCACACCTGGCCGCAGAAATGAGCCTGCAGGGACCAATCCTGGTCCCCAGTCCCCCAACTGACTCGAGGCCTCCATCTCTCAAGTGGGACTCCCCCGGCCCCCCACCTTGGGCGTGCTGCTGGGCACAGCTACAGAGTTGGGGAAGGGGTCAATTGCTGGGAACAGTGGGGTGTGGGTCCCACCCGGCCTGCTCTCCAGCAGCTCCCTGGAGGAGCTGAGACGTCCCTAGCTACGGGCTGGAGGAGGGCAGCTTGTGCGGCCCTGGCTTTGAGGTGGCTGGTGACACGGGGGCTCCAGGAGCTGGAGGGGAGCCCTCCCCCGCAGGACGTACCTTCTCGGAGAGCCCAGGCAGAGACAAGAACTCAAATGATAACACAGGGATCAGAGTGGCTTCCATCCCGAGCAGCCCCAGGTCCTGCCGGGAGAGAGAGCAGTCCCGGGTCAGCCAGGGCCGTGTGGGGAGCCCCCACCCCGCAGCCTCGGCAGCCCGCCCTGACGTGGCACCCACCCGGATGTAGGGGTCCTGGCCGCCACTGTCCTCCTTCGGGTCTTTCAGTAGCAGGACCTTCATGGCGGCCTGGCCGGCGCTCCAGCTGCGCAGAGCGGGCACGGCTCCCAGGAGACGAGGCTCCCCTAAGCGAGGGGAGAAGGTAATGGGGTGCTGGTGCTGGCTGCGGGACTGTGCCCCGCCGAGCATGACTTGGCAGAAATCCGCGGAGGCCCCGTCGCTGATAAGGCCAGGCCCGCTTGGGCGCACCTGATAGCGCCGGGGGCGGTGGAAGGCCTCGGGGCCGCGCGAATCTGGGTGGTGTCCACCGAGGACAGCCGGGCTCCTGGCGTTGGAAGGACAGAATTACTTCTGTTTCAAGAAATACACTAAGTAGCTTCTAAGCTTTTTAGGAAATAGCTATATCCCTCTTCTGGAGGCTGTTTCATAAATGTTGTCGAGCGTCACCAGGTAATCTTTGAAAAAATTTCTAACAGCCTGGAAAACGATTTGTATCAAATGTCTCAAGAGCTTTACTTCTCTCCTAACCTTTCTTCCTGAAGTGTCACGTCTAGGGATAAACACGAAGGCAGCGCTCGAACGTGCAGGAAACGTCCAGGTTATTCCCTGCATTTACCGAGAGGTCCCGGACTGGGCGCGCTGTGAGAGGGGAGGCCGAGCTCGAGCCGAGGCGCCTATTCATCCTTTGCTCGCGGAGACAGCGAAGCTCTCCTCCGGCAGCAACTGGGAGGCGCTCGCTGCTGCCCAGGTGGCCGCGCCGGTCTCTCGCTTCCTGGCTTTGCTGGCCCAGGACTCCACGTTTGTGTCCTGACCTCCCTGATTACAGCAGGAGACGCCGTGACGCCCGACGTGAGCGAGACGGCTAACAGGGCAGGCCCATGACGTCGTAACATCACCCCAAATAACTTTACTACAAAGGTAATTTATTAATTAATTAATTAATTTATTTTTTTTAGATCTTAAATCAGTAAACTTTATTTTTTTTTGACAGGTTTATTTGTTCTGTTTATTCCAAGTGGTGATAAAATTAGATTTTATTGTATAACATTTTTTTTTTTTGCCCACTACATTTTGCTTTTATTATTAGTTACCATTAATCTACATAACAATCCTATTTTTGTTACTACTGTAATCCTGTTTTTTTAATTAATAATAAATTTTATTTTTATATTCCCCATACAATTTCAACCCCCCCATTCTGACCCCAGTCCCTCCCCTCCTGCCCCCCACCCCCCAAAAAGTGTCTCTGGTTCATAGTTTTTTGTTGATTTTGATTTTCACTTTCTTATAGTTATTCATTTTCCTGGTTCCTTATTTAAGTTTTCTAGATTCCTGCTATGAGTGAGACCATCCGGTATTATTTTCTTTCTGGCTTATTTCGCTGAGCATGATCCCTTCCAGCGCCATCCATGTGGCTGCAAATTGCATGAGTTTATCTTTTTTGAATGCTGAGTAATATTTCATGGTGTATATGCACCACATCTTCTTGATCCAGTCATCTATTTTTGGGCATTTGGGCTGTTTCCAAAGCTTAGCTATTGTAAACAGTGCTGCTATAAACATAGGGGTGCAGGTGCTCTTTGGAATGGATGTTTCTGTGTCCTTTGGGTAAATACCTAGGAGTGGAATTGCTGGATCCTATGGAAGCTCTATGTTTAGTAGGTCCAGAAATCTCCACACAGCTCTCCATAGTGGTTGGACCAGTTTGCACTCCCACCAGCAGTGCAGAAGAGTTCCTTTTTCTCCACAACCTCGCCAACATTTGTTGTTGCTAGTTTTTTTAATATGTGCCATTCTCACTGGTGTGAGATGGTATCTCATGGTAGTTTTGTTTTGCATTTCCCTGATTACAAGTGATGTTGAACATTTTTTCATATGCCTGTTGGCCATTCGCATTTCCTCTTCAGAGAAGTTTCTTTTTAGCTCTTCTGCCCATTTTTTGACTGGATTATTTTCTTTGTTGTTGTTGAGTCTCATCAGCTCTTTGCAGATTTACAAAGGTAATTTAATTGCGAAAGAATGCAAAATTCCAAAAGCAGGACTGAGAACCGGGCAGAGCACACGTGTGCAAGAACATGGCCCCAAACACTAGCAAAACACTTTTTCGGATGGTAGATGACGGGGGTCATCTTCTTTTTTACCTCTTTCTGCATTACCCCCAATTTTTTTATGATAAACATTAAATTCCTTTGGTATCACGGGGGAGGGACTACGCCTTACACCCACCCCAAAGGCCTAAAAACAAACGGCCCGAGTTGCTGCAGGAGAAGCTGGCGGACATGCAGCCGCCGCCCGCCGGCGAGTGTCCTTGGGCCTAGTCAGGACTCACTGGCGAGGAAGCGGCTGATGACAGCCCCCAGGCCCTGCTTACCCGTTGCTGCTGAGTCTCTTCCGGAGCATTGTAAGAACGAACTGCTTGTGTCGAAGCAGCCAAATCTGGGGGAACAAACGGGCGCCCCGCCGCGGGAGTGCGGGTCGGGGGAAGAGGCTCAGGGCCGGTCGGGACCCCCAGCGAGGCCGCGCGAGGGGGTCTGGGCGAAACCACCTGCCCACGACGGGTTTCAAAGGGTCGGGGCCAGGGTAAGGGTCTCTCTTCTCTGAAACTCCAGGGCGCCCGGCGTCAGCCTCGCGTGGGGCGCGGACGCCCGCAGCCCAGGCCCTGGCACGGCCCGCCCGCGTGTGCGGGAGGACGCGTGGCGACCTACTAGTAAGAAAAGCTGCGGCCGTCAGCGCACGCAGCAGGCGGGAGGACATCCCGGCGGCCTTGGAGTGGTAACTTATGGGCGGGGATGTGGCGTGTCATTGCTGTCCCCACGTCGAGCCTCCCCCCTCTCAGAGGTGGAGCCCCTCGTTACTGACGGGGCACACGGTGGCCCAAAATAAAACCATGTGGCAGCCGCGCCCACGGAGGGGGGAGCCTGAGGGACACAGCTCGGCGGCACTGGAGGGGGCAGGGCCGAGGGCGTGCGGGGTGCGCAGGGGAGCAAGTGGGGGCTACTCCCCCCTCTCTCATTTCTGCTTGCCCTTTTCTCTTCCCTCCCCGTGGGGGGATCAGAACCGGCCAGGCCGAGGGCCCAGGAGCTGGGTGCTGGCCACGGCATTGTCACCTGTAAACGGGAGTAACAGCTGCCGGTGCTGCCAAGCCCCAGGGCTGCGAGGGCCCCACAGGCGCTGGGGGGCAGGGGCAGCTCGCCGGGCCGTGCCAAGGCCGAGGCTCTGCCATAGCTTCCAGGCATGACATCTGTGGGGTTTATCCCGTTTTGTGCATAAGGAAACTGAGGCGCACAGAGGACAAAGCTCTCCGGGGTCGCAGCAAGTGGCAGAGCTGATGCTCACGCCTGACAGGGTGGTGCCAAAGGCCGGGGCCGCCCAGCGGGGCGCCGCCTCTCATCCCTTCCGCGCGCCCACCCAGTGCGGGCAGCGGAGATCAAAGAGCCAAGGGTCCGTCTGGGACACAGGGCTTCAGCGGGTGACGCAGACCCGTGAAAGCAGAACCAACCTACCCAGGCAAACAGAGCAGCCCTCTCCCGCCCGCTCCCTCCTGCGAGCAACCTGATGCCTCGCGGCAGGCCAGGGCCGCTGGGAGTCCTGCCACGGGGCTGACAAACAGAACCTGTCCCCAAGAACGCAGGCACGCGACAGCCACCGCCACACGGTCATTTAAGTTGAAGGTGTTTTGAGAGTTGATGCCCCATAATTGAACTTCTGGGTACCTTTAGGCTCCTCAAATTGGGGTGGGGGGTGTTTTCAAAAGGCCCTGCAGAGTCAAAGGGTCACAGCAATCGCACAGGGACTTGGTGACAGAAACTGCCCTTAGCAGGGGACATACTCCCAGGGGCACTGGCCATGGGGCAGCCGAGGGGCACCCCCTCAGCTAAGGGTGCTGGCTGTCCTGCCGGCCAGCACCTGACTGTCCAGACGCCTTCTTCTCACATTCCTGCTGGTTGCTGAGATGGGAGCTGCCCCGCAGGCCCAGGGGAGGACAGAGCGATTCCAGCGTCAGCGCAGGTGGCCGCGCCTACCTCGAGGACCCCCACATGCCCAGTGCTCTTGTCGCTGGCCAGATAAACAGCCTCCTCTTTGCTACTTTTTCCTCAGCAGGTCTCTGAGCCACAAGACCACAGAGAAAACAGCCCCAAGGAGAAGATGCCAGCACAGTCTCACCCCAAGTCTCACACAAGGTATGAGGAGATACAATGGACTGAACCGTGGTCTCCAAAAAGAAGTCCTATCCGCAGATACCAGGGATGCGACCTGGAAATAGGGCTTCTGCAGATGCCATTAGGTTAAGGTGGGCCAGTCCTACAGACCCACAGCCGACCCAGCACGCCTGGAGTCCGTATCAAGAATGCGCCCACCGGAAGAGGCAAGGAAGGACCCTCCCCAGGGCCTCCGGAGGGAGCGCCCCTGCTCATGCCTTGCTTCCGGACCCCGGTAGAATTGAGAGAATGAACGTCCCCTGTTCTGAGCATGTGGCCTGTGGTGTTGGTTTCAGCAGCCCTAGGAGATGACACAGAAGGTGGACGCCTTGGGGCGCTGTCCCCTAGGAGAGCACTGGGTGTGCTCCCAGCACAGACAAGCCTTTTCTTTTTCAGCTGAGGAAGTCCAACTTGGGGTGGGGGGGTTAAGAGGCCCTGCCTGAGCTCACACGGCGTCCAGGCAGCACTGGCCCTCAGCCAGGTCTGGGGGGATCTCAGCATAAAAGAGGGAACCAAAGCTCTAGGTCTGAGCAGCGTCAGGGCCACACAGCCCAGGCAGAGGCGGGGCGGGAATTCACTCCAGGTCTGGAGCCATGCTCTTCTCCTACCTGCAACCCTCTCTCTGCTGCTGGAGGATGAAATCTGAGCTAAAGGTAAAGACTGAGCCAGGAGGTCAGCAGGCCCAGTGAGGACACTCGTTGCCGGAGGTAGCGCTGTTTTCCCGGGTGACAAAACCCCAGGGAGTCCATGCAGTCACTTCTGCTACTCCAGTGCATCTGCTAAGTGCCCAACACCCAAAACTAATCTGAGGACACAAAGTAAGGCTTCCCCCCTTCTGTGATCAAAGCAAAATATGCTCATTTTGGAAAATTTGCAAACAACAATAAAGTGTGAAAGTGGATGCAACTATTCCACTTCTGAGTATTTAACCCCGAAGAATTAAAAGCAGGAACATGAGAAGATTATTTGTACACCAGGTCCACAGCACCATTACTCCCAGGTGCCAAGAGGTGGCGGTCACCTAAGGGTCTGGTGGATGAATGGATAAGGAAAATGTGGTCTCTACAAACAGTGGAATATCACTCAGCCTTAAAAAGAAAGTAAATCCTGACATATGCTACAACATGGAATCGGATTGAAGATATTATGCAGAGTGAAATAATTCCGCCATGAAAGGACACACATATGATTCTCCTAAATGAGGTGCAGCTATGCCTCTTTGTCCACTTTTCATGTTCTTTAGTTACCTGTGGTCAACCAGTTTGAAAATACGTGCGGTAAGATACTGAAAGAGAGACCACATCAGAATAACTTTTACTAGAGTATCTTGTTACAATTGCTCCATTTTATTATTATTCATTAATGTTAATCTCTTACGGTGCCTAATTTACACATGAAGCTTTACTGTAGGTTTGCAGGTACAGGAAAAACCAGCTGTTGCCATCCAGTCTCCGGCATCCGCTGGGAGGTCTTGAAATGCATCCTCTCTGGAAAGAGGGGATCTCTGTACCTAGAATGCCAAACTCATAGAGACATAAAGTAGAGTGGTTTCCAGGGGGCTGGGGAGGGGGGCAGGAATGGGGACCTGGGGTTTCAAGGGCACAGTTTCACTTTTACAAGACGCAAAGAGCTCTGGGCACGGACAGAGGTGATGTCTGCACAACACTCTCAGTGCACTTGGTGCCAGCGGGCTGTACACTTCAAAGGATGAAAACGGTGACTTTCATGCTGTGCGTATTTGACTTAAACAATATATATAAAGAAATGGGGAGAAAACAAAGAAGAAAAACCCCCCAACGGGGGAAAAAAAGACAACAGACAGGAAAAAAATGGTCTAAGTGTCAGTGCAACTCTAAAGATAAGCCGGCACTGTCTTCCTGATCTTTCCCCCCATCTTAACCTTCTGATGTTTTTTTCTCGCTCTCCTTCTTGTAAGGATAGGAAGATGACTTTGCAGTCGCGGGGCCCAAAGACCATTTTCAAACTGCCCCCTCAGGTGTGGAGCCTGGAGACATCCACGCTGTGGCCAGGCAGGCAGGGGCGACCTCACAGAGCACAGCGGGGCCGGGGGTCCGGGGTGTCCCGGTGGCTCCCTGCGGCTGGAGGGGTCAACCTCTCCAGCGGCGGCCGCCTCGCGGCGGGGGCGGCTCGCGCCGACCGCAGAGTCACGGCTGCGGCCCACGCGTCCCGCCGGACAGGGGAGCGCGCGGGCCGCTCAGGCCTCCCCCGGGAAAGCGCCGTCCCGAGCGAGCGACCTTCCCCCCGGCCGCGAGCTGGCATCGGGGGCCGCACCTGGGCGGCAGGTGGTTGTCACCTGGCGCCGGTTTTAACATCCAGATATTTCTTGGGAAGACCCAGAAGTCCGGGCCGTCTTGGAATGCGGGGGTCAGCGGCCGGCACCCCGCCGCCTGCGTCCCCTGTTCCCTCCGGGGCGCTCCGGTGCGTCATTTCGACCTTCGCGCGCGCCCTGCACCCCCGGGGCGCCCCCGCTTGGGCGGACGCCGGTCAGGAGAGGCGCTTCCAGGGCGGGATCGGACCCCGCAGCGGGGGGCCCCGCGCGGACCCCGCGACCTGCCGCGCGTGGCGAGCGCCGCCCGCACCCCCAGCGGCGGCCGGCCGCGCCCACCCTCGCCGGAGCGCGGCGGCACCTACCTCGCGGGGCCCGGGCCCGGGCGGGCCGCCCCCTCACCACGTGGCCTGCGCTGCCATGGCGACGGCCCACGCGGGGCTCCGCGGAGGGGCGCTCAGCCGGCGCGCACGGCGGGGGCTCGCGCATGCGCACCGCCGGAGCTCGCGCATGCGCACCGCCAGCCGGCGCCGAGGCGCACGCGCGGCGGAGGGTCGAACCACAGCGCCCGGGGGAGGTCGCGTCTTGGGGCGTGAGGGAGGATGGCGGGAAGGTGAAAAGGACCAAGATGGGAAAACAGGCTGAACGTGGCTCTGAGGTATTAAGGCTGTGGGCCCGCAGGGACGCTGGCGTGGACGCCGACTCAGCGCCGAGGCCGAGGCCCTTGGGACTCGACGCCCCCCGGCGTGGTTGGCCCGGAAGGCGGGCGAGGCCTCGGGTGCGCAGGCGCAGAGCGGGCCCGGCGCAGGCGCAGAGCGGGCCCGGCGCAGGCGCAGAGCGGGCCCGGCGCAGGCGCACAGCTAGGCGCAGGCGCGGGGGCGGCAGCATGGCGTCCAGGCCCAAGCGCCGCGCGCTGGGCGGTGTGGCCCCCAGACCTCCGGGCGCCCCGGAGCCGCGCGATGAGCACGAGGTGGACGAAGACGAAATTGAGGACGCGACCGAGGACGACGAGGATGAAGACAGCGACGAGGAGGAGGACGACGAGGTGGTGGACGAGGTGGGAGCGCGCGCGACCCTCGGGCGTCCAGCCGGGGACGCGGCGGCCGCTTCGGGGGGCGGGTCCGAGCGGCCGCAGGGGCCGTGGGGTGCGGGCGCCTCCTCCCCTCTGGCTTCGGTCTCCTGTGGAGCCGCGCGGGCCGCCTCCAGCCCCGGACCGGACCCGCCACAGCTGCCTTCACCGGCCCTGAGGGCCTTGGGCCGGGGCCCCGGGCCTGCCCGCCCCGGCCCGGCGGCCCCTCGGTGCCTGCAAGGGCCCTGCCCTCTCGGCCACGGGCTCTTCCAGACGCCCGTGTGCCCCCCGCGCCGACTCCTCTCGTCTGCTGGGCTGCCAGCTGAGCCGCCCTTTCGGTCTCCTGGGCCGCCGACCCTGCCCAGGCTCCTCGGGGATGGCCTCCGAGGTGGGCGCTGTCCTGCCCGGGCGCCCGCCGCAGCGTCCGGGCCTTGGCTGAGGAGTAGATGGGCCGCGTGACCCTCTGAGACCCCTGAGGGTCTAACTGGCCCCACACACCAAAGCCAGCCAGGGTAGGCCTGTGCCTCCTGCGGCCGCCCCTCGGCTCTGCCACTCGTGTGACCGGGTCCCCAGTTCACCAGTTGCTCAAATCGCAGATGTGGACGTTAAATTTAATTTCCCCCTTTTTTGTCAGCTCACACCCAGCCTGTCAGGCTGCCGAGCTTTGATTCTGCAGCCGCAGCCCCAGGGCCGCCCGCTGGCTGCCGCCTTCCATGCCTGTGCTGGAGACGCTGCCCTCCACCTGTCAGCTGGCCCTGTCACACGTGGCCCTGGTCTCCCCTGCTCCGAAGGCCCAGTGGTTTCCATTTGAGTTAAATCCACAGTTCTCACGTCTGAGGGACAGAAAGGCAGCCAGTACTACTGGATCACTATAAACTAGAGGGAGTGATGGGAAGTAGGTCGTGGAGGCAGACATGAGGCAAAATGAGCTGGGAGGGGCGCCCCAACATGGTTGGGGAGAGGGCAGACTGGCGAGGGTACATCTCCAGTGAGAAGCGCTTGTCGGGACACTTCAGCTTTGGCCCCTTGACTTGAAGGCAACCTCACCATTTTCCTCTTAGAAGAGCCTTTAACCTGATCATTTGCCAACGCTGGTCACAGAACCGGTGCCGGCTGAACGTGGCATCCATCAGGCTGCCAAAGAGAAGACTTTGTAATAGGGTCTGTAGTAGCTGAGGGGGCGGCGCTTGTGTTAGTGCTCGGTGGGTAAACTGCGCGGTCCCTTGGAGGACACTTGGCTAAACTGCTGTTTAGATGCGCACATGCCCAGACTCGGCAGTGCGACTCCAGGGGTCTGTTCTCCAGCGCCAGGGACAGCTGCTCATCCAGGCTCTGCTCTGTGTGGCCTGGTCAGCGCCTCTGCCTGGGGTCACTGCTACTTACAGCCAGGACACAGCCAGGAAGGCAGCGCATGTCATGCAGTCTTGGGGGAAGAGGAAAAAGAAAATAAATTTAATTTTGTATGTTTTTTTTTTTTTAAGATTTATTTATGCATACCAGAACTGGGGTACAGGCCAGAGGTGTGGGGGTTGGGGGGGTGAGAGGATTCACCAGAGACAGAGTGGGGAACAAAACAGGCAGACCTACTGAGGGGAGCAGCAGACACTGCTGAAGGCAAGACCGGAGAGGTCTGCTGCGCCATGTGGGTTGCTCCCTGGCCAGCCGGGGATCGAACTTGGGCTGCAGAGGCCATGGATTGCTTCATAGTGCTGTGCTTAACCCCTTGCACCACCAGGGAGGCCAATTTTGTGCATTTTTTTTGAAAGGTTAATTTACTGTTGACAGTTTACTGTTATGACCATGCGGGCTGGAGGGGCGGGAGTGGGGGGCTAATTATCTCTGCTCTCTCTATATTGTTTTCCGCTGGCTCCATTACTTTTTCGAAGAAAGCAGTTCTGAGGTTATTGGGGCAGTCCTTATTAGACCAGGACACTTAGTAGATGTTGATTGCTTTATTTGAAGAAGGCTTTCCTGAGAGTTTCGTTTATTCCCAACTCATTTCTTTGATGTAGAAATCAATGAGAATTACTGTGGAAATTCAGATCTGTTCTGAAACAAGGTGGTATAGGGCCTCGCTGGTGGCCTAGGGGTCAAGTCTCCGTGCTAACACTGCTGTGGCCTAAGTGTGATCCCTAGACAAGGAGCTGACCCCCACACACGGCGCAGCAGACCTCTCCTGTCTCCCCTCAGCAGTGTATATCAGTGGATCTGCCTGTTTGCTCCCCACTCTGTCTCTGGGGAATCCTCTCCACCCTCCACTCTCCCCCCCCCAAGATCTCTGATCTATACCCCAGTTTTTTGACTCATAAATCGATCTTTAAAAGAAACAAGATGGCATAGAAGGTGGGCAGGAAACGTGCCCGGCCATTTAAAGCCTTAAGCCCCTGGTTGGAGGCAGTGTGCTGAGCTGCAGTGGACAGTGCTCGTGAGGACTCTGGGAACAGTGCCTGGGTGGGGAACGGGCCAGGTGAGCTTCTCGAGTCCTGTTCTTTGGACTCTGTGTTCAGTTGAGTCCCTCAGAGGTTAGCGTCACCGAAAGGGGAATTGGTGGTAAAGATACGAGGGTCTCCTAGAGGCCTGCGGGGGCAAGAAAGCAGCTGGGCCTCAGGGATGGCCTCAGTCACTGAGCTGGAATTTTTCATCTCTGCTTTGTGTTTCTCTCTCTTCAAATATTTTGTTTTCTCTCCATTTCTGCTTCATATAGCAGAAAATAGAAAATGCTAGTGCCTTTGAGATGTTCCACTCCTGTGAACAGGCAGGTCACACACCGCATTTAGTCTTCATTATAAATTCTGTACCACCTGAGTGTGGGTGGTGGGGCTCAGTGTCACAGAGATGACTGTTGCACTTGAAACCTTGTGGATGGGGAGCCGAGCCCCGGGAGTGGGTGCGGGCCAGATAGTCTGGTGTCTCTTGCAGTGGTGGTGCCATAATAGCCAGGAAAGAGGTTTGCAATTTCTAGCTGGACAAGAAAAAACGCTAGAAGAGCATTATTTATTAACCACTTACTTTCAGGGCCTACCTTGAAGGCCCAGACAACGGGAAGTTGTAACTTGCTGTAGTTAGCGCCTGTCTGGAGCACCCTCCCCCACGCTCACCAATTCAGAGACTCACCCCAACGCCCCCCATGCAGGTCGGGGGTCAAAGGCTGAGGTTGGACTGACTGCCCTCTGTGACCGCCTTCAGCTGAGACCCACATTCCAGAACCTGCAGAGCTTCACGTCTGTGAACACACTGTTTCATCAGCGCCCCGAGTCCAGTGTCACTTCCTGGGCCATGATTTAGGACCCCAAGGACTGATTCTCATCACTGAAAAGCTTCTAACACTTGTCTTGGGTGTGAAGTAACCCTTCGCTTACTGTGGGCTCATTCAGGGGCGTCGTCTCTGAGGGCCTGTCTTCGTGGCTTGAGGAAACAGGTCGGGAGGCCCTGGACTCGCCGTATCGCCTCCCGCCCAGGGCCTCCGTCTGTGCTGTTCGTCCCTCAGTTCCCACTTCAAGTGTCAGTTCCCTGAGGGAAGGCTTGCCTGACCTCTGACCTCCTGTGTTTCAAGGTGTTTTAGAGCCCACCGGCTCGCAGCGCGCACACACTTGTTTCTTGGTGTCACTTGTTTCTTGGTGTCTCTTGGTGACACTTGTTTCTTGGTGTCCGGCCTGAACGGTGACACCACGAGCCAGGCTGTGCCAGGTACATGGCGGCACCCCCGGGAGCTTTGCCAAGTGAGCGCAGTGTCGTCTCATCAAGGGCCCTGCCGGCCACTTTGGAAGTGCGTCTGCTCTGCTCGTGGCTGCCGTGGCCGTTTCACCCAGACAGACCCGCGGCCCCCGCGTCTGCGAGGGCAGGTGGAGGCCCCGCGCCTGTGGGCAGGGGTCTCTGGGCAGCAGGACCGTGACAGTTCTTGGGCCCTGTTTTCTTCTAGGCCTTTCCCCGGCGTGTTCTGTGCTGAGCTCGTAGGGAGGGTCAAGCGTGGCGGTCAGGGGAGTCTTCCAAGTGGGAGATGACGCTGCATTACGGAGACATTTGTACGTGATGGCCGGTCTTGTGTTTATTCACAGGAAGTGAATGTTGATTTTGAAGCGTACGCCATCTCGGCCAGCGATTATGACGGAATTAAGAAGTTGCTGCAGCAGGTACAGCCTTAACTCTGAGCCCCGAGACTGCCCGGGGCCTTCCCCACAAGCTGTGGAAGATCGTCCTTGCGATTCAGAAGCACCCCTCCCGCCCGCTCCCTCCAGGCATTGCTGCTCCCCTCCAGGGCTAGCCCTGCTCTGTGCCTCCACTCCCAGACCCTTGCTGGGGTGCTGAACCCCACCCTTTTCATCTGCTGACGACTTGAGCTGCGTGTCTGGCTTTCTCTAACTCTCAGCTACACTTTTTAGGGTTGAATTATTCTTACGTGTAAGTCACATTTGGTGCTATAAAATCCATGCTTTGCTTCTGCTTATTCCTTTACAGAACCAAGTAGGGCTCCTGGTGCCCCACCCTCACCAGCCTCCAGTGCTCTCGTCCCCAGACCCTCTGGCCTCGAGTCCGTCTGCTTCCCCTCCTGGCCCTCCTGTCTCCCCACTGAGCGCCGCCTCTCGGCCTCGGTGCCTTCAGCTTCTCTGGCTCTCCTGGGCCTTCCCTTTCGCCCGGGGGTTGTACTTGTCGGGCATTTTCCCAGTCAGGTCATTGCTATCGCCTTGTTTTTATTTGAATGTGGAAATTTTTTTTTTTTTATCATGCTTTGATTTGAATTTGAAATATTTTCTTCCTTCTCTTAGCTTTTCCTAAAGGCTCCTGTGAACACTGCAGAGCTAACAGATCTCTTAATTCAGCAGAACCACATTGGGAGTGTGATTAAGGTGAGGGTGACGGGTGTTTATCCTGATTAAATTAGTTCTTTGTCCTACTGAGTTGCTCCTGGTTTTTAGCAAGCAGGTCAGGAGCTAAAGTTGGAAGGAAGTATTGCTGGGAACGGGAGACTGGCTCGAAAACCACTGCAGTTCTCCAGGTGCTGGGGGTCGTGGCCCCAGGAGTGGCGGTGGGCGAGGAGAGAAGTGGCAAAATCAGAGTCATCTGGAGGCTGAAATGGGGTAGTGCCTGGCGAGGGGTTGGGTCTGCGGGAGAGGGAAAAGAGGTCAGGTGACTCCCGCTACCTGGCGTGGGCAACCAGGATGGCAGCCTTGCCTGTGACGCGGCCAGCGAGACCCCGCAGGGAGTGGGTGTGTTCCCGGATTAGGCATAGGCAAAGGCAGGACTCATAGGCAGGACTGAAGGCGCCCGGGCAGGGCAGGGCCCGACACTGTGGTAACCGCATGGCCTGGACGGGGAAGGTGAATGGTGGAGCTTGCAAAGGAGACTCGGCGGAGCGAGTAGAGAGGGCCGAGGCCGTGCAGTGGGTGGCGCCCTGCAGACAGGGGAAGAGGGGATCCTCGGCCGTCAGCTGGAGCTCTCGGCTGTTGTCGCTGCGCCCCTCGCCGCCCCGCGTCATAGATTCTTAGGAGAGCAGCGGCCGTCTCCGGTCGGCCGTCTCCGGTCGTGCGTGTGCACGGCGTGCAGGGAGAGTGGCTCGCTCTCCTCGTGTCCCAGGAGTCGGGGAGGTGGGCGGGCTGGGGTGCCGCTTCAAGCCAGCTCGCTCCTGTGACTGGCCAGTGAGTACGTCAGTGCTGCCCGGCTCCTCCCCACGTGGGCCGCTCTGCGTAGGAAAAGCGTCCGCGGGTCTTGCATTAAGAAATGTAGAACAGGGCCTCCCCGGTGGCGCAGCGGTTGAGCGCTGGGTTGCGAAGCTGCCCGCAGCCTCTGCAGCACTGGTTCGATCCCCCACCACCTGCGAGGGTCCTACATGGCGCGCAGACCCCTCCTGCCGCCTGCTGCTCCCCTCAGCAGTGTACTTCATCAGTCTGCGTGTTCTGTTCCCTGCTCTGGCTCTGGTGAATTCTCTCACCCTCCCGCGCTTCTGACCGTACCCGGTGCTTGCATAAATAAATAAATCTTTAAAAAAAAAAAAAAAAAAAAGAAAAGAAACATAGAACAACACGAGCTGTCCAGCCTGTGCACGGGAGCAGGTCAGAGGGAGGCACGGGTGAGAGCAAGGCCGCGCGGTGTCCTGTGGGATGTTCCCTGAGGTGAGGAGACAGAAAGCTGGGTTTTGAAAAGTAAGACGAAAAATGAGGCTTAGATGACCAGACTTGGTGTTACGCTTCTTCCCAACCAAATATAAAGTTGAACTTCTTTTATTTTTAAAAATAGCAAACAAGTGTTTCAGAAGACAGTGATGACGAGATGGACGAAGACGAGATTTTTGGCTTTATCAGTCTCTTCAATTTAACGGAGAGAAAGGTGGGTCTCGCTGGGCGGCCTCTGGGTGCTTGTTCCTTAGCCCACACCCGTGTGTCTCATCGGATGAGACTGCTTCTCGCGGTGATGTTCGTCGTGGGGACGTGTGCCCTGTGAGGTTGTGTGGGCGCCCCAGCCAGATGAAGGTGTCAGAGGCGGTGAGTGGGCTGTGCAGCCCACGGCTCTGACAGCCAGTGCCGGCTTCCAGGGGCTGCAGCTGGGTGGGCGCCGGGCCCAGTGTGCAGGCCCCTGCCTCTGACCACGTGGGGGCTCTGAGGCTTTGTTGTCTCCTGAAGCTGAGGGCGCTTCCTGACTTTGAATAGTGTTTTCGTCTTTGTTGTCTCACTGACGAGTTCTAATAAAAAATAAAAAGCAGCTGTGAATCCTCCTCAAAACACAAGGTGGGCTGCCCTTTGACCTCAGAGAACTTTCCATTTACTCCCCTCCATCTTTATGATGGACTTGACCACTTATATTGGTGTGTCTGAGTGTTTGCTATAACCCTCGCGTGCTGGGCATGGGCAGCCAATGACCGCTGAGCTGCTTTCGAGAGCTGCTGAAGCCCACGCCGCTCAAGACAGCTGAGATTTTAAAGGCTCTGGCAGGAAACTGCCCTTACCTGTAAGATGAACGTGCCTGCCCTCGCGTTCAGGTGCTCTCCCCGAAGAGATGGCCTGTGATAAAAAGCCTCCTCTCTGCTTGCTAGGGTACCCAGTGTGCGGAGCAGATTAAAGAGTTGATTCTGAGCTGCTGTGAGAAGAACTGTGGGAAGAGCATGGTTGAGCAGCTGGAGAAGCTTTTAAAGGACACCACCAAGCCTGTGGGCTTCCTGCTGAGCGAGCGGTTCATCAACGTGCCCCCGCAGGTCGCCCTGCCCATGCACCAGCAGCTGCAGTAAGGGGCCGGGGTCGCCTTTCAGCACCATCCCCAAGTGGACGTAGAGTGTGGTTTAAATGAAATGCTAGTGTGGACAGCGTTCCCGCGGCCTCAGCGGCATCCTGGGTGTGCCCATCCTTAATGATCAGCTTGTTAGGGGCGTTGTGCCCACAGCTGCAGTCTTAAAGATTAACTGGTATAAAAAGAGACGCTTCATAGACATTTCTTAATCCCTCATTAGGACAAAGGTTTTCACCCTTTGAGAAGTTGCTGCCGCAGGTATAGCCTTAAATCTGAGGTGCAAGAAGAGCTGAGGCCTGGCACTGCCTGTGCTTTGAAGTAGAGGAAGAAAATAAAGACGGGTCCCCTGGGCTTACAGAACGTCGTTCCTTGAGGATTGCAACATGTGTTTAGTGTGGGTGCCCCTGAGATGGTGTGTGGGCCCGTCCCTGCGCTCTGCTAGGTTTTCCACGTTTCTTTTATGGATTCACTTTTAGTTTTACTGTCATTCTCCCGCAGCCCCCGGCTGCTCCGCGTACTGTGCTGGCAGTGCCGTCGGTGTTTTTGGTCTTGCCTTGTCTTGTTCCTGGCCAGCTGGAGCTTATTTGGATTCCCAGGAAAGAGATCTGCTGAATTGGGGTGTTCTGGGCTCCTTATGTCTTTGTTCAGCTGCACAAGTCATGTATGATTTCTAGTAAGAAAACTAAGGCTTCGTTGCCGTCCCCAGGACTGTTGGGGAATTTGAGGTGTCCCTGTCTTGCCCTGCTGTTTCTCAGTAGTCACCAGTGGCCCCGACTCCAGTGGCTGTGGCCTGTAGCAGGCCTGCGCCCTAATGCCATTTGGCTGTGGCCACGTGCCTTTGTGTGTTTCACTTCAGTGTTCCTTGCTTTCAGAATGCAGGTTCTTGCACCAGTTGTTAACTTCTGGGCCAGGGTCCTGAGTGAGACTGAGACGCATCTCTTAGTTGCAGGAGTCCACACTCGGCACGTGTCTGGTTCATCATAGTGTTCACTATTAAAACGCAGCAGAAGGTGCTGAGACCGCATAAACCAGACTCCTCGTTCCGCGTGTCCGCCCTGAAGTCTGTGCCTTAAGCTGTGTTGTGACCCCTGTGGCCTCGCGGGTCTGGTTTGCTCCGGGCTCTGGTTTGGATGGACTCGCCTGGCCACTGGGTAAACCCCCTACGCTTGCTTTGTAGAAAAGAAATAGCAGAGGCACAGAAGACCAACAAGCCCTGTGGGAAGTGCCACTTCTACCTGCTGATTAGCAAGACCTTTGTGGAAGCGGGAAAAAACTCCAAACAGAAGGGGAACAGCCAGGACAAAGAAGGGCTGATGTTTGCAAACGCGGAGGAAGAATTCTTCTACGAGGTGAGCCCTCCGCTTCCTCTGTCAGCTATAACAAGGGATTTTTTGGGCAATAATCAGGAATTATTGCTCTTCCATTAGTGTCAAAATCCTCCCACAGCGCCTTCACATAGTAGGTTCTTGGTGGGTTCGTCACTCCCCCCCACCCCCGGGTGTCCCGCGTGTGGTCCCCATGCTGCTGCCAGCACCACTTCATGCCTTTAGTTCTGGGTGATGCCTGTGGTGACTCCTCCTAGAAAGGTGCTTGTGCTGTGATGGCCAAACACCAGGATATTCTTTCTCATACTGCCTTTCTCTCGCGATCTTACATCTGAGGAGGGAAGATATTTTCTTGGATTGGATGATATCACCTACTACTTTCAAGACCTCTGTTGGAGTCTTTCAGGAAGCAAAGAGTGAAAATCACATTTTTACAGCTTACGCCTCAGCTTGTCAGGGACCATTTCAGGAGCGTGTACGAGGGAGTTAAGACGGCCTGGCTCTGCAGTCTTTCCTGTCTCACCAAGGAGCTTTATGCCAAGGAAGCAGCCGGGACAGTGGACACAGACCATGCTTTTTATTGTCAGATGCGCCAAGCCTTAACTTGTCTGTCACAAGATTACGTGGCGAATCGGGTGAGAGCAGGCTAGGAGTGGCTGTGCAGCCTTAGTGCGTCAGCACGTGAGCTGGGGAGCGGCACTTGGCTCTCGAGCCCCTTTTAGGAACAGGCCACTTCTCGCCATTCCTGTAGCTCAAAATTGTAATTTCTGCTTGGTGGTTTTTAGAATTTCTGCCTAAACGTCCCTTTTGAGCACATACTGCGTTTTGCTTCCTTTAGCCGTCATTCTTTAAGCAACTTAGTGTTCTTTGTTACAGAAGAAATGAGTTTGGTCTTTAATTCATGGCTCTCGGTTGGGTTTAGAAGGCAGCCCTGAAGTTCAGCTACTCGGTGCAAGAGGAGAGCGACACGCGCCTGGGAGGCCGGTGGTCCTTTGACGACGTGCCGATGAAGCCCTTGCGGACAGTGATGCTGGTCCCCAGCGACAGGATGGGTGCGGTCATGGAGAAGCTGAGGGACTACCTGTCTGTCTGACCGTTTCCTGCTGGGTGGGGGGCTTGCATTTGTGAAGTAACCGGAAGACTGAAGATCTTACTGGAAAACTCATGACTTTATTCAGATTAAGGTCCTCTACAAAATGTAGGGTCTGTCACCCGTGTCTGTGACACAGTACAAAATATTTTCATTTTGTTCGAATTATGAATGTTTAAAAACTTTTCCAATAAAAAGAAAAACATGAATAGTAATTTAAAGAACTCAATAAAAACTTCTATTTCTTATCTTTAAATACTATACAAGCGTTATTTTTCAGAGACCCCTAAGGGTTGCCGCCCCCCTCCACGGTGCCTGCACGTCACTCCAGGACCCCTCGCGAGGCGGCCCGGGTGCTTATTGCACATGGGCCCGCGGAGGGCGAGGTCACTGGAGGACGCATCTCTGCTCGGCGGCTTCGGGGCCCTGCTCGCCTGCCTTCTGCTCTGTGCTCATGGCTGAGAGGGCTGAGAGGTGATCCATGGCCTGCTGGAGGATGTCCTTACTTTCACTGGGAGGCAGGTTGCTGAAATAGTACTGTGGTGCCAGCTGTATGAATCTGTTTAAAAGAAAAAAAGGGATAGATTTTGGCGAGAGTCAATGTTTGGGCACGAACCTGCCCGTAGAACTTGGTGTTGAGTGCGAAGTCCTTGGTGTCCCGGCCTGCCTCTGTCGAATAAATGCTCTCTGTGGCTTTCATGGAGCCCGTCCAGTTATGTTTCTAGAACATGTGGCTCCTCTGGTGTTATGCCACACCTGGAAATGATGCCACCCCTTGACTCCTGGGGGAAACCGTTACTTCCCTGAGGCCTCTCACAGAAAGCGGGGTGTCAGCGCAGATGCTGGTGGGTAAGAGAGGAGGAATGGCCTTTCCCTCTTGTTAACAAATCCCGCTTACACCAGCTGCTGCGGTCAGACACCCACGAGTGACTCTTGGTTCCTGTCCAGAACCTCACAGCTCAAGTGGCGGTGAGCCCTTGGGAGGGTCGAGCCACCGCAGAACCCTCCCAGGGCCTGACCAAGGCCACTTCCACACTGCAGTCTCCTCATTTAGCTGGCAGAGCCACTTCACAGACTATGGACAAGACGTTACCCTTGCTTAACACTTTCAAACTGCACTTGGAATAAACAGCTCTGTGACCCAGCAGCCCCAGCCCCCTGGCCCTGCCTGTCCTCTGTGGGCGCCTCTCCCCAAGAGGTCCAGCCTTGGGCGGGTCTGTTCTGAGACGGCTGAGCTCACTCCACACCTGCGCCCACCACTGCTGCCTGCTCCGCGGCGTCTGCTTCCGCCCTGTGTTCTCTGCCACTGCGTTTCTTAGACAGTCATCCACAGAGACCTGCCCCTGCGCCCCGCACATAGGCTGGTGCCAGTGCAAACTGACAACTGGAAGTACAACAGAAACCACATTCGCCATTTCTCAAGCATGAATTCAAAGGAAACTGCTTTCTCTTCACTTACAGTTCAGGAGAGATTTCTGAGGTGACCCTGATGTAGTTGTTCTCAGATATGCTGAATCTGTGGAAGAGCACCCACTCGGGCATCTTCTTGGTGAGGGAGTAGCCGGATAGAGGGTGCAGCTGGGCCACCTGCTTGTGTGTCAGCATCAGGTAGTTCCCCGAGCCGTCAACATCCCGAGCGATCTGAAGGGGAGTTGTGATGCAGAAAAAGCATGCTTATGTGGCGATAAGGACACAAAAATATTAATAGAGCATTTCATACAGAATAGCTGAAACTACAAATTTGCCACACATTTCCATTTTCAGACCGAGAAAATGAGCCAGGAATGTTTTTCCCGAACCCTGTGACAGCGATGCTGTTGAACACCGGAGGCCCTTCAGGGCTGGTGTGGGCTGAGGCAGCAGCACAGCTGCCGGCAGGGGGTCTGGCCCATGTCAGATGTCAAGCCCACGTCAGATGTCAAGCGCTTTGCCTTTGATGTAGCTTAACCCTTACCCTACTCCTGTGAGAAGCTGCCTTAGGTTTTCACTACAGCTGAGGAAATTCATGCTACAATGTTATCTTTCTCCATGAGCCTTCTTGAGGAGCCAATCGGGTTAGTCTTGAGCTCACCTGTAGGCAGGCGGGATGAGGGTGACACGCTGCCAGAGAGTGAGGGACTTTCCCCCGGTGTTGAGACAGATGTTCAGTGGAAGGGAGTGTATTTAAATGCTAACTCTCTGATAGCACAGGTTTTTTGTTTTATTTCGAAGTCACCATCGGTCAGATCACCCTAGCCTACCTCTCAGCAGGTCCTGGGCTCACCGAGGCCTCCCGTCTCACCTGTAGGAAGTGGCCCGACAGCAGCGCCTTCTTGACGTTCAGGGTGTTCTCCTCTGAGCCGAAAGCGGGTTCTGCATAGGGAAGCTCGATCCGCCTGATGATTTCTAGGAGTTCTGCTCGGATAGTGTCTGCCATCCTGAGGGCAGAGCAGCTGAGGAAGCAGTCGTGGCACCACTTTTCCACACAGTCTGGGAAGGAGAGAACAAAGGCCGTTTAGAAAGGGCATAGCTGACAGGGCCCAGGCTGGGCAGGCACTGCCTCTCTCTCCTGAAAAGGACATCATGCAAAGGACTGGGCTCTGGCTGGGTGGCACTGCCAGCGAGTCAGTGCTGCTCCTGGACCTGCCGCGGCTGTGGGGGGCCCCAGTCCCCTAACTGCAGAGACAGCGTGTTCCCAGTGCTGCTAGGACCCTTACTCTCGGCTCCTGGGGGGCAGTGGAAGCAGCTTCGAGGACAGGCATGGCCACAGCACTTCACACAAGGGGGCCTATGGTATCGGCTGCTCAGACCGGAAAGGCCTCACATTTAACTGCACGGAAAGGGTTACTTCCAGGCTACCTGGGGTGTTGGGAGTCTGCTCATCTTCCGACCCTGGCTGCAGATTTTATTCCGACTCAGCCACCTGGCCCAGTGTGACCGCCACCCGTGCAGGCTGGGCCTGGCGCTGTGCTCCACCCGGGAGGCTCATGTGCTGGTGCACCTGGCAGAGAGCAGGCCCTGTCCTGCCCACTCAGCCTTGCTCGGAGCCATGAGCCCATCCTGCTTGTTCTAGAAGGTGCCATCACCTCCTTTCCGACCCTGCTGACAACTTTATCTCTTAGCTTTGAAAACGTCTTACACTTTATATCTTTCTACTGCCATTCAAATGGCTGTCAGTTTTTTTTTCAAACATTTTTATTTTTTTTAATTCTTTTTTTTTTTAAAGATTTATTGATTTATTTATACAAGCACTGGGTACAGTCAGAAGCGCGGGAGGGTGAGAGAATTCACCAGAGCCAGAGGGGAGAGCAGAGCAGGCAGAAGGACCGAAGTACACTGCTGAGGGGAGCAGCGGGCGGCAGGAGAGGTCTGCGCGCCATGCGGGACCCTCCTCTGGTGGCCAGGGAGCAGCCGGGGATCGAACCGGCACTGCAGAGGCTGCGGGCAGCTTCGCAACCCAGCGCTCAACCGCTGTGCCACCAGGGAGGCCCTGTGACAGTTTTTTGCTTCCCTTCAAATATATTCCACTCTACCTACTGGAGCAGAGGACGTAAAAGATGCTTTGTGAGAACAGCTGAGACTAAGCCTCCCTGTGGAAAAGGTGCTCCTGGCTGGGCCCCCAAGGTCTCCTACTCCTAGCACGGGTGCCACACAGAGAAGCTTCATGTTCCTGTCACTGGGTAGGGACCCTCCTGTGAAAGTCAGTATGCCCACTACTGCATGGGCACATCCAGGATCTCTGCCTCAGTTTACCATTCTGATATGGACACCCTCCACTGTTTCTCCCAGCCGGTGCTCCCCTGGCACACCCACCTGTTCTTTCCTGTGTCTGGAGCTGGGCTTGTTCTGTCTTATCGCTGCTGCCCCTCCAGCTAGTGGCGGGCAAGCAGCCCTGTGAGAGCAGAGCACAGCTCTGGCCAGGGGCAGCGCACCCCAGCTGCCTCCTCCCCAGGGCCGAGAGGGTGAGAGCCGGGCCGGGCAGTCTCTGTCACCCTGAATCACTGCGCCCAAGTCAGCACACCGGGGGCTGGAGTGCTGTGAACATGGCGCAGGGCACGCCCCTGTGGTGCCTGAGACCTAGGAGGGAAGGAGCAGGCTACCGCCGCTCAGCTGAAAGCTCATGCGTGGCCAGGGCCCACGTGCATCCCACACAGGAGACAGCGGGGCTAGAGAAGGGAGCTTCACGAGCAACAGCGTTCTAGGGGAGGCTGCTGTCCATCAACGCCTGCACTTACGCTCACTGGTGGAGTTCAGCGTCGTGTCTTGGTAGGCCTTGTAAATGTTGATAAGGGTGAAGTGGTCTCCTTCAGGATGTAAGAACGTCTTCCAGCAAGTCAAGGCAGCCTCCTCGGCGCCCGGCGGCAGGCGCAGAAAGCAGCTTGGCGCTTTAAGATGCAAAAGCAACAGGTCAGCAGCGCCGGGGCAGCCGGGAGCACCGCACGCGGGGGCTGTGTATCCCAGATGAGCCCTGGCTCATCCCGGGTCCAACGGACCTTGCAGGCCGAGCGGTCACATGTTCTCCTTAGCTGCGTCCGCTTTCCCCGCTGGGCCTGAGCACCAGCTGCCTCATGAGCAGTGAGGGGTGAGGGGCCCGGACGTAGGACCAGGACTGGGACTCTGGGTCCTAACAGCGCAGCTCTGGTCTGCTCTGCCCCTGAAAACAGACGGACACAAGAGGTGTGCAGGTGCTAGGATGTAAGCCCACCTCTCACAGGACCTGGGTCCACAGGGGCGCAGCCATGGACGTGGCGCCGCCACACTCCTGAGAAGGGCGCTCGAGTTTGATTTAGATTAAAGTAATTCTTACACTATTTCTTTTTAAATAATTTTCTCCTTTTAATCTATTAAAATTCTTCATTATCATTTCAAAAGGTTAATGAATCGCTCACAGTCACGTCACTCCTGGATATTCCCAGCAGCGTGTGTCTCGCCTGCTTGCACTTGGCCCACAGCGAGGGCGGCGTACCTGTCACCATGGCGGCGATCGTCAGCATTTCGTCCACACAGTCAAATTCACAGGATGCTAAGATGGACTTTGAGAGTTGTGGATCAAGAGGAAACTCTGACATGATGATTCCAAACTCAGAGAGATTCCCATCGTTGTCCAGTGCTGCCAGGTAATCCAGGTCTTCCAAAGCCTGCATCAAGCTTTCTGGGGCTGAGCAGGGCCGAGATAAAAAGAAGTGAGATAATCAGAAAATCTAAACCAAGGTGGAGAAACAGGTACTCGAGTTTCCCTCCTACACAAAACCACCACACACTGGGCCAGAATCTGAGGGACAGTGATTCCTGGGGGTGGGTGGAACAGGGGGGCTGAGCTCCATGCCTCGAGGAAGTTTCCAGCTATGGTGCTGGAGGGGAGCCTAGTGGGGCCTTCAGACCGGAGTCAGGAAGACCGTGCTAGGGCCCAGGGGAGTGAGGGGCCAGAGCTGGTGGGAGTGCCCAGGGAGAGAGCTGGGGGAGAGAGGCCCTCGATTCCTTGGCAGTGCAACAGAGGCTGGGAAGGAACAGTGCCAGGCGCTGGCACAGGATACAGGACACTGCCCTGTCCCGCCAAACTGGAAACCTCATGCTTCACAGGCACTGGCTAGGGAACCGCCAGGGAACAGCACTCCCCACCCAGGTGTCCTTCCCCACAGAACCCGACTGGCTGAGCTCCAGCACATGTCTGCGTTTTCCTTCCAGGGCATCAGCTTCCAGAACAAGAGGGTGGTTGATATGAAACGGGGGGGTCAGTCCACCAGCCCAAGAAAGCAGACCCAGAGCTGTTTCAGAGCAAGAGCTGGAGCCTGGAGGGTCCAAGGCCCTGCTGTGTCATTTCCAGAACCCACTGCCTTCCATGACAGCTTTGTTCATTAAAAAGCCCCCCCCCACACACACACACACAGGGCAGGGCTAGCTGCTTTGCTAACCTCTGGGGTCCTCTGGGCCACACAGACCCTGCTGCTGGCCTGCACCCACTGCTGGCTGCCAGGGGGCTGCAGAGTGACTGCTAGCCTCACAGCCCACTCCCCAGCGGGCTCCAGCCTCCTCTTAGCATAGACCGTGACACGTTCAGCCCTTTCAGTGAACTGCAAAGTCCCATGTTCCTAGCACGTGCACCAGTGAGGCCTCCAGCATGGCGGACAATCCCAGAAGACCCCGATCTGCCGATGCAAGACCATCTGGCTGACCCCACCATGTGCCCTCATGCCTTGCTGGCCTGGCATTCCCTCCCACTCACTTGGCCCGTCTTGTCCTGCACCCCTGTCTGGCAAGTCTGCTCAGCTCATGTTACTTTGCATCACCCAAGGGATCAAAGATCATTCTAAAGCCAGTGGCCTGGGCACTGAACACAAAGATGCCGTCAGGGCTGGGCCATCCTGGGCGCTTGTCTCCACTTCTCTGTGGACACCACCACCTCCCAGGATGGAAGGCCAGCCAGAACCACCATCGAGTCCACTGGTATTGGGTGAGGTTCCCGACCCAGGTCAATGTGGTGCCAGCGACAAGAACCGATAACAAAAGACCCGTATCAAGGGAATTCAATTAGTACCGTGTGGCCCAGGTATTTCAAGTTCATCTTACACGGTTCACGAATCCAGAAGGGGTGACAGCTTTGCTGCATTTGAGAATTTCAGTTATACAACAGCTGCAAGAGCTGAGCTTTTTTTTTTTTTTTTTTAATTTGGCTTCTGAAACGATGAGTCAGTTAATCCAGTTACGTTTTCTCCAAGCACAGCAGACAGTTACACGCGTGTCACGAGGAGACAAAGCCAGACCTCCACCCTGGCCTGCTGCCCCGTCCCCTGCGTGGACCGCCTGCCCTGGCATGCGTGGGCTTCCTTCTCCCCCACGACCAGCTGGCCACACGCCTGCTGGCTGAGTGAGCAGCCACCTGGTGAGTCAACCGTGGTGCCGCCCGGGCACCAAGAGCAGTCTCCACAGGGTGGGCGCGGGGATGTGGCTGTGGCTGGCATGCTGACGACAAAAGCCAGCCGCTGCCCGTGCTGGGGTCCCCAGTGAGGAAGGTGAGAAGCAGGTGGCAGAGACCCTCACGGCTCAGATTCCTTCTTCCTTGGGGACCAGGAGAAAGTGCCAAGACAAGGAGGGCCTCGATATTCCAAAGTTACAGGGTCATGGCTTCAGAAACACTGTCCCAGCATGTCCTGGCCTGTCTGGGCCACGCAGCGCCCTGGGCCCCACTGGCTTCCATGGTAACTGGCCACAGTCGTCGCCCTGGAGGTCTCCGTGTGCAAAGTGTGCTGGCTCTGACCCTGCCACGCACACTTCACAACTCGGCAATGTCTTGTGTGACTGTCCCTCCTCAGGACGACTCCTCTTAGGCATTTACCACAAAACCCTACCCATGGCTTAAGGTAGTTGGGGGCCAGGCCTAGTGACCCCGCTTTTCAGCTGGACAAGAGGATGAGCAGGCAAAGCGGGCTGATGCCCTCGGTGGCAGGCACAGGCATGGGGCCCCTTGCCAGCTGTCCAGGAGAGGCCTCCTTCTCCCAGGAACCTCAGTGTCCAGGCTCCGTACTCTGCATAGACTTTCCTGCGCGCTCTGAGCACTGCTGCCCTGCCGCCCTGCCTTGCCCGCTCTCCTCCTCCCCTCACCCCGGAGAACTTCCCAGTTCACACTGTGCTGAGACCATGGTCTCCGAAACCCTCTGGAAGCTGGTGGTCAGCCCAGGAACAGCTGCCCCCAGGGCTCCAAGCTCTAGTTTCCTGTGGCTTCAGGGCCCAGCAGATTTAGCACAGCAGGCAGCAAAAGGGGCGGGGCAGGGTCCTTCCTGCGGAAGTGCCAGAAGTGCGTCTGGACCCTGGAGCAGCCTGCACCAGGGGAGGAAGCTGCTGTGGAGGAGGGAGCTGCCCCTGAAGAAGGGTGGGGAGACGGGAGCTCACCTGGCCCCTCCCTCTCAGCCATTCCACTGCTCCTGCAGGAAACCAAGATTCCACAGGGTTCCCAGAAGTAACTGATTTGTCAGTGTTTTGGGGGTCATTTCAGGTAAAATACCCAAACTTTCCAGGAAGGACTGAGCTTTGTGAGGAGCATGGCCCTCCTGCTGGGCCTGGGAGGAGGAAGGCGTGGCAGGCGTCCTGGTGGGGAGGGGGTGTCTACTCTGCATGGTTCCCCCGACAGTGATGAGCTGTCCCCAAGGTCTACTTCCCTTTTCTCTTTTATTTCAGGGGCTGGCATCCTCAGGGGACCTCCCTGTCACTTAGAAAAGGGCCTACTCCACTCCAAGTTCTACTGGCCATTTTAAGTTTGACCTAAATGACAAAGGCGTGATCTTGGACTTGGCTTTCCCACTTGAGGTGGCTGGGCTGTGCCCCACCCAGAGACACCGACGACCCACAGTCCTCTGCTCTCCTGTGGCTGCAGCTCACCTCCACACCCCTTATTTCTACTCACAGGGCCCATCACCTGTGTCCAGGGGCCAGCAGCAGACAGTCCTGCAGGTGAGAGCCCACGACCCCAGGGTGTTTTATCAGCGCCCCCAGGGTGTGTCTCCCTCTGAGGGAGGAGGCTTGGGGCAAAGCAGAGCCCATACTTGTGGGTGCTGCTGGGGACACCAGCGCTGAGGCCCAGGGCGTGCAGACCAGGCAGCCCCGCCCACCCCCACAGCCCCGCTACCTGGCCTGTTCATGAAGTCACAGTGGCCGAGGCCCGCGATGTCAATCCTCTTCATGAACAGCACCATGCTGGTGAGGTTGGCTTCCTGCACTTCCGCCGGCTTAAGGGGCTGCATGTCTTTGGAGGCAAATTCCTCAGAATACAGGCAGAAGAGTTTTCCTGAAAAGAACCAAGGGACAGGTTTTTGTGCCCCTGTGTGGCCTTCACCCCAGACGAGAATCAGCGAGTCTCGTGTCCAAGCTGCTACCTGAAGCCGAGGACCCGAGAATCTGCTTGCGGGTCTCCGCTTGGCTCTGGCTGATGGGCTGCAGGACCAAGGAGTTGGCTCTGATCCGCGGGTTGTACACCTGGAGGGAGAGAAGCTGTTCAGCACCAGACCAGCCACTCCCCATAAAGCACCTCCCTGGCCCGGAGTGAGTGTCTGCGCCTCGTGAGACGCTCTGCTGAGGACTCGTTTTCTTGGCATAATATTATTGTTTCTCCCGCCCTAATATCGGAATGGTCGTGCTGTGCTAAGTGGGCTCAAGGGGGTCGGCTTTCAATAAATGGGGTGTCGGAGTCACCTGCTGAAACCCCAGGTCTCCTCTGTGAGCTCCCGAGAATGACGGTGGCTACGCACAGCCCCGTGGAGAAGGCAGCACTGCGGCTCCTCGGGGTGTCCCAGCTGTGCCCGCAGAGGCCCCCGCCTGTCACAGCCAGCTTTCCCAGCCACCTCTGCGAACACAGAAGCTGCATGTGCGGCTCACAGGGCTTTCCCTGCGGGCATCCCAGGCCTCCGAGGGGCACGCTAATGCACCAAGACCAACCCTCCCCGCTTCCGAGGGACCCTCCATAACCACCAGGGCGGCTGTGTCACCGGAAGACAAGGACGTCAGGAGACCAGATCTCCAGGGGGATAAAAGCCACGCCGCACCTGACGGTGGTAAGTGCATTCTCTTAGGCCTTCAAGGCCAGGATTGCTTTAAAGCTGGACGTTCCCTGGGGTTTTTTTTGCCTGTGATAAAATATATATCCATATAGCTATCTCTCTACATTTATCTTTAAAATTCGGGGTAGAATTTTTATCATATATTTAAGTCAGTGTAGTTGAAGCTGGAGGAGATGCTAAGTGCCTTGAAGACGGGGCGCCAAGAAGTGCCCACGAGGAGGGGAGCACACAGATGAGGGTGCCCTGCACCCCAGTGTCTCAGCAACGGAGGAAGCTGGGGCAGACATGACCGCCTTATTCTGCAGCAGGTGCGTCTTTCCTCAACGTGTTTTCCTCCGGCACTCCCTCACTCCCCAGACCGGAGCGTGTGCTCGGGCCTCGCATTCCTGGCTATCAGAGTCTCCTTTGCGCCCGGGGCACAGAGAGAAGCCCCAGATCGCACTGCTCACCCTCCCTTCCTGCCAATAAAATGGTTGGAACTCAAGAACTCAAGAACCCGGCGGTGGAGGAGCTCAGCAGCCTGCGTGGGCCCTGGCAGCGGTCAGGTCACCTTTCTTCTCTCCACGCCCACGTCGATGACGAATCTGACCGTCTTGCTCCAGATGAGCGCCTCCCCGGAGCTGGCCGTCAGCACCACCCTCCGCGGGGAAGCCTGCCACTGCTTCTCCGCGTCATCCTGGGTCCTGAACAGGGTGCACTTCTCTCTGGGGTACAGGGGGATCACCACCAGCTCCCCAGCATCCGGGTTTACGTGAGCGCCCTCCTGGCAGACAACTTCATAGGCCTTCTCAATGTCCTACAGCAAAGAAATGAAAGAAGAAGAAACAGATCAGAGAATGAGCATGTCCCAGATTACTTCACTACTTGAAACGTTAGCCAGTAAAAGTTTGGCCCAGTAACAGTCTGATGAGAACACAGGCACAGGCAGGAGCGTTCGCGTCCGCGGCGTCGCAGGGACGGGACGCCCGCGGGGAGGCCTGTGTGCCCGCAGTCAAGAGGAGGGGCGGCCGGGCCGAGACATCTCTCCAGGGACGTTAAATGGAGTTTTACACAATTTCACCGCTTTCAGTCCACGGTCTCCTGCGGAACGTACCATGTCTTTGCTGTCACGCGTCTCTCCTGGAGAAGGTGCGACGGAGCCTGCACTCGGGCGCTGCCATCATGCGCTGTGCCCTCTGGACGGAGGGGTGTCCCCAGGGCCAGAGGGCACCTGGGCTGTGGCAGTAAACCCCAGCACGCGTCCTGGGAACCGCAGGGTCTACCTGCAACCTCGGGGACCGTCAGTGTCAAGATGCGCGCAGCTGGCTTCGCAGGAAAGGCCTTTGCCGTCTGCCTTCCGGGAGGGCGGGCGCTGGCAAGCCCAGTTCCGTTACCAGCCTCGGCAAGTTGCCTCTTCCAAACTCAGATAACTGGGGCCACAGTGCCATGAGCTGCAGCTGAGGCTGAGCGACTGAGAATGGATAAAAAGACCATGCAGTCCCCCCAGTTCTGTTACAGGCTTTTTTCTTCAAAAACCCTTTTGGAACTTCTTGCTGACTCCATCTGAAGGACGACCACTCGCGCTACCTGTCTCATAATTACAGCATTTTTCTTCTAGAAACGGATGTCTTCTCTTTCAGCTGGCGATTCCTCAGATGGTCGGGATGTCTAATTCCGCCACTCTTGCCCTACGGCTTGACCTAGTCACCCTGAGAATCTCTAATTGTTCCCATACATCTTTCTGCCTGTCTCCTTCACGGTTTTATTACTTTCCTCAGGCCTAAATTGAATATCTTGAATCATGCAGGATTAAGGAATGTAATAGAATAAATCACTATAATAGGTAGAAGATTTACTATTCAAGGAAATGTGTATAAGCTATACACAAAAAATTGATAAATGCACCGTAGTTATCATATTTGAGGTTCTAAATTACTTTCTTCATGGAAATGGATAAAATCTAAGTTGTGAGAAAATCATCTCAAGCTCCCGGAGCCGGAGGCTTTCGTCCTCTGTGCTCGGAATGCAGAGCAGAGCAGACCTTCAGGGAGTATCTGAGGCTCTGGAGCCAAGGGAAAGCTGGGACAGGCGGGCGTGCTCGTCTGCGCGGCCAGCAGCTCAGTCAACATCCCACACTTTCTTTTTTGTTTTCTGTTTAATCACAAGAATCACAGCATATTTGGATCAAGGTCTGAACACTAGCAGTTTACACCCTGGCTGGGATGGCGTGTGCGGAAGCCCCAGGAGGTGACGGCACTGAGAAGGATCGTCGGATTCTTCAGATCCTGGGGGCGCTCAGGCTCAGCCGGAGCAGGAGGGAAGCGGGGCTGGGTGGCGCCAAGGAAGGCGCCTGCGGCCCAGGGCACACAGGGCGGCACGAGCCAGGGGCTGCTGGCTCTTTAGAAGGAGCATTCTCCAGAATCCACGTGAAGACTCCCCACTCCTGCTCCCCGCAGGAGCAGCCCAGGACGGAGAGCCCGCTGGGCAGTGACCAGCAGCCCTTCTAGCCCTCGTCCTTGGCCGATGCACAAGGGACACCGGGGGACCGTCCCAGTGTCACAATGTTCCCCCCAAGGCCACGGTGAAGTTGCTCCTCTCCCAGAGGCTCCTGGCCGGGGGGAGCATGGACTCCCAGCCCGTCCCAGCAGTTGTGGTCTGTGCCCTGGAGAGAAGCCAGCCCAGAGATGGCCGCTGCGCCCTCATGCTGCTGCCCCGCCTCCCCCCCCCCCCCGCCTTGGTTTCTAGAGCAGTGTATGATTTCAGAAACACTTCCTTGTTCTCCTTTTAGCACAGGCTTTATTTACCCAACCTGTGTTTCTTCTAAGGCATAAAAAAAAAAAACAAAAACCCGAGCTGTGATGGAACTAAATGTTTAAACAGCTCATCAGCAAACAGAAACCCCTGTGGTGGTTAGCAAGAGCTTCCCGACGGGCTAGAGAGGCCCCTGTGAGCAGCCTCACCGGGGCCACTGCAGGACATTACTTACTTACTTGTTCGCAGGCCAGAAAGATGACTATGTCGCCTGGCTCCCCCGAGCGGTGGATTTCAAGGATGAGGCGCGGAACGGACTCCAGGGGCTCCTTCTGGGCCCCGCTGAGGTGTACCACCTCCACGGGGTGCCCGTGCCGCACCTCAATGAGAGGCACATTTCCATAGTAAGAGCTGAGCTTGCCGACCAGGTGCGGGGAGGAGCTGATGATGAGCTTCAGCTCTGGCCTGGCGAGCAGCACGTCCTTGAGGAGCCCCAGCAGGACGTCGGTGGCCATGCTCCGCTCCTGCACGTCGTCCAGGATGACCACCCCATAGCTGCCCAGGAAGGGGTTGGACATCATCTCCCGCTGCAGCATGTCGTCGGTGCAGTACCTGTGGGGAGCGGCACTCCAGTCAGCGCGCGTGCAAGGCTCCCGCCCACACCGGGAAGCTGTCCCTGCGGCCTCCGAGCTCAGAAGCCGCCATCTTCTCCAGGGCCGAGATTCCTCTATGCCCGTGAAATGCAGAGACCTTGCGAGCTGAAGACGCCCGCCACCAGGTCTAAATGCTGCGTGTCAGGCCCGGCTGGCTCTCAAGACCAGCCTCTGTGCCACGTGTCCCTCAGGAGTGAACAGGACCACAAGGTGGGCATCCCATCCAGCTCCCGGTCAGGTCAGCGAGCCCCTCATGGGGGAATTCTGGGTGCCGGCACACGCGGTGCGAGGGGCAGGTGCGGGCTGGCCATTGAGGCGCAGACCATGGCCCAGCGGGCGCCCCGGAAGGATCTGCGGGTGACCCCGTGGGACACCGTCCCTGAGACGTCAGTGTCAGCACGTCTGAAATGCCCCTGAAATAACCACTAAGCAGAGCGTCTGAGAGGTGAGCCTGCGTGAGGGCGGCACGCAGACTGGCGGCACCTGGAGGAGGAAGGGGCTGATTTATTGGAATTTTCCACCGATTCTTAGAATTTTTTTTTTTGTCATCCAGCGCGTGCAAACACCTGCCATAGTCACTTCTCTGTTATTCCTTGAAGACACCAAGTGTGAGGCTTCTACCCAGTCTGTGTCTGCCCTCGCGAGTGACGGGCCTGAGCTGCTATTTTTAGAGGCCTGGGCCGGACACTGGGAACTTGGCCTGGGTGGGTGCTGCCTTTCCAGAAGGAGGAATGGCTCCCGGGGCTCACGCACACAGCAGGCCGCCCGCCTCCTTCTGAAACATCGGGACACAGCAGCGGAGGACACAACATGACCGGCCTGCCACGCACACCCCAGCAGCCCCGCAGGACCGCGTGTCCCGGGTGGGGGTTAGGCTCCCGGACGCCTGGCCCTCCCTGGCTTCCTCTGGCCTTCCCCCAGCGCCACTCCTCCCTGCCAAGGACTGTGCCTGCCGTCACTGCGGAAATCTGAGTTGTGAGCAGCTACATGCAAGTCCTCCCGGCAAGTCGTCTAACCTGGAGGTGGCCTTGGGGACCCTGACACAGTCTTCACGTTAAGTCCTTCAAACCAGCAAGGAAGCCCCTGGCGTGTGCCAGACGCTGCGTTGGGATTACGTTTCTCATTTAACCTTCAGAACAAGCCTCTGAGCTACATATTTGCAACCGAGGGAGGCTTAAACCTGAGTGTCTGTGACACTGACGCCAATATCATGTGATACAGGTGGCCGTGCTCGGCCCTTGTGTGGCCAGTGGCCATGTCCACATCGCTATTCCCACTCCCTGCAGCTTTGCTGCTTTTTCCTCCTTTTCTCAAACTTGGAGAAGAAAATGTACTGACTACACTTACACTTTGTATAAAAGGCAAACAGATACTTCTGAACCCTTGCTCTCGGCCCCCTCTCGCTGATGCTGTTAGTTTGCTACAATGACGTAGTCACGGTTTGCCTCTTGTCTAAAAACAAGCCAGTCTACGCTACTTCCTTCATGTTAAATTAAATCTTCATTCCCTTCTCAGCAAGACTCATCTACACGTGATCCTGCAGGAAGAAACGCACCCTGCCAGGTGGAGGTGGGTGTTTGTAAATAGACCTGGGCTCCATTAAAGAGGGAGGAGACAGTGACTCAGGACCTCACCCTGCCGGGCAAGCAAGGCCAGGCCTTAGGCCTTCCCACTGATTATGTAACAAAAGGGAACGGGCTGTGCAAACCTTTCATTTTCTACCTAAGACAGATCTAGCTGTTACCCTCATGTCGATAACCCAGCACGTGCAGTGTTGACAAAGGTGCCGTTCCTGTGTGCGCGCACGTCCCGAGGTGGAGGAAGCAGTTTATGCTTTAAATTCCTACAACTAAATGTGTGAAAAACAGAATGCAGAAATTTTCCCCCTAAAGTTATATACATCAAATCTGAGTAATTCTTTTAAAATCTGTATCCCAGGGGGTCAGGCCTGAAACTCTTGAGTCAGGGCCACACGTCATCACAGCAGCCGGTTTAGCAAGACTGAGCTGTGCTGTCAGCTGCCCACTGGTGAGGAGCAGCCACAGGGAAGCCCAATGAACTAAGCTGCTAAATACAGCCCTGAGAACGGTCAGCGGCTTTGCATCAGGTTAGTAAGTGCCAATTACACACCTAATCGACTAGGCATGAAGATCCTACAAAGAACAGGAAAGACAACGCAAACATACAACATTGTCTTTCACAGTCAAGTCGACCTTAAATCCTTTCATTTCAGTCTCAGTTTGAGCTCATTAGGAAAGGCAGGAACGCCTACATCCCGGGGAGGAGCACCTGTCTCCCGGCACGTCAGAATCATGCAGGCAGCCACCGTGTGCCCAGCACGCAGGGCCAGGAGCCCAGGAGCCCGAGGGCCCCCGGCACCCCGAGCAGGCCTGAGCACCAGCCCATGAGGACCCAGAATTGGGGGGAAGTGCCCACGTCCCCGCCCAGAGCAGGCTCACATGTGCCACGCGGAGTGATGGGCGTGTAGACACGCCGCTCTCAAGGTCCCCTGCTGGGCCGTCCTGTGACCGCCAGTGCCCAGGGTGGCTGAGGCCATGGGGCTGGTCCTCTGGCTGCAGGCAGCTCTGACAGTGCCCCCACCTCCTGAGTCCTGTGCACAGCGTGGGCCTACGAGGTAAACCTGCTCAAGGAGCCCAGGCCCACACCGTGCTCTGCCCGGCTGCACTTCTTCCGCTTTCTGTCCTTTCCTAGTGTTAAATGCTTGGGACCCTTTGTGGAAAGCAAATCTTACAAAGAAGCTAAATTCAAAAGGACATTGCTTCCCCACAACTTGTGGTACCTCCTGAGGAGGCCCTGGCACCTGGGGGGCTCGGGAAGGACAGTCTGAAAACAGTGAGAGGCACCAGGCTGACGAGGCAGCCGGGCACCGATGGACCCCCATGGTGGGGAGCTGGAGAAGCACCAGTCAGCGGGTCTCTGGGGGCCGACCTAACAGGTCCCAACTTCTGGAGACTCTGGGGCATCCTGAGGAAGTTCGGGGGGCTGGTGAGGGGGCACCACTGCGTGGGTCAGGCTGGTGAGAGGCCATTATTTCACCAAAGATGCTTAAAACGTGGAAGGCAAGAGTAAGGCTCTTCGAGGGTCAGAGAAGAGCAGCAGGCATTGGGGAGCGGCTGAAACCCCAGAACCAACCTCAGGATGGTCTCGCTGGTACAGCAGTTCTCAAAGGGGATCACGTAGCCAACCTCGTGGCCAATGTTAACGTCCATCTCATCTGCGACCCGCAGGGCGAGCTGGACCGCAGTCTGCTTGTGGACCTGCGTGCACACCACGCCCCCGTGCTGGTAGTGGACGGAGAGGCAGTACTCGGCGCACCACTGAGGCACCTGGCGGGAGAGACGAGGCGGTCAGCGGGCGAGGAAGCCGGCAGCTAAAGGAAGGCTCTTCTCACGCCAGTGCACACCCGGCTACTCCGCTCAGCGACACTGGGTAAGCTGTGCCTGGGAGCAGGGCTGTTGCCCGAAACTCAAGAGGAGAATAAACAGCAGTTAGCAGGGACCATCCCCGTTGAACTCCCAGATGAAAAAAAGGCTGATAAAGAGAAAAACTTAAAAAAAAAATGGAAACCTTTTACTGTGTTTCTCGAAAGACTAATGTCTTTCGAGACTCTTATTGTCATCCTGGCTACAAGAAAGTGCCATCAAAACATAGCTTCTGTCATCAGCCCCGTGTGTTAGGCAATGGATTTTCCATTTAGATGGAAGATAGCGACTCACAATTAAAATTTTTACAGCGACGTGTCAGTGATCATAAGAACATACCCAGGTAGGTCTGCTACCATTTCCCTGGCTGTAAACACTGCAGTGTGCTGGCATGACCCGCCAGGTGAGCCCACTTTGTTATATGTGTCTTTAAAACAAATCACCCCAGGGCGGGAGGGGAGGGATTGGGTTCAGAATGGGGGGGGCTGCAATTGTATCGGGAATATAAAAATAAAATTTATTATTAAAAAAAAAAAAAGAATTTTCATTAAAAAAAAAAAAAAAACAAATCACCCCAGGAGTGTTTTTAAATACATCTAGAATGTTTGAAAGGTTCTTGCCCTCCTGTGCACAGGGCGGCCCGCTTCACGTCCCGGGTCCTGGCACTTTGACTTCAGCCCAGAGTCATGGAGTCTAGAACCTGAACAGAACCCTAAGGACCGTCCATTCACCCATCCCGTGTCAGCTTCCTCCCCAGCACAGCACCTGTGTCCAGGGCTGCCTGGTGTGTGTGGCGTGACACGTCAGGAGAGCCGCCTGCTGAGGCCAGCGGGCAGCCTGTGTGTGTCCCGACATGCCCCCCATGGAGTGCACACAGGAGGGCGCTAGCGGCAGTTTCTCTGTGGGGTGGGGATGCCCAGACACCATGGACGGGGGATTGTACACCCCAGACACTGCTGGGCACACAGCAGACGTGCATACACGCTCAGGTGTGCGTTCCTTGCTCTGTCCGCGGAGGGGGCCCGGGGCAGTGACCAATCCATGTCCACAGGCACGCTCGCTGCCAGATCTCAACTCAGAGATCATTCTCCACTAAAAGGGGCCAGGGCGCCTTGAGAAAAATGGCATTTCCGAGACTAGGAGAGAAAATGTGCTGGGGGAGGGGGCAGGTAACACCTGAGAGTGGAGAAGTGCTCAGGGTGGTGAGGCCTGTCGGAGGGACATGGGCCCCTCTGAAGGGACCCCATGGGCCACGAGGAGCAAGGGATGCATGACACAGAATCCACAAGTCCTCGTTTAGATAATAGAGACAAGAAAGCTCAGCCGTACAGAAGAACTGCACATGCTGACCGCGGGAGTGTCAGGATTTCGTCACCACCGGTGTAGTGACATCAAGGGAGGAGCCATCAAAGGATCCTGACCGGGAGGGGCATCCTGACAAGAGCCAGGTCTGGCGTGGCCTGGGTCTCCTCACGACATGCAGTGACTGGGGCAGTGGCTGCAGCAAAGCACAGGACCGACGCCCCTGTCCCGTCACCAGTCCCGGGAGAAACCACCACTTCCTGCGCTGACCGCGGGGCACCAGATGCCTGACAAGTGCTCTTCACGGAGGACGAGGAAAGGCCGAGAGGCCATCATGGGTTAAAGGTGACCAACGAGAAATGACAATGAAATGTAATCATTTTGGGTTGGATCTGGACTAGAAAAAAATTAACCTTTTTTTTTTTTTTTTTTAATGGTGAAGGCCATTAGTGGACAGTTAATGAAATCTGGACGTCTGCAGCTTAGCAGACGAGACGCCACCAACACACACCTGGTGTTGACCACCATGCTGGCTGTGCCTTGTTTCCAGTGAATGCTCACGGTGGTATTTGGAAGCAACTGGCATCACGCCCTCAGCTCACTCTCGAGAGGTTTAGAACAAACTTGCATGTGTGTGAGTGGGTGAGTGTGTGCGTGGACAGAGAATGGTAAAACAGATGTGATACTTTCTTAGTGTTTAGGGAATGTGGATGAACAACATAATGAAAATCCTTGTACTTTTTTTTTGCAACTTTCTTGTAAACCTGGAATTACTGCAAAATAAAAATATTACTTTTTAAATTTGCCATTTGTCCACAGAAATCAGGAAATTATACTCATTCGGCTTTCATCATTTGCTTCTTGTGACAAACTGAAATCTTTTGTCATCAAGTCTTAATAAGCCCTCGCTATCTGCAGAGTGAAAAATATGAAAAATGCCTCCTGTTCAGCCCCACTTCCCTCAAGCTACATTTAAAACAAGTGAGTGCAAGAGGCATAGACAACTTGGAAAGAGCAACACAGAATGAAGAGTGTTCTATCACCCCAGCTCAGTGACCTGACACTAACGACAAATCGTCACCGTTTTCGTCATCTGAAAAAGGAACAGGTTTGTTACATCACCCACGTGGTCTATTCTAACTCTTAAATCATAAGAATCCATAAGTGAATTTCATAATAAAAACACTTATTGTTAACTTTGTAATTTAAGACCAAAATGCAGCGCTCACTAAAAGCAAAATTCATAGTGCATATACAAGAACTATGTGGTATCTGGACAATAAGTATTTGTGGGCCGCCTTAAGTCTTTCCCTCATAGGCGATCTCAGAATGTTTGGCCCTGCGCCTCAATCCTGTTTGGTCAAAATTTCCTTGTGCTTTTGAATTCCTGCAGCTTCCCCAGCTGCACCAGCCAGCAAGCGCCTCTTGGTGGACACGGCCCTCAGACCCGGATCTGCTAGCACGCCTCTTAAAATAGAATATGTGCATCGAGATAATGTGAGTGATTTTATTCTGCTATCCCAGAGAGAATTCAGTGCTACAGGAAATACAATTACTATCCACATGAGTGTTATTAACTGTGACTCCACTGATTTGAATAAATTAGGTAACTAAATTGTCACATCTGAATTGCTAACGCTCTTTGGTTTGGTTTGGTTTGGTTCAGATAACATCATTATTCAAACAGAAAGCTGCTGGTGACACATAATGATTAAGGATCAACAAAGCCGAGGTGGCAGCAGGTCTTGCCATGGAGGCCACTCACCTGAGAGCTCTTGCCGCATTTAGCATCTCCAGAAATGATGACAACTTGGTTTTGCAGCAGGTTCTCCATAAAGGAGTACTTTTCTTTCCATATTGGAAGCTCCTCCCTCTCTTTCAGAAGTTTATAGTAGCGCGATGAATACGGCAAACCGTCAAAGGGGTTGAGCTCCAGGTCCTCGCAGGCCAGGACCCCCTCCTCTTCCCCATCACTGGAGTCCAGGGACTCAGGAAAATAGCGTTTCTCAGGGGAAGCGTTAGAACACCCCAGTGCTGCCTCTTCCATCTTGTCCGGCAGCGAATGGATGCATCTGACGCGGGCCTACTGAGTGTGTCGTCCTGTAACCCCTGCACGCAGCGTCACGCAGCCCCTGCACCAGCGTGGAGGCGCAGGCTTCGGAAGTGCGAAGTGCGCGGTCTCAGGCGGTGCCACTCCTCAAACCTGCATCTGTGCTTCTCTGCCCTGCGGGCTCACCTGGCACCTCCCGACGTTCAGTGACTCAACCACACTGAAAGACAAACAACAGGAAAATCAGGTCCCCAGACTAGAAGATGTTAAAAACACAAAGCCCAGATGATCAAAACAAAAGCAGTATTTTTTCTCACTGGCTGGTGTCCTCCCTTTCTGTGGCCCGTTTAAAAGACCCACGGCTCGCCGAGCCGGGCTGCTGCAGTGTTTCCCTGGCTGACCTGGGAAATGACTCTGCACCGGACCCGGTGCTCTCTGGCTGACCTCGGTCACGGGACCCTGCGGTTGTGACTGACAATGGACAGAAAGCAACAGGGGATGGGCCGCTGTGGCTGAGAGGTCAATCACCCGACCACTAATTCCATTATAAAAGACATGCGGGGGCCTCCCCTGATGGCGCAGCGGTTGAGTGGGCTGCAAAGCTGCCCACAGCCTCTGCAGCGCCGGTTCGATCCCCGACCGCCGGCGAGGGTCCCACATGGCGCGCAGACCTCTCCTGCCACCCCCGCTGCTCCCCTCAGCAGTGTACTTCGGTCCTTCTGCCTGCTCTGCTCCCCGCTCTGGCTCTGGTGAATCCTCTCACCCTCCCGTGCTTCTGACTGTACCCGGTGCTTGTGTAAATGAATAAATAAATCTTTAAAAAAAAAAAAAAAAGAAAGACATGTGGGCCCTCACAAAAGGGGAAATCCAGCAGGCTGCAGCGCGCGCCCCCACCTGGCTACAAGGAGTCCACCTCACTACTGAGGAACCCAGTATTTGAAGGAGAACATTTCAGAGTCAAGTGAGAGGCGCAAACTACTGTTCCTCCCATCTGAGGCCATTGCTAACTTTATTAATAAGGTCTTTTGTTTGTTTGTTGAATTAAACCTGAGCTCCCACACTGTCTTGAAGCTCCGGGTCCTGAGCCCAGCATGGCAGATTTAAGAGGCAATCAAGGACATCCAGTTTCAAGGATCACGAGAAATCACCCAAGAAAAGGCCAGACTTACACCAGCAACTGATTCCCCACATGTCAGGTAAGAGGCCCCTCCTCTCCCAACCCCTGGTGATTTAGAAGGAATCCAACCACTAGGGCTGGAAGTAAGCCCTTCCGCCGAGCAGGTGAAAATGAAAAAGGCAGGAAAACCCAAGCAAAAAAGAAGAAACCCTAAATGCAGTTCACGATCTCTTGTCCATAAATTACTTCTCACCGTACCCCATTCACCACACTAGTGTCTCAGGGCGTCAGGACTGGTGGGCTCCTCACTAGCTGCCACGGGGTCTAGCCCGTGCCTCAGGAACAGCCCCGAGACCACGTGCTGAGCGAGGGCCTCTCCGGCCACAGGAACCAGCCCCCCCAGACACCAGGCCGGGAGGACGGAGGGGAGACTGACAAGCAGGGGAGAGACCCCTGCAGGGGCAGTTCTCCATCATTCTGGGCGCGGGTCTGCGAGCTAGAGGCGTGGCCGTGGTGTGACACAGACGCGCCACGTTCCTCCCGCAGCCTGACGGGAGCTGTGCGGCAGGGAAACAGGCGGCCGGAGCCCGCGGGCGGCTGCTGGCCTGGAGGAGCCTCCGAGAGCTAGGAAGCTCGAGTGCTTAGGAGGAATGCAGTCTTTGTTCTGGGCTGGTCAGAATCCCTTCCGAGGGGTCAGCTGTCACTACAGGCAATGACTGCCTGACGTTCTATTTCTGGACAGTTTTACCTTAAGGAGAAAAACACAGCTATTGTTCCTACCAAACAGATGCCCTTGAAATGTTTCTCTTAATTCTGTAATCCTCCCTAAAGGCACAATAACCTTTTGAGTCAAGTTTTACCGACAGAGGACTGGCCACCTTGAGCCCCCAGAGGGCAGTCCAGTGCATGAAGCAGCGATCAAGGAGGCCCCAGCCTCCCCTTGCCGCCTCTGCACCCTGTGAGCAGTTCCCTTGCCACGCCCGTCACGAGATTAGACATGCCCAGACTCCCCCGCTGCTCCCTGAGAGGGGCGTCTCTCCCCACTGGAGTCTGAGCTGACCCTGCAACCTGCTCTGAGCAAAACACTGGTGACCGATGCCCAAGCACCTCCTGGGCTTGGCTGTACAGACAGGCCGCCGGGGAGAGGCCAAGGCTGGGCCATCGACACGGGCTGTCAGCCCTGAGGACGGGCCATGGAGGAGGCGTCCCTCCTGACGACTGCAGTCCGGTCAGCACAGCCAGGGCAGAGGCCAGGAGCCCACAGTGTGTGGAGTGTGTGGACCTGGGTGCTGAGCCTCCAAATCCCAAGGTGACTCATGTGGCAGCGATGGGTGATGACCAAACCTATGTCTAGTAGGACAGTCCACTCACAGTCACTGCGACATCAGTTCCCATCCCGGAACAGGTCATCAGGTTTCCCCCAAGTAACCAGGGTCAGAGGCTGGATGCTGCCGGGACTCGCTGGTCACCTGCTCTGGCCTGCAGAAACCAGTCAGGCTCGTCCAACGAGAACCCGCCAGGACCCAGCCCACCTCGGTTCTGTAAGAACCCAAGTCTGGGGGGATGCAGAGCCACATGCCCCATCTGACCGCAGGACCCGGGGCTGGGGGACTGTGGGGCCACACGCCTCTGCTCGTCCACCCGCCACCATGCTCAGCCGATCCCTTTTTGCGCCGACGTGGAGCGGAACGTGCAAGGGACCCACTTCCCGGCCTTTGGCAAATGCAACAGCACTGACTTGAATAAGGGAAAACAAATGACATGGCAGGTTACGTGTCATTAAATAAAACTGAACAAGAACTGTTCCGTATCAGTATAAACAACATTCCACTACGAGAATTTCAAGCCTGAAAGATGGCCCTTTGCTCCCTGAGTTACCTCCAGGCCTCCCGCGGATTGCGTAAGCGCCAAGACTGCCCTTCAGGCGAAGCTACTCCGTGGCACAGACGGCATTCATGGGACACAGGCCCGCAGCACGAGACCACCTCGCGACAGACCCGGAGCCCAGACCCGCCTCCTGTCAGTGATGCGCATGTAGCTCTGGCCCAGTAATTCTAGAAACACAGTTCGTAGAAACGGGAGGGCGACGTCTGCAAGGGACTAAGTGAAACACCACCGCCAAGCCTGCCTCGGGCTCTACTGCTGCTCCTGTTGTCTGTGCCTCTCCCACGAGGGTGTCCGGCGGCTCCATCTCACTGTGCCCTCACACCCACCAGACGCTCACAGGCACCGGGGAGCACTCTGGGAGATCATCGTTCATCCGACACCTGAGCACCTACTGGGTGCACTGTGAGCGCCCCAGTGACAGTGTGACGTGGGCCAGCTCCTGCCCTCACAGCGCTTACAGGCCAGTTGAGGCCAAGGGGGTGTGACACGAGGTTCTCTGTCTTGCAGTCTAGTAACTAAAAGAACAAAAGCTTGTTCAGAACAGGAGAGAGCAAAGGACTCTGGGACAGAGTGGTCCCGCTGCCCGTGCTGCGGCAGAGGCTGCGCCTGAGTCGTGTGCCCGAGGTGCCCTGGCACTGGACCAGAGGCCTCACTTTTCAATCCTCTTGCTTGCCCCTGTGAGCCTCCTAGATTCAACACGCTGCCCTCCTTCCCAGCGAGCTGGCCGCGGCTGCGAATGCTGGCCGCTCACCCTCAAGGCCTGGCTCTGATTTCATTGCTGCTCTCGTGATGGGGCACAGTAATGCCCCAGCACCAGGCCCCACGTCCAGGCCGTCTCCACAACTGCCACAAATAAGATGAAGGGCTTTGCACAGACTGAGCTATCACTGTACCCAGACCCGCGATGACAGCACTTAGAAGAGGTTAGCGAGGAATGATGAGTAGATAAAATGATACTGAATTTTGGAGACCAGACGCACGGGTCCAACATCCCACGCCAGCTCTAACCCAAGTGTGTGTCACGGCAGGGCAAGAAGCTCACTCTCCGCTCCCCACCGCTGCCCCCTCCGTCTTGCTAGGAAAGACCAGCCGCACTAAGTGGTGTGGCCAGTGCCGCGGCCTGCTGAGGCTCCAGCGTGGGCTCCTCGCCGCTGCCAGACAGGGGTGGCAAGGCCTGGCCGGGTCTGCAGTCTCGCTCGGCGCCGGGGCTCTCCACACTGCTCGAATTGGCCTAATAATAATAATGATGGCAATAATGATAAGGATGCTAATTCCACCAATTAGCCTTTATAGAGTGCTTATTATGTGCCAGATGCTGTGGTAAGTACTTAAGTACTTCATACACGGATTATTTCATTTAAACTCTTAAGAACCCCTTGAGAGTTTACTTTATTATCTCAATTTTTCAAATGAGGAAATTAAGCCTTCGGGGTTTCCGCTCATTGCTGCAGCCTGCAGCGGCCCAGCTGGGGCAGAGCCGGTACCTGCGTGAGGCAGGCCGCCTCCAGCCTCACCTGGAGGTCGCGCGGGCAGGCGGGCACCTCGACCTCCCTGCATCCCAGAACAGGCCTCAGGCTCTGCCCTGCGGGCCCAAGAGGCTCCCGCCACTTTGAGATGCCAGGCGGGGGTCTGAATACCAGGAGACTGAGCATGTCTTACTTAATGGAAGCAAGACATTGAAAATTTTCGAAAGACGTGGTGCTAACTTGCCCGTATGGATTACAGCCACGTTTAGCACGCAGACTCTACCCGCTGGCACGTTTTGCTCCAACTGGTCCTCCCCGGCGCCGCTCGGAGGGTCCGTCTTTGTTTGCCTTTGTTTTCATCGGTGCTCCCCAAACACATCCTATTTGGTTTCCAGCATCTACTTTAAATGTGGTACAAGAGAAGACAAAACTTCAGAATTTCCTGTTTTTAGATCCCTAAGAAGTTGACTTTGCTTTCATTTTAAGTAGCCAATCAAGCTAATTGGCTTTCAAAAAACACTCAAAATGATTCATTTTTAATTCAGTATTGGCTGGTACCAAATACAGCTTAAGTAACCAATCCTGCAGGTTTTTTTCTGTTTTTTGTTTGTTTGTTTGTTTTTAAAAGAATCCTACCTTCTAAGGATGACTACAAAAAAATGAGTTGACAGAGGAGAGACTCCCCACTCACCCATTGCTTTTGGGTAATGACACAGCCCTGGGCACAAGGAGTTTCTATGTCAGGGGTTGCTAAATTTCAACACCCCCGCCCCCCGACTGGCCTGCTCAGAGCCCTTCAAAGCCGTTCCGTGGTCTGTGCCGGCACATGCCAGTGCGGACATCGGCGTGAGCGCGCGGGGCCTGCTGCGGTCACCTCCCACAGCAGCGCCTGCTCCCGCGGCCCCGCAGCCGCCCAAGGTCCCCTTTCACTGGAGCGGCTGTTCCCACGGGAAACTGCAAAACCCGCAAGATCAGGAAACTTTCCTTTTTGTTAACAAAAAAGAGCACGAGGAACAGCACTAACGTTCATAAAACAATAAACTAAGTTGTGCGTCTGTGGCTGAGGCGGGAAACAACCCTGAGGCTCGTGGGCTCCGGGGGGACTCAGTTCACTGCATCCGCCAGGCGCCGCCCCCACCCCAGGGGAGAATGTCCGGGCCGCAGGGTTTTGACCTGGACCCTCTTCTCCTTCCACATGGTCTCCCTGGAGGAAAATCGTCACGTTCTAACTTCAGCCACTGGAGGCCGGGTCCAGTCTCGGCCTGCACCGCAGACCCCTTTCTTGAGCTCAGCCCCCCCCAGAAGACAGGACCGCAGACGCTAATGCTCACAACCGCGCTCGGCGCCAGCCCATTTCTCACGCTCCTTTAGAGAAAGAAAAAACTTTGTCCTCTGTGTCCCACAGAATTCAACAGCACGCGGAGCCACCGCCCATCAACTGGGGCTCATCCCTGCCTTCTCCCTCTCCTCACCCCCACACCTGGCCTTCTCGGTTCTGCCGCTCCAGCGGCCCCTCTCCTCTCCCCGCAGCCCTGGCCTCAGTGGCCACGTTATCCCTCCCCGAATTGCCACAGAATCTCCAATTCCGTTGTCTCTGCCTGGACATGGGCTCCCCAGCCTTCATTCACAGGCTTCCCTTGACCCTTTTCAGATGCAAAATTGATGATGTCACTGACCTAAATCTCTCGTTACCGTTACCCTGGGGATAAAGCCCACAGCCCTCCAGTTCTTTCTGACTTGGCTGCTGGGCCTGCCCCCTCCCACGCTCTTCCAACAAGTTAGTACTCTCTGCTCCGGCCGCTATGGGTCTCTGCCGCTGCCCACGCTGCCCGTCGCCTGGGAGCCTCCGGCCTTGCACACAGCCCTCCGGTTGCTCCTTACTCCTTGGTATGCACAGCGACCCCAGAGGCCAGGAAGACCCTCACCCACGAGGTGCTGGCGGTGTCCTCTGTGTGTGCGGTCCTGACCAAGCCTTTACCCCGAAGTTCTCTAGTGCTCACCAGATGTTTTCTTCCCTGTCTCTGATCACACTTCCTGGACCAGGCGACAGCGAAGGGGCTTTACTATCCCCGAGGGCCCAGGAGGAAGGAGCAGCTCCTGACTTGCCCGGTGGCCGGTGGCGAGGAAGGAATGCAGCCATCCAGGACCAAAGCTTTCCTCTTTTTATTGTCCTACTTCAGCTGTCAGGGACATGCTGAGACCTACTATGCGCTGAAAGGAAGAAGCCAAAGTCACGACTCAGCTCCTAAAACGTTTAATCCAATGGAGGGCACTTGATACACAAAATGGGAGAAAATTCTTAGAAGACAACAGAGGGCCAAGTGCCAGGGGCGCCACGCCCCCAACAGGGAGTGAAGTTCACTTACTGGGCATCGCCTAGCTCTGGGAGACCCTCCAGACAGGCCACGGGACGGGCCCAGCGCCCCGCAGCTTGATCACAGGGCCGGGCAATCCTCAGCCCCACAACCTGAGGGCAGCCCGAGCCGGCCTGGAGGAAACAGCACAACGGAGATCTAGTTGTCTCCCATGAGCTCCTTGTGGACTTCAGAGGGTGGTAAAACAAACCCCCAAAGAAAGAGGAACATGTTCTCCGGCTTGTGATGATAAGGCGAGAAAAGAGAACACTTTCATTTATTTCTAAATCACCCCACTTGCATTAGAAATGTCAACTTTCTGATATTGTTATTTTTGCTTAGAACTCTGACGTGGAGGAGAGACCAAGGCTACCCTTTTGCTACCCTGTTACTGCGCAGCCACGCATGTAGCTACAGCGTCAGCCACGTGAGCAAGAAGGCGACTTTCTTTCCAGTGATGGGTTTAGAAAACATCAGGTGTTTGTTTTCACGTGACTACCAATAGCGTTCTGAACACGCTAGTGAACATAAATCAAAAAACAAAGGTAGAAAATCCCCAAAAGGGAATTCGATCGCTTTTACCACTCCCAACCCCAGCACCCAGCGGCTTCTGACCTCAGGGCGGCCCTCCAAGGGAGCAAGGCCCCTTTCCTGAGCCCCTGCTCTAACACCTTTCTCCTTCATTCAACGATAGTTCCGAGCTTTCTCTCCCTCCACTTCCACCTGCAACCTGCCACTTCTCCCAGGGGTGCCCTGCCCCCCGAAAACCAAAGGCTCTTTTTCATAGTGGCCAAAGTCACCATCACCTAAAAGACGCAAGACGTCCTCAGCGGCAGCCTCACCCCGAGGGTGTCAGCCTCATTCCCTGGCCAGCACCTCCCGCCACTCCCCCAACCCGCAAATCCGGGGCGCCGCCAGACTTCACTTGGTTACACTGGAGCCAGCTCTGCAGGGCCGCGTCCTGCTTTCTTGAGAACAGAAGGCCCAGTCCTTTCCCGGGGCACGCAGCCCTGTCTCCCTGTTCCTAGCGCCTGGCTCTGGCCCTGGCGCCCGGGGCGCCCGCTGCAGCGGCCCCGCGGCCCCCCAGGCCCCAGGAGCTGGGGGTTCGGGCCGGCGCCTCCTCCACCCTGGATTTATTCCTGGAGTCCTGCAGCTGCGAATCAGGGCTTCTGAACGTAGCAAAGGTGTGTCCCTGCCCCACCCGGGCCTTCCTGCTGCGACGGCCCGGCTGGAAAGGGGCCGGCGGGGCGAGGCGCGTCTCCAGCCTCCGGGGTCCCCTGACCTCGGGGCGATCTCCCGGGAGGCCGGCCCTTGCCCCCGTGACCTGGGGCGCCCGGGACGAGTCATCATCCGCATGGCCCGAAGGGCTCCTCTGGGCGCGCCTCCCGAGCTCCCCCCGACCCCGCGACTCCTTCCCGGCCCCGGCCCCGGCTCCCCTCCCGGCGCGCGGGTCCCCCCGTCTCCGCCGCCGCCTCCCGGGTCCGGCCGCCCGGGCTCCCGAGAGCGCCGCCGGCGTCCGCGTCCAGCAAACCCCCGCGGCCGCGGGGCGGGGCGCGGGGCCCCGGGCTGGGCGCGAGGCCGACACCGCCTCCCCGGCGGGGCCGAGGGCGGGGGCGCCGCGGACGGCTCGGGCGGGGCGCGGGCTGCGCGGGGCTCCCAGGGGCGCCCTCCCGGCCGGGCCGGCGCGGGATCGGGGCGCGGGGCTGCGGGGTCGGCGCGCGGGATCGGGCCGGCGCGGGATCGGGGCGCGCGGGGCTCGGGGCGCGCGGGATCGGGGCGCGCGGGGCTCGGGGCGCGCGGGCTCGGGGATCGGGGCGCGCGGGCTCGGGGATCGGGGATCGGGGCGCGCGGCGCCAACGGCGGGGCCGCGGGCGGAGGTCCCGGCCGGGGCCGCCACAGGTGCCCCCGCCGCCCGCCCGCCCGCCCGGCCTGTACCTGCACGGCGGCTCCGCGATCGGGGAGGCCCGGCCCGGCCCCGCCGCCAGGCCCGCTCGCCGGCCGCGCTCCGCGGGCTCCCGGCGCGAGGGGCGGAGGCGCGTCGCCCGCCAGGCCTCGGGGCGCGTCCCCCGCCGCCGCCCCCGCTCCGGCCCGCGCGCGGCCTCCTCGTGCGCCCGCGCGCCGAGGTTTGGTCCCTCCCGCCCGCCGTCCGGCCCCGCCCGCCCGGTTGCCAGGGCGACCCGCGCGACGCCGCCGGAGCCGGGCGTTGGAGGGCGGCGGCGGCCGGGCTCGGCCGAGCGGCCCGGAGCGCGGACCATGGAGCCCCAGAGTAAGGCCGGCGACGCCGCCCCGGGGCGAGGGGAGGGTGGAGCCCCCTGGGGCGTCGCCGGGGGGGGGGCGGGGGCGGGCAGCGCCCCGAGTCTTCCCGAAACCACCCCCGGGACCCCACGTCTCCGGAGTCACCGCGCCGGCCGCCGTCGTCTCGTGGCGCTGGGTGTCGGCACCCCACGGTCGCGCCGCCCGGCGGGCGGGCGGAGAGCGGGGCCGGCGTCCATCCGCTGGGGCCCCGCCCCGCACCCCCCGCCGCGCGGGAGAGGGGCGCGATCGGGCGTGGCCGCGGGGCGACCGGGGCTCCCCGCCCAGCAGCGGCCCGGCCTGCGGGGCGCGGCTCCGCTTTGGCCAAGGGTCCGTCGTCTGGAGTGACCGGATCTCACAGGAGCCCTAACTCTGCTCTCTTTCCCCAAGCCCCCAAAAGACGGTGCGGGGCCTCCGCTCCCGAGCTGGCGTTTCGCGCTCTGTAGAGTAGGAAAGTGCTCTGGGGGCGCAGGGTCGCCCTCCAGGAGGACCCCCGGCCTCTCAGGACGGAGCCCGCGTCCCTTGCACCCTCCACGCCGGTCCCTTCCCGGGGGACACGCCGGCATTTTAAACGTTCACTTGTTACAAATGAGAAGATTTCATGGAACTTTACCTTTAAAAAAAAAATTCAGTTGCCGGGAAAGCTGACCGGTGGTCCGCAAACAGTGGCTCGAGTGCGCGGGATTCAATGCCCTGTTTTGCTAGTTACCCAGCGAGAGAGCGAGATACCCAGGGACGCCGACACCTGTGTCTCCAGTTAGGCCGATGCCAGGCTCTGTCCTGCGCGCTCTTTTGAGAAGACACGGATGGAAATGAGCGACTTTATTTCTAAATAAACGTAAGCTGTACTTATGGTATTACTTAAATGTAAACTCCACTTTTCAAACTTTTTAATGCTTCCTGGCTTTATCACTCATCCACTCGTGTTATCTGTGCTGTTCGGACCTGTTCTAGGGGTTGGGGGTTCAACATGGGAAAAGACAGCGTCAGTTCTGGCCACCCCAGGAAACTGAGCAAACACTTGCCAAGAACTACCGAAGCTTTCCTGGTATCAGAGATTGAGAGAGAGGAGCTGGGGGAAATCGTGCTAGGTCTGCAGCGTGACACAGCGAAGAAAGAGGGAAAGGAATTCCAGGCAGAGGAGTCCCTTGGCCTGGGCCCTGAGGCTCAGAGCTAACCCGGGAGATTGGCGGAGGAGTAGCCGACACGCCTTGGGGAGTGGCGGGGAGCAGAAAAAAGAGATCGGATGAAAAAGTCACTGGTGTCTGATCGTGATGTCTTTGTGAGGCTATGTAAGAAATTATTATGTATATGAATGATAGAGTTATATCTCATTTCATTGGATTTTGAGGTCAAAAATATTTGTTGAGTCGTCTGTGGCTGGGGAATGACTAAATTTAGTCCTTCCCACGTATTCCTGAATGCTTTTTTCAATTTAATTTTAGATAATTCAAAAAATTGCTATTTACTGTAGGGACTCTTTCACAACCCAGTCAACTCCATTCTGGAAAAATACTTCTTACATCACTCACTGTTAGTTAATACCCCAAATGACAAACTTGATCTTCAAGGTCCCCTTTAACTTAGAAATTCATGTCCCAGTCAGATTTCACCTGAGGCTCGAGTTACTCCACTCTCTCAAAAATATTGAGCGCTACGGAGAGGACATTAGCAAGTATTCCCATTATACATAATCACAATTATATTGTTATCCACATTATCTGGGCATTCTATGATAGTGTCCCAATATTATCGAACATAAATTAGTAAGCCTGATGTTTACATGGCGCCTTTTGTTACTGAGGGATTTCAAATAACATTTCACAAGTATGGTTGACTATAGAGCATCAGTACATTGGTTAAAAGAAAGGCTGCTTCTTAATTGCTTTTGGGATGAGACATATATCTAAGGATAACACCAAAAAGCTACTAGAAATACCCCCGAGTCTGTCTCCATCCATTCTGTTTCCACACACTTAGGTTTCTATTACTTTTAGGAGTGACCTTTATTAACGGAGTCATTAAAATCCAATAACCATAAACTCTTCAAGCCCCACAGCTGGATCAGGCTCTGGCAATAGGCAGAGGATGATAAGGGCCACCACGGTGTTACAGAATAATAGCAAGTCAACGATCCAAGAAACGACTCCTCGGGGAGAGGGCAAATTACACACATTCTCAAACCTCAGGCTGTTCAGAGCGGCGTGGGCTCTTGGCTTACACATTTACATCTTTAATTATTTTCTTCCTAAACTAGCTACACTGTTGGAAAAACAACCCAGGTCTGCGCTAACATGGAAGCTGTACGCCAGACTCCTCTTTCTTTTGAAACTATTTAAGTTTGACAGTATTCTCTCTTCCCGAATTTCTTAGTGAATGACAGTGCAGAAGGGTGACTTTTGGGGGGATCTTTCGTCGTTTCCCATCATCTTCCTTTGCCCCCAAATCGCCCCAAGCGAACATACAATCTGCGTAAAAACTGCTTTGTTGTGCCCCATCAAGAGAAGTCCCCAGCGCTAACGTGTTGCTGCCTGCTCCCTAAAGTCCCCCTAAATAAAAAAAAAAAATGTAGGCCCAGTTAGGATCAGGCCGCAGTTTACATGTCCACTGTTCGGAAGCCACGCTAAATGGAGACGTGAGCTCCTGCGGTGACTAAGGAAGACTGAGCCGTAAAGCTCAGGCGTGACGGCTTCTCTCTCTCTGAACCTGCTCTTCCACTGGCCTTTCCCATCTTTGAACAGGATTTCACCATCTTCCCAGTCACTCCAGCCGGAAATCTGAGCGTCAGCCTCCACCGCTTTACTCACCTCCCTCCCTCCCACTCCACCCAGAAGCAGCCGGTCTGTCTGTGCCACCTTCAGGTGGCCCCAGCGCGGTGCCTCCCTCGCCCGCCCCGGTGCCCGGCAGGCCAGCCAGCTGCGTGCTCAGACCGGGCTGCAGGGAGAAGCTGCTGACTTCTGCTTCCCTCCACTCCGCTCCCCACCCACCCACGCTCACTCAGAAGCCAGAGGCAGCTTTTCAAAACACAATCGCCATCGTGTTGCCTTAAGCCCTCAGGTTCTCAGCACCCAGCGGCCCCTGCACCCTCATGGCAGTGGCACGGACTGGACTTCAGGCGTTTGGGTTTCTTTCTGTCCCGTAAACGTATCAAGTCCCACGAGGGCGAGTCGCGAGCTTTTCCCTCCACCAGGGAGACTTCCCTCTTGCTCCCGTGGGGCTGCCCTGACCCGAGTCCCCCTCTGAGTCCTTCCCAGACCCCTCAGGTAGGCAGGGCCCCTCCGATGAGTCACTCCTGTCTGCGTTTGTCTTCCCAGCAGTGATCGCAATTTGTCATGCCTTTCGGGAATGTAAAGAAGTGGTTTCCTGCTCAGGACTGTAGGGAGGTGGAAGAGGGCCCTGTGTGCCCGTCTGCCCATCCGGCCCCAGAGTCCAGGGAGCCCCAGGGAGCGCCTGTTGCGTGGAGGCTCTGAGAACAGCTGCCTGTCTCCTCTAAGTTTACCACGAGTCTTGCGTGGTGCTTCGAGAAGCAAGCCGCCTTCCGCTGCAGCGGGGGCTGTGCAGCAGTGACATTTGAGGTGCCCCCTGTGGGGAATGCGGCAAGTTCATTTAAAGCAGGTGCCTTTAAATGTCAAGTTGCTTACAAACATGGCATTCCTTTTTCTTCACCAGCCTAAATGAGGTGATTTAAGAATCTCATTCTATCCAGTAAAATTGAGGAATTAAGCAATCTGACTTTGGAAACCCAAGGACTGCCAGGTCATAACCCCAACAAAACCTCTGCATTACCATGGAGAACTGGCCTGAATTATCTGAGAGACTGGAGAACACTGAGGGGTCACACCAGGAAGCCCACGAATGTTCTTAAAAGTCTGTGTGACAATTTTTTCTTAAGTCCTCGTCTCTAAAGAATACGAATGTTGTCAATTAGGTTAGCGTTCAAGTATTATCATTAAGAAATAAATGCTGATATAAATCCAGATTAAAACTTAAAAAACAACAATTTCAAAGCAACACCTTTCAAAGCAGCTACAGTCAAATATCCACCAACGTACGAATCCTCGCAGTCCTGACCTCGGATGCTCAGCCAGTCACAGCGAGGGCCCAGGCGACTCGGTGGCGGCACATGGCTCTCTCCAAAAGCTCAGGTTCACCCCAGCATCACCCCCAGACCAAGACTGACCCCCAGACCTTGGATTTTTACCTTGTCCCGATGGGAAAAGGAAGCTCTGGTAGGACCTGTCTACCGGGGGACCTGCCCAGGACCTGGACCAGCCAACCAAGTTCAAGGCGGGGCGGCCATGCCCACAGCAGCGCGAGAGAGGCCGGGTGAGTCACGACGTGCGTGCGGAGGGTGGTGCAAGCCCATTAGCCAGTAAACAGCTCACCCCACTCTTCTGCGGATTCACCGCTCACGGGGCTGGGTGCCGAGGCAGGGGCAGCACTGGACACAGCCACCCTCGGGACCCTCCTGCCTCCTCCCGGGGTCCTGTCTCTCCTGCAAGGCAGAAGGAGGGGGAGACAGTCCTCTCCCTCAGACCCCATCCGCTCGAGGCTGGCAGGGACTTCCCTGGCCTGGTCTTCTCGGCCGGGTCCTGTCGTTCTCATGCTCACCTGCCTCCTTGTCGCTGCCTGGAACGTGCTCGCTGCCCACCCACTCGTCTGTCCTTCAAAACCCTCTTAGGAGCTTTGCCTAATGACCCACGTCCAACCCAAACAAGAGTTCATTGCTCCGTCTTGAGTACTATGTCCACATTTTATTTTGTGTTTATCTTTTTAAAAGATTTTATTTATTTTTGCGTAGAAGAACTGAGGTGCAGGCCAGAAGTGCGGGGGTGGGGGGGTGAGAGGATTCACCAGAGCCAGAGCGGGGAGCAGAGCAGGCAGACTGACTGAAATCCACTGCTGAGGGGAGCAGCGGGGAGACAGGAGAGGTCTGCTGCGCCACGTGGGTAGCTCCCTGGCCGGGATGGAACT